GGGACAAAGCACTTGGGCCATCTTCCATTGTTTTTCTGGGCCATTAGCAGGGAGTTGGATTGGAAGTGGAGTGGCCAGGACACGAAGCTGTACCCATATGGGATGCCAGCATTGCAGGTGGTGGCTTTACCCACTGTACCACAACACCTGTCCCTCTGCCCTACTTTTCTTCTCAGGCTGTTTAACAGTAAATACTGAGTAGAGGACACTGTTTATAAACCCCTGTGGGGTCTTAGTCAATGTCAACTTTTTTTCCATGTGAGAATTCTGTCCAGTGTAGACTGTCTATCCGTCACATCTGTTTTGCTTCCTTTCAGCGCAATGCCTTTGCCAATGACACCATCCCTTCAGAGAGTTATATCAGTGCTGTGCAAGCTGCTCACCTGGGGACTCTCTGTGGCCAGAGTCTGCCCCTGGCTGCTTCCCTGAAGCATACCCTCCTCTCCCTGGTCCGGTTAACGGGAGATCTTATCGTGTGAGTACCTAGTGCATAACCCTAAGTTAGGTCTGTTCATCTGTATTCTCTCGTAGCTAATGGAGGATAGTGAGAGATCTTCTAACTACGTAATGATGAGTTTTTTTTACTCCTTTTCAGTAGAGAGAACCTGTTGCTTCAAAGTATGAGGATTCACTTAGACTTTTTTTTTTTTTAGATTTATTTATTTGCAAGGCAGAGTTACAGAGAGGCAGAAGCAGAGGCAGAGAGAGAGGTCTTCCATTTGCTGGTTCATTCCCCAAATGGCCGCAATGGCTGGAGCTGAGCCCGTCAGGAGCCAGGAGCTTCTTCTGGATCTCTGATGCGAGTGCAGGGGCCCAAGTACTTAGGCCATTTTCTGCTGCTTTCCCAGGCCATAGCAGAGAGCTGGGTCAGAAGAGGAGCAGCCGGGTCTTGAACTGGCACCCATATGGGATGCTGGCACCACAGGCCGCAGCTTTACCCACTATACCACAGTGCTGGCCTGAGACTGACTTTTAACTTAGACCTGAGGGGGCAACAGAATACCTCCTTTCTTACTGTGTAGTATTTCAGAAAACACTTGCTTATTCTAAACCATTTTGTAATTTAAAAGTGCTTTTTGGTTTAAATTTTAAAGTGATAGTTAGTGACAAATTGATTATTTGACATTTCCCCATAGTCATTGTGGGAATAAGGCAGGCCAATGAAGGGACTATTTCATCTTCCTGTATATAGGCAACAGGTACAGTTATATATCATGTTGCCTGAGTTATCCAGATTCCTGGAACTTCTTCCAGAAAGCTTGTCTGGATAGATCACTTGCTTAGGTTTCAGTTAATTTTTTTTTTATTTTAACATTATAAAAATGTGTCTTACTAATTTAACTATTTATTTAAAGATCTATTTATTTATTCTGAAGGCAGTGTTACAGAGAGAGAGGGAGGGAGAGAGGTCTTCCATCTGCTGCTGCAGTCCCTAAATGGCCACAACTGCCGCAGCTGGACCTATCTGAAGCCAAGAGCCAGGAGCCTCCTCCGGGTCTCCCACATGGGTGCAGGGGCCCAAGCTCTTGGGCCATCTTCTGTTGCTTTCCCAGGCACATCAGCAGGGAGCTGGACCAGAAATGAAGCAATCAGAACTCAAACTGGCACCCATGTGGCATGGTGGTGCCACAGGGAGCATTTTACCCGCTGTGCCTCAGCGCCAGCCCCTAACTTGACATTTAATAAAGGAATTTTTTCCATGGAAGTGATTTTTGCTACAACTATGAAGGGAAAAGACTAGAATAAAAGCCCTTTCCCTAGTAAATGATTGAATCACTCTATTCCTGCCTTGCAGCATTTTGAAGTGTGTGTATTTTCTAACATGGCTCCGTTTTCTTTGCTGAAGTTGGTCAGATGAGATGAACCCACCACAGGTAATTCGGACCCTGCTGCCCCTTCTTTTGGAGTCGAGCACTGAGAGCGTTGCTGAGATCAGTAGCAACTCCCTGGAACGCATCTTGGGCCCTGCAGAGTCTGATGAGTTCTTGGCCCGGGTTTATGAGAAGCTGATCACTGGCTGTTACAACATTCTGGCCAATCATGCGGACCCCAACAGGTGAGCCTGAGGGAGGAGAACAGAAGGTTCTTGTAACAAATTCTGCACTTGTGTGTATTTTGCATGCATTTGGAAATTAAAGAAGAGTTATTCAGAATTGTGTGATTAATGCTTAGGAATAAATATTAAGAAAATGGAAGGCTTAAATGTTCAGATTTGGAGATTTAAATAATTCAGTAAGTGATGCCCATGTTCTGTGTTAGATGTGATGAGGATACAGATCTGGCCAGTAGAGTTAGCTTGTAATGTTACTGTTTTTTAAAGATTTTTAAAATTTATTTGAAAGAAGTCTTCCATGTACTGGTTCACTCCCCATATAATCATAATAGCCAGGGCTCAGGCAGGCTGAAGCTGGGAGCCTGGAATTCCATCTGGGTTTCCTGCATGGGTGACAGGGCCCAAGCATCTGAGCCGTCTTCTGCAGCTTTACTCTGGCACTTTAGCAGGGAGCTGGATCAGAAGTGGGACAGCTGGGACTTAACTGAGGCCCAAATGGGTTGCTGGTGTTCAAGTGATGGCTTTACATGCTGCCCCACAGTGCTGGCCTCGGTTTCTAACATTTTTGAGACCCCACTTCTGAAATAGAATTAGGAGATCCCACCACATTGGTTGACCCTTGATTGTTTAGACTATGTTGGTGTTGGAAGAGCAATAAAGAGCAGTCATGTTGTTCTTAACACTCCATTGAGAACTCTTAAGTGGTCAAGTATTGAGTCATTTTTTGAACAGATAAAGAATTTGACACTGTTCATGCAGAAATGATTTGTCTCAAATTCTCCCCACCCCAAGAAAAGTCAGTGGCAGAATCTAGCTAATACTCTAAGCTTTAGACGGCTTTTCTGTTTAATTTTCTAGGAAAGAGAGTAGTCAAGTAAAATTAGAGTGCTACTGTTATTCATTAAATGTTTATTGAAATCTTCCTGCTGTGTGTCATGCTTTATATTAAGGTTTTTTTTTTTTTTTCAAATATTTATTTATCTATTTGAAAGTCAGATTTACGCAGAGAAGGAGAGGCAGAGAGAGAGAGAGTCTTCCATCTGCTGGTTCACTCCCAAATTGGCCGCAATGGCCAGAGCTGAGCTGTTCCAGAGCCAGGAGCTTCTTCCAGGTCTCAACTGGGTGCAGGGGCCCAAGGACTTGAGCCTTCTACTGCTTTCCCAGGCCATAGCAGAGAGGTGGATTGGAAGAGGAGCAGCTATATGGGATCTGGCACTGCAGGCTGGCACCTGCACCCATATGGGATGCTGGCACTGCAGGCTGTGGCTCCACCCCTATTCCACAATACCAACCCCTATGTTAAGCTTTGACAGGGCACAATTGAGCATTGTCTTCAAAATCTGCTTGTAAACAAACAAGCTTACATTTTTAAACATCAAGGTCAGGAAATTGAAACAGGTTTGATTACTGTTAATTTTTCCTTTTGATTCTCAGTGGACTGGATGAATCCATCTTGGAGGAATGTCTCCAGTATTTGGAAAAACAACTGGAAAGCAGCCAGGCTCGCAAAGCTATGGAGGAATTTTTCTCTGACAGGTGACTATATTTCATTTTATTCAGTGAACATTTTTTTAATGCTCCTTGAAAGGAAGGAGCTGTATGTATTGACTCATTATTCTTTCTCAGAGAATACCAAAGGCCTACTTCGATGCCTGTATTTTGGGGAGGACTTAGGTTAATTACTGACTCCTTGAAGTAATTGATGAGGGGTTGGATTCCAGGAACACCTTATGTTGTTGACTCCCAGTAGCTATTTCCCTGGAGGAGATGAGATTGTAAAGAAATAGAAACGAATGCCTTTTATGTGAGGCTTAATGTGATTCTTCCATTTTCCCCCCAGTGGAGAACTTGTGCAGATCATGATGGCAACAGCCAATGAGAACCTCTCTGCTAAATTCTGTAACCGAGTTTTGAAATTCTTCACCAAACTCTTCCAGCTGAGTGAGTGACAGCTTTTGGTAATCTTCTTATGGGAACTTTGATGTCCAGCTAATACTGTGCATATCTTCTGCCCGAGTTTAACTATAGCATGAAAATGCTAACAAGTGGAGAGAATCCCTCGGAGAAAGTTTAGAAGGAAGTTGAAAACTTGCTTGAAGCCTTTTCCCATTTTCCTGGCCCACAGTTTGCCCTCTTCCCCATTTTCCCTTCACCTTCTTCACTGACCCCTAGCTTGTCGATCTGTTCCTAGCTGAGAAGAGCCCTAATCCTAGCCTCTTGCATCTCTGCGGCTCTCTGGCACAGCTGGCTTGTGTGGAACCTGTACGTCTGCAGGCCTGGCTCACACGCATGACAACGTCACCCCCAAAAGATTCTGATCAGCTGGACATAATTCAGGAGAACCGGCAGCTGTTGCAGTTACTGACCACATACATTGTTAGGGAAAACAGGTAAAACTTGTTTGTATGTTATGTGTCCCTAACAAGCCCAGAAATACATTGGGGGTGAATCTGTCTTCCCTGTAGGCATCAGTCGTAGCATTTTCAGGGGTTTCTTATCTCCGCTTCGCTAGACTAAGGGAATCCGGTTTAGTTTCTTGATCTTTCTCGTAGAAAAAGCTTTAATTACTGGGCCTGTCTGTTGAAACCTGAGTGAATGTTTTGTAGACTATATCCAAAACTGGAGTTGGGAATGTAGTCGTGTATTTAATTTTTAATTTGAAAGTTCTTTTGGTTACTCTTGCACATTTGAGATACACAGTCAGGTTTCTATTGGTTATTTATTGACTTCCTCTTCTTTTTTTTTTTTTTTTCTTTGCCAGCCAAGTTGGGGAAGGTGTGTGTGCTGTACTTCTGGGCACCCTGACCCCCATGGCAACAGAGATGCTCACTAACGGTGATGGGACTGGCTTCCCTGAACTCATGGTTGTGATGGCCACTCTGGCCAGTGCAGGTCAAGGTGCTGGTCACCTTCAACTCCATAATGCTGCTGTGGACTGGCTGGGCAGATGGTAAGATAATGAAATTGGAGGAACCCATCTGTAGGTTACAACATTGCTTTTGGAGAAGAGGGAGGGTAATTACACATTATTTTCTTTGTAGCTTGGAGTGAGTTTTAAAGAAAGTTCAATCTCTACCTTTTTATTGGGGATTGAGGTGACCCAGTCACTCTGTTCACGTAAGATTTAATATTCATTATTTTCCTGGTGGAATTTTCTGTTCATTATTAATTATTTCCTATTAATTATTTTTAAGAGAAGTCTTGGAAAGAGTATACCACATGTCAGTGATAATCCTAAGACCAGAACACCCCACACTATGACTGTGTTACTTATAGATTTGCTAAGAATGCTTTTTGCTCAGATTATCCATACATTGATTCAAGGTTCATGAAGATGCTTCCTTTGGTTACTTAGATGACTTTATGGCCCCCCTCCCCCTTTTTTTCCTTTGGTACAGTAAGAAATACCTGTCACAGAAGAATGTCGTTGAAAAACTGAATGCCAATGTAATGCATGGGAAGGTAAGACAACCGTCAGGGAGTGGGGAAGAGGGGATTCTCCTCTCTGGATCAGATGGAAGGCAGGCTGTCCTGCCCGTTGGCTTCTGTCCCTGGCTAGCCTACAGAGGATATAGCTGAAAGACCTTTCTAGGTGTGTATGCTCTCAGGCCCCTGACAAGTGGCCATTAGTGATAGGAAGGAAGTATTCTGGTAAGCAAGCATCCAGCAGGATCCTTCAAACAGTGAATTCCTGTGTCGCTGCCATGGGGTAGAAAACTGCACTGAGTCAGGGCCTTGAGGTTGCAGACGTCTTCCTCCACTCCAGGCCAGATGCCACCGTTGTTTAATTTGCCTGAAGGTTCAGGTCACTGTGGCATGTGAAAGGAGTTTGAAGTTGACAGAAATTTGTGTTCAGCATTTTTTAACCTCCATTCAACCCACGGACTTGACATAGCTGGTAGCTTGCCTCTGAGACCCAGCATGGTACCATTCCTTTCTCACTCCTTTCTTGCTGAAATGTCAAAGTGTGGAGTGAAGCAACTTAGAAATCTCAGTCTCTGACGCCAGCCTGTTGGGATTTTAGGCAAATTTGTAAAGCACCTGCAGTGATTGACTGGATCATTCTTCTCTTGCTCTCTGAAACTGTTCCTCTCTGAGAATTATTTTCACTAATAGTTAAAGAAAATGCTAATGTAGGGAAATTGTGCTAATGAGATAAGATAGCACCATTGTCTTGAATGATTTTAATATCATTTACTCCATTCTCCTATTCAATTTTATTTCATCTTATAAGGTATTGTAAAGAGTTATCTTTTTTGTTTTGTTTTGTTTTGTTTTTTTTTTTTTTTTTTTTTGTTTTTTGTTTTTTTTTTTGACAGGCAGAGTGGACAGTGAGAGAGAGAGAGAAACAGAGAGAAAGGTCTTCCTTTGCCGTTGGTTCACCCTCCAATGGCCGCCGTGGCCGGCGCGCTGCGGCCGGCGCACCGCGCTGATCCGATGGCAGAAGCCAGGAGCCAGGTGCTTTTCCTGGTCTCCCATGGGGTGCAGGGCCCAAGCACCTGGGCCATCCTCCACTGCACTCCCTGGCCACAGCAGAGAGCTGGCCTGGAAGAGGGGCAACCGGGACAGAATCCGGCGCCCCGACCGGGACTAGAACCCGGTGTGCCGGCGCCGCTAGGCGGAGGATTAGCCTAGTGAGCCGCGGCGCCGGCCGTTCATTCATTCTTAAGCACAAAGATAACTCTTTGGGCCGGCGCCGCGGCTCACTAGGCTAATCCTCCGCCTAGCGGCGCCGGCACACCGGGTTCTAGTCCCGGTCGGGGCGCCGGATTCTGTCCCGGTTGCCCCTCTTCCAGGCCAGCTCTCTGCTGTGGCCAGGGAGTGCAGTGGAGGATGGCCCAGGTGCTTGGGCCCTGCACCCCATGGGAGACCAGGAGAAGCACCTGGCTCCTGGCTCCTGCCATCGGATCAGCGCGGCGGCCATTGGAGGGTGAACCAACGGCAAAAGGAAGACCTTTCTCTCTGTCTCTCTCTCTCACTGTCCACTCTGCCTGTCAAAAAAAAAAAAAAAAAAAAAGAATGAACATAGGGCGAGCATTGTGGCATGGTGGCCAAAAACTGCCACCTACAATGCCAGCATCCCATATGGGTGCTGGTTTGAGTCCTAGCTTTCTCCACTTCCAATCCAGCTTCCTGCTAATGTGCCTGGGAAAGCAGTGGAAGATGGCCCAAGTGTTTGGGCCCCTACACCCGTGTTGGAGACCTGAATGAAGCTCCTGGCTTCAGCCTGGCCCAACCCTGGCTGTTGTGGCCATCTGGAGACTGAACCAGTGGATGGAAGGTCTCTCTTTCCATCTCTTTCTGTAACTCTTGACTTTCAAATACATAAATCTTTAAAAAAAAAGGGGGGGGGGATGAATAAACGTACACTAATTCAGTACATTTTACTGGCCAGCTATCTACAAATATAGTGATAATTTCTAGGAAAATAGGTAATTGAAACCCAAGAGGCCAATGTTTCTGTGGGGTTGTGATCTTGTCTTACAGCATGTGATAGTCTTGGAGTGCACATGTCACATTATGTCTTACCTGGCTGATGTCACGAACGCTCTGAGCCAGAGTAATGGTCAAGGTCCAAGTCATCTGTCAGTGGATGGGGAAGAGAGGGCCATTGAAGTGGACTCGGATTGGGTGGAGGAGTTGGCAGTGGAAGAGGAAGATTCCCAGGCTGAGGATTCAGTAAGTACTATGTGATCTCTCAGTTCACCTCTCAAGGTAAGAACAGAATAGCACTCTAACAGGCCTTTGGCTCTCTATCCCAGCCCCTCTTGAGCTTCCAAATTTCCCAGTCCTTGTTACTTTGTTCCAGCTTATGTAACTAATGCCAGATTCTGATATATTTTAGGCATGGAGAACAAGCCAAGGGGATCTAACCTCTTGAGTTGAGAGTTTTTCATAAGCATATGTGCGTCTTTTACTCAGAATCACTTGTTGCCTACTTCTTCAGTCTTTGCATTCAGAATAGAATTTCGGGATGATAGGAACTCCCTTGTTAAGAAAGCATTCAAATTTCTTGTTTTCTTAACCACAAAGTCTGAAGGTTTCACCTGAAATTGCAGCAGATTTTCACTCAATTGGCTTTTTCCAGTTGGGCCAGGTTGCTGTTGACCATGTATGAGTCCACTCTTCATTCTTCCAAGGTGTTGAAGTAGGGTGTTTTTATGGGTATTTATGGGGAGCCCTGTATTTCTGAGTAACATGGCTTACTATCATTGAAGGATGAAGACTCGCTTTGCAATAAACTCTGCACTTTTACGATCACACAGAAAGAATTCATGAACCAGCACTGGTAAGAGTAGTTCTTCCTCTTAGGTGGGAGTTTGCTGGGCCTTGATGGTTGGCATTTCCAGGCTTATTTGCTGGTTCTTGTTTTTTGTAGGTATCACTGTCACACCTGTAAAATGGTTGACGGGGTGGGTGTGTGCACGGTGTGTGCTAAGGTGTGCCACAAGGATCATGAGATTTCCTATGCCAAGTATGGGTCCTTCTTCTGTGACTGTGGAGCCAAGGAAGATGGCAGCTGTTTGGTGAGAGATTTGGGGCCTTCATTGAGCTAAACAGTGTGACTTGCTAGCGCTAGTGACAGGGAAAAACTGGAGGGTTCCCATATCACCTCTGTGGTACCAGGGTCTAGGATTATGTTCTGGGTTTGTCACTGGGTTTGTACAAATCTGGCCTAAGCACTTCACTTAGAATGTTAGAACTAACAGGCTTATTTGTGATCTTATAGTCAATTTTTTTGAAAGATTTATTCATTTATTATTTGAAAGTAGGAGTTACACAGAGAGAGAAGGAGAGGCAGAAAGAGAGAGAGAGAAAGAGAAAGAGAAAGAGAAAGAGAAATCTTCCATCTGCTGGTTCACTCCTCAGATGGCTGCAGCGGCCGGAGCTGCATTGATCTGAAGCCAGGAGCTTCTTCCAGGTCTCCCACGTGGGTGTAGGGGCCCAAGAGCTTGGGCCATCTTCTGCTGCTATCCCAGGCCATAGCAGAGAGCATGATTGGAAGTGGAGCAGCCGGCTCTCGAACCAGCGCTCATATGGGATGCCAGCACTTCAGGCCAGGGTGTTAACCCGCTGCACCACAGCGCTGGCCCTGTAGTTAATTTTTTAAGACCTCCTTTTCATTGCAGATGTTCTAACCAAGGCCTAGTGCTCTGAGTGAATAAAGAAGTTAGTGAATGTCATGAAGATAAGGGTGTAGCTTTTGGATAACATTTACTTACTCAACCAGTTTCTCCTTTGGTCAGGTTTTCATCTGAGATTTTAGGTGTAATTTATTTCATCTGTGCTGTGGCTAGAATTTAGGAACTTTTGACATTTTCTGTCCCTAGGCACTGGTGAAGAGGACTCCTAGCAGTGGCATGAGCTCCACCATGAAGGAGTCAGCATTTCAAAGTGAACCCAGGGTTTCAGAGAGTCTGGTGCGCCATGCCAGCACCTCGCCAGCTGACAAGGCCAAGGTTACCATCAGTGATGGAAAAGTTGCTGATGAAGAAAAGCCCAAAAAGAGCAGCCTGTGCCGTACAGTAGAGGGCTGCCGGGAGGAGCTGCAGAACCAGGTGGGACCTAGTCTATGCCAGCAGGTAGTTCAGAGCCTGGCACGTTTGAGTGGGAGTAAAAGATGCACAAGGCTTGCAAGTGATACTTTTCTCTCTCTTTAGCAGTTTTTATGGTGTGAATATAGAAACTATGTGGTGTCAGCCCCTAGGGAAGGATTTAGGACTGAGGAGTATTAGGAGTCTGTAGGGGTTGGTGGGAGGGTAATTTGTAGCTTTGTAATGTTCTGGAGCACCTCTTCTGGTTGCACAAAATGATTTTTTGTGATTTCTTTATTAGTTTTCCAAGGGTGGTGTGTAGCCACTGTAAGCCTATGAAGAACTTCAAAAAGTTCTTGAAAAATGAATTAAAACATAATAATTTGTGTAAAAAATTTGAAAGCCATGCATAATTTTTTAAAATAAACATTTTCCATGAACTTTTGAAGACCCTTCATATATATATATATAGGTACACACACACACACACACGCACACTCACTTCAAAATATGCCCTAAAATTAACTTATTCTTTTCATTCCATTTTCCATGAACTTCTTTTTCATTTCTAAGATTTGTTTTATTTATTTGAAAAGCAGAGTGACAGGGAGAGGGATGGACAGAGAGAAAGAGATCTTCTATCAAGTGGCTTATTCCCCTTATTGCCATAGCATTTGGGGCTGGACTGGGCCAAAGCTGGGAACCAGGAATTCCATGTGGGTCTCCCAAGTGGGTGGTAGGGGCCCAACGCTTTTGCCATCTTTCACTGCTTTCCCAGGCACAACAGGATCAGAAGCAGAACAGCTGGCACTCCGATGTGGCATGCCAGTGCAGCAGGCAGCAGCCTAACTCATTGTGCCACAATGCTGGCCCCTGAACAAACTTTATAACTATTTCATCAAGTATACAAAGAGGAGGGATTGGCCAGTTATATATGGTGTTTGCTTTCACACGTTAGGGTTTCTGTGTGACTCCTGCTTTAGAAAGATTGTTTTAGAGTTGGCAGCACAATAGTGTATTGACTGAAATCAAATTCAGGATTGTGGAGAGAATGAGATGATGGCTTGCTTAGCTAAATGGAAGTGGGGAAACTGGTTCTGAAGGTAGGGACTGGCAAGATTTTTCTGACTAATGTGACCCCTCTCCCACCTTTTGTTTCTGCACTTCTCAGGCCAATTTCTCCTTCGCTCCTCTTGTGTTAGACATGCTCAATTTCCTCATGGATGCCATTCAGACCAACTTTCAGCAAGCGTCAGCTGTGGGTAGCAGCAGCCGGGCTCAGCAGGCCCTCAGTGAGCTGCATACAGTGGACAAGGTGGTTGAGATGACGGATCAACTGATGGTGAGTGTGTCAGGGCCACACAGTTCGGTGGTTATGGAAACCAAGTGCTTGGAACATAGAGATGTGCAAAGTACTCTGAGGAATATGCTTAGAACAGTTCATCCCTGGCCCTTCAGAACATAGAATTTATGTCTTGTGGTTTTCCCAGAATTTCTTATGAACAATGTGAAAGCATATGAGGTGTTTCTTCAAAAGGAGGGAACCCAAGGTCATTTGAACCAACCCAGGATAACTTCAGTTTTTCACGTGACATGGCTTGTAAGTCCATGGCATTATCCACTTTTAAAACCTGCTGCTCTAGCACTGAATTTCAGACTTTTGCTGTGGCCTTCCTGGTCTCTTTAAGAGCAGTTGTGTGAAGTAATGAAAAATAAAGTGATGGCAATTACTAAAGGAAAGTGAACAGATGTTGTGGATGAAGTAAACAGAATCAGTCTCACAAGCTGGTGCTTTCAAGGAATAACACTCGACTTGGGAGTGCACACACATTCACAGCTGTATTCTGTGTTTTATTAGAAATCAATCACAGGTGTTTAAGATTTATTTGTTTGCAAGAGTTTCAGAGAGAGAGGAGAGACAGAGAGAGAGAGCTCTTTCATCCACTGGTTCACTCCCCAAATGGCTGCAGTGACCAGACCTGGCCTGGCCAAAGCCAAGAGCCAGGAGCTTCTTATGGGTCTCCCACGTGTGTGCAGAGTCCCGAGCACTTGGGCCATCCTCTGCTGTTTTCCAAGGTGCTTTAGCAGGGAGGTGGATGGGAAGCAAAGCAGCCGGGACACAAACTGGTGCCCGTATGGGACGTTAACACTGCAGATGGTGATTTAACTTGCTGTAACACATTGCTGACCCCATCCGTCACAGTGTTTGAGCACTGGATTTTCAGTTGTTTAAGATGAAGATAAAAAATCCTGGAGTAGGGTTGGTAACCTCTAATATTGCTGACTTCAATTTGCCAGTTTAAAGTAATGAAAAAAATTCCATCTGTTATCAACCATCATTTTATAAAAGAAAGGACATTTTTGTTTTTTGACAGGCAGAGTTAGAGAGAGAGAGAAAGGTCTCCCTTTTTTCCGTTGGTTCACCCCCCAAAATGGCTGCTGCGGCCGGTGTGCTGCGCCGATCCGAAGCCAGGAGCCAGGTGCTTCCCCCTGGTCTCCCATGCGGGTGCAGGGCCCAAGTACTTAGGCCATCCTCCACTGCCTTCCCGGGCCACAGCAGAGAGCTGGACTGGAAGAAGAGCAACCGGGACTAGAACCCAGAGTGCTGGCGCCACAGGCAGAGGATTAGCCAAGTGAGCCGCAGCATTGGCCAAAAGAAAGGACATTTTAACATTTATAAGGCCAGTATTTTAATTGTGAAAGATTGTTTTGAAAGGCAAAATGATAGAGGGAGAGAGAGAGAGGGAGAGGGAGCTTTCTTTCTTTCTTTTTTTTTTTTTTAAAGATTTATTTAATTATTTGAAAGATTTACACAGAGAGAGGAGAGGCAGAGAGAGAGAGAAAGAGGTCTTCCATCCAATGGCTTACTCCCCAGCTGCCACGGCCAAAGCTGCGCCGATCCAAAGCTAGGAGCCAGGAGCTTCTTCCGGGTCTCCCATTTGGATGCAGGGGCCCAAAGACTTGGGCCATCTTCTACTGTTATCCCAGGCCCATAGCAGAGAGCTGGATTGGAAGTAGAGCAGTCAGGACTCGAACCGACGCCTATATGGTTTGCCGGCACTTCAGGCCAGGGCGTTAACCAGATGTGCCACAGTGCCAGCTTTCATTTGCTAAGTCATTCCCTAAATGTCTGCTACAACCAGGGGTAAACCCGGTCAAAGCCAGGAGCCAGGAACTACATCCTGGTCTCTCATGTAGGTGGCAGGGACTCAAGTACTTAGGCCATCATCATCTGTTTTCTCAGGTGCAGTAACAGGGATCTGTATCAGAAGTGAAGTAGACTGGACTCACACCTGCGCTCTGATAGGGGATTGCAGGCATCCAAGTGGCAGCTTAATCCACTGCACTACAATTCCCCCTCTCTCCCCTCAGCTACATTATTGTTGGAATGATAATAACTTCAATAAATTTACCCAGCTATCCAGGGATTGGAACTTGAAATCTCTTCAATCACATGAATAGTGTAGGAATCCCTTCACTCCTACTTCTTATTTCTCTGCTTCCGTCTTTGCCAGGTTCCCACCTTAGGCTCTCAGGAAGGTGCCTTTGAGAATGTTCGGATGAATTATAGTGGAGATCAAGGCCAGACAATTCGGCAGCTGATCAGTGCCCATGTGCTCAGGCGGGTGGCTATGTGTGTCCTCTCTTCCCCTCACGGACGCCGCCAGCATTTGGCTGTCAGCCACGAAAAGGGCAAGGTGGGTCTTCACTTCGTCTCACTCATTTTAGGTTATGTTTGTCCTAAATACTAAGCAAAACAGATAGATGACCATGCTTAGCTTGGCTGTCTGAGGAAAAGTCCTTTGAGTCCAAAGAATATTTTTGGGATAGATCTCCCCGAGTTATCTGATGAGACCTACATCTGGTATGACTAGGTAGAGGCTGTTTGTAATTAGTAAAATCCCACTCAGCATATCCTTCATGCTCCTAGGAAAAGGTAGTGACAAGCCAGTACTTAGACCACTTGGCTCCAAGCTTGCCCATTTTGTGTACTGCGGTGGGTACAGGCTGAAGGACAAAAGCCTGCCTAGGAAGATTTAGTGTTCCTTGCTTAACCCACCCTGCCCTCACAGCTTCTAAGGACACAGGGAGTTTGTGTGGCTTTTTAGAACTGGTAGAAGTTGGAGGAGTGCAAGGTGTTTCAGTTGTATTTTTTTTATTTTATTTTATTTTTTTTGACAGGCAGAGTGGACAGTGAGAGAGAGACAGAGAGAAAGGTCTTCCTTTGCCGTTGGTTCACCCTCCAATGGCCGCCGCGGCCTGCGCGCTGTGGCCGGCGCACCGCGCTGATCCGATGGCAGGAGCCAGGAGCCAGGTGCTTTTCCTGGTCTCCCATGGGGTGCAGGGCCCAAGCACCTGGGCCATCCTCCACTGCACTCCCTGGCCACAGCAGAGAGCTGGCCTGGAAGAGGGGCAACCGGGACAGAATCCGGCGCCCCGACCGGGACTAGAACCCGGTGTGCCGGCACCACTAGGCGGAGGATTAGCCTAGTGAGCCGCGGCGCCGGCCTCAGTTCTATTTTTTTGTTGGATATTTTCTGGCCTTACCATCACCACTAATGTTATTTATTTATTTATTTATTATTTATTTATTTATTTTTTGACAGGCAGAGTGGACAGTGAGAGAGAGAGACAGAGAGAAAGGTCTTCCTATGCCGTTGGTTCACCCGCCAATGGCCACCGCGGCTGGCACGCTGCGGCCGGTACACCACGCTGATCCGATAGCAGGAGCCAGGTACTTATCCTGGTCTCCCATGGGGTGCAGGGCCCAAGGACTTGGGCCATCCTCCACTGCACTCCCTGGCCACAGCAGAGAGCTGGCCTGGAAGAGGGGCAACCGGGACAGAATCCGGCGCCCCGACCGGGACTAGAACCCGGTGTGCCGGCGCCACTAGGCAGAGGATTAGCCTAGTGAGCCGCGGCGCCGGCTACTAATGTTTTAAACTACTGTAAGCGAAAATAGGGATAGTCCATGGAACAGCTCTAAAATTATTTTAAAAACATTCAGAAAAAGCTAGAAAAGGAGTTATACATAAGAACTGTCAGTCGCTTTTGTAGAACGGTTCTTTGAAGAGAAGTGATTTCTTTGCTCCTCCCTTTTGCCCTCATTGGAAGTCGGGGGAGTAAGGGGGAGACATTTCTTGTCTTTCAACCAGGAGAAATAGAGGCTAATAATCACCAAATAGACTTACCCACGAAAACCCTGTGAACTTAGTCTGTGCTCTCTGAGAGGGTGAGGGTGAAGAATAAATTGGTAGTTGCTTCTTTGCAGATCACTGTTCTGCAGCTCTCTGCACTCTTGAAGCAAGCCGATTCCAGCAAAAGGAAGTTGACTCTGACCCGCTTGGCTTCTGCCCCAGTCCCGTTTACTGTGCTGAGCCTCACTGGAAATCCCTGCAAGGAGGACTACCTGGCAGTTTGTGGGCTAAAGGTAAAAATCCTGATTCAGGTTGGATTACCTTGAGCCTTGGAGCCTAGTCTCCTCTCTCTCCCCTGTTCTCAACCCTGCTGCTTCTTACTCGTTGTTTATATTGTTAAAAGCTATTGGAATGCAAAGGATATCTTTCTGTGCATTTCTTCTGGGTTATTCAGATTGCTCCTGTGTTAGAAACACCCTTTGCTTGCTCTTGAAACCTAGATATGTAAGCTGTCATATTCCTTACATGAAGGCAGGGACTATTAGGGGAGTGAAGGGAGTGCTAGCACCCTGTGTCCTTTAGCCTGCTTTCCAGATCCTCTTTTAACCATTGTGTTCCTTTCGTCTTGTCCAGGACTGCCACGTGCTCACCTTTAGTAGCTCAGGCTCTGTGTCGGATCACTTGGTGTTGCATCCCCAGTTGGCAACAGGGAACTTCATCATCAAAGCTGTGTGGTTGCCTGGTTCACAGACTGAGTTGGCAATTGTCACTGCAGACTTTGTCAAGGTACACTTATAATTCTCTGATGATAGGGTCCTAGAGTTGTTCTGCTTTTAAATCCAGAATGTTTAGTCTCCATTTTATATGCTAGCTTAAACAGAAACTAGTCAGCACACATTGTTGCCTTCTGTTACACTGCTGGACAGGGGCTTTCTGTGTGTAGGCAATACGGAACTGACCTGTTAACACCTTCCACATACCCATACTACTACTGTACTTGTTGTCAAATTTTTATATGCATCTCTATCATTCCTTGAGGGACAATCAAGGGTACTTCATTCATCTTTGGATGCTCAGAGCCTAACACCTATAGGTGCTTGTTGAATGTAGAATGAGTGCTCATCACTCAACAGTTGTAGCTGTGTAGATTCACTGGGATATTTGGGGATGGGACTGAAAAAGAGCTCCTTTATTTAGTCTTTCTCCCGTTCTGCAGATTTATGACCTGTCTGTTGACGCCTTGAGTCCAACCTTCTACTTTCTTCTGCCGAGCTCAAAGATAAGAGACGTCACTTTTCTCTTCAATGAGGAGGGGAAGAACATCATCGTCATAATGTCTTCAGCTGGCTACATCTACACACAGCTAATGGAAGAGGCCAGCAGCGCCCAGCAGGGGCCCTTCTATGTCACTAATGTGCTGGAAATCAACCATGAAGACTTGAAGGTGGAGCACGTGTTGCCATTGCCTTCTGCTCTAGATTTAATCCATTTACCAACTCCTCTTTGTTCTCTTTGTTCCCTTCTAACTTTTAACCTAAAAGCAGAAATTCTTGTCCTTTAGGAATAAACTGATACAACCTGAAGTTCCTTTACCATCAGGGTGTTTGGGAGACTTAATCATGACTTAAAACTAGTAACCAGCATCAACTGGAAGCTGGTAGCCAAGGCAAAATGAGATGTTAATGTAAATTTATGTCTTTGTCCCTGCAGGACAGTAACAGCCAGGTGGCAGGTGGTGGTGTGTCCGTGTACTACTCCCATGTGTTGCAGATGCTGTTCTTCAGCTATTGTCAAGGCAAATCATTCGCAGCCACCATCAGCAGGATGACTCTGGAGGTGTTACAGCTCTTCCCCATCAACATCAAAAGGTGAAATGAGCATTGGATGTGTTGACATTCAGTAGGGGGTCTCTGTTTCCCTCCCAAGTACTATTCTGAGTCTGGTGAAACTGCATTTTTCTCCAGCAGTCTCATCTCTTTAAAATCAAGCAATGTCCACGGTTGACAGGTTGGGCTGTCCACGTGGTTTGTCATCCACTGTGGAGACCTCAAGCTGTAAGAGGTAGTTTGGGCCACTGCTAACTCTAAATGAAAATGTATAGTCAAAGCAGTATGTGTGTATGTGTGTGTGTATGTATATATTTTTTAAGACTTTTTTACTTGAAAGAATGGCACACAGAGAGACTGTCTTCCATTTGCTGGTTCATTGTCCAAGTGGTCACAACAGCCAGCTCTGGGCTAGGTCAAAGCCCATAGCCACAGGGCCAGCGCTGTGGCATAGTGGGTAAGGCCGCCGCCTGCAGTGTTGGCATCCCATATGGGTACTAGTTTGAGACCTGGCTGTTCCTCTTTTGATCCAGCTCTCTGCTGTGGTCTGGGAAAGTAGTAGAAGATGGCCCAAGTGCTTGGGCCCCTGCACCCATGTGGAGACCCGGAGGAAGCTCCTGACTTTGGATTGGCGCAGCTCTGGCCATTGCAGCCAATTAGGGGAGATTAGGGGAGTAAACTAGTGGATGGAAATAAATCTTTGTTCGGGGGGTTGGGGGGAGGCCCATAGACAAGGACGCCATCTTGGTCTTCCATATGGGTGGCAGGTGCCCAAGTACCTGGGCCATCTTTTGCTAGCTTCTCAGGAAGCTGGATCAGAGGCAGAGTGGCTGGGGACTCAAACTGGTACTCCAATATGGGATGCCAGTGGCTCAGGTGGCAGTTTAACCCTCTGTGCCACAACATGTACCACAGTGAATGGGACTTAAATGTGCTCAGCAAGATTTGAAGAGGGACAAGTTTCTGATAGGCACTCATCTTGCCATAATGTCCTTAAAAAAAAAAAAAAGATTTATTTATCTATTTATTTATTTATTTATTTGAAAGTCAGATTTAAACAGAGAAAGAGAGGCAGAGAGAGGTCTTCCATCCACTGGTTCACTCCCCGAATGACTGCAGCAGCCAGAGCTGAGCTGATTGGGAGCCAGGAGCCAGAAGCTTCTTCTGGGTCTCCCATATAGGTGCAGTGACCCAAGGACTTGGGTCATCTTCTACTATTTTCCCAGGCCATAGTAGAGAGCTGGATTAGAAGTGGAGCAGCTGGGAGCAGTGGAGCAGCTGGCACTGCAGGCGGTGGTTTTACCTGCTGTGCCACAGCACTAGCCCCGCCATAATGTCCTTTCAATTTACTTCCTGGGGGAAACTTAACTCTGTCAGTAAACTGAGCATGAGCGTTGTTGCGGGGGTGGTGTTGGAGTTAGAGGCTTCTATCAGGTTTCTTGGTAACAGAGGGCTATGTGAGGTAGTGAAAATTTTATTTAAGGAGGAGGGAGAGATTTAGGGTTTTTTCATATCTTTCTTAGCTGCCATTGGGTAGCCATTATAGCATTTTCTCTCTGGCCTCTCTTTTGGGACTTACCTGGTTTGAGATGAAATGAAGTGAAATGGACACCAGTTTGCCTAAAACTTAATGAGTCTGGAGATCCTTACAGGACAGTGGGTCACATTCCTTAAGCAGTCATGGCCCTATGCACGTGACAGCCTGCAGGTGCATAGGGCTACCTCTTCCTCAGACTGTAGGGCCCAGCATTGGAGATGTTAAACAAGGACTCCTCCCAGGGGCACATGCTGGGGGTATGAGACTGGGTAAGCCTCAGAGTAACACTGACTCATGCGGAGTCTGGCCACAGATACCACTCTAGAGGCAGGCGTGTGGCTAGTTAGAGGACAGCTTCCAGGTCAAGAAAAGAACTCTTTAAGTGGTGATTAACATTCTAACTGTGGCCACTTTTGTTGTCTGCAGTTCCAATGGTGGCAGTAAGACTTCTCCTGCACTTTGCCAGTGGTCTGAGGTGATGAACCACCCTGGCTTGGTGTGCTGTGTCCAGCAAACCACAGGTGTGCCGCTGGTGATCATGGTGAGGCCAGACACCCTTCTCATCCAGGAGATCAAGACTCTTCCTGCTAAAGCAAAGGTCAGTGCCAAGTTCTCCCATCACTTCATTTTGATAGATACCGTTATGTTGATTTTTTTCCCTGTACTTGCTGTTTTTTTTTTAAAGATTCATTTATTTATTTTATTTGAAAGGCAGAGCAACAGAAAGAGAGAGACAGGTTCACACCCCCAAATGGCCAGAACATCCAGGGCTAGTTTAGGCTGAAGCCAGAAACCAGGAATTCAATCCAGGTCTCTCCTTGGATAGCAGGGAACCAAGTACTTGGTCCATCATCTGCTACCTCCTAGGCATATTAACAAAGAGCTGGATTGGAAATGAAGCAGCTGGGCCTCAAACTGGGACTTAGATATGGGAAGCCAGTATCACCAGCTGCAACTTAACCCACTGCACAATGCTGGCTCTCTTCTCTCATCTGTTCCTATGGGGGCCTACATTATCCATTTTCTTTCAGACACCTTTCAGTGCCACCCTACCTAACTGAACTGGTTGTCTCTCTTCCTCTCTTTGTGGGCTCTGATCTGTACACATGGGAACTAACACATGCCTTTGTTGCTTCTTCCTAGATCCAAGACATGGTTGCTATTAGGCACACAGCCTGCAATGAGCAGCAGCGGACAACCATGATCTTGCTGTGTGAAGATGGCAGCCTGCGTATTTATATGGCCAATGTGGAAAACACCTCCTATTGGCTCCAACCATCCCTGCAGCCCAGTAGTGTCATTAGTATAATGAAGCCTGTTCGAAAACGCAAAACAGCCACGATCAGTAAGGCCTCTTCTCGGAAGATGGCTGTGTGTGTGTGGGGGGGTGAGAATGAGTCTTCTACACAGTGACTCAGAACTTAGAATCTACCCATGAGTGTCTGGAAAGAGATGGTGACTGTCCCATTTGCACATTTGTAAAGTTACGGATATGTGCTAGCTGATTTGGTTCCAAATGACAAACACCCATTGGCTGTTTGGTGTAGGTCAGCAGCTCTTTGGTGTCCAGAAAGAGTGGTATCTTGCTCCTTGTTTGAGAAATTTTTCTCTCTGAGTTTAGAGGAAATGGCTTGCCTTCAGGATGGAACTGATTGAATAGTAGATCCCACTGACAATTGAAGAACCCATCTCTGAGCGAGTAATCTTGCTCCTGACTGAGAGGACTCCTCAGGGAAGTGAAAGCTTAAATTTAGTAGTGAGTGAATCTGGCTCAGCAAAGACCTTGCAAGTTCATCATATTATCTTAAATTTGTTCTGTAGGGTCTATATTTTCTATAATGGCAGAGCTTATCCTGTAAAGAGATGGCCTCCATTTTTAATTTTAAATAAAGCAACTGCCAGAGAGACTGTAGGGCACACAATACCAGGTTGTTTCTTGTTACTGAGCTCTGTTGTGCTTAGGGAGAATAACAGCCGGAGAGCTGGCCTCATGCAGGCTTCCTGCTGATGCTCACATTATGATCCAGAATATGCTTAGAAAGGCCAGAGTGTGTGAGTTGGGCTCAGCCTTGGGGAAGTGGACTGGGAGCAGAGGTGGTCGAAACTGCATATACCCATGTTCTTTGCTAATCTGATCTCCACAGCAACCCGCACATCCAGCCAGGTGACTTTCCCTATTGACTTCTTTGAACACAACCAGCAGTTGACAGATGTGGAGTTTGGTGGCAATGACCTCCTGCAGGTCTACAATGCACAACAGATAAAGCACCGGCTGAATTCCACTGGCATGTATGTGGCCAACACCAAGGTGAGGACTATGCTGGGCTGGACTCATTCCCTGGTGCAAGAACACATCTTCTACAATGCATGTGTGAATCACACATTCAGTCACCAACCCTCAATTCTAGTTACATGGTTCCTTGACAAATGAAGGACTCCTATCCCATAAGGTTAGGTTTCCATCATTACCAGCACGATTACTGTGCAGAGGACAACAGGGCATTGTTAATGTGGGGAGAAGGAAACCTGATATGGAAGAGAATCTACTCCCTGCCTCTGTGTTCCAGTCCTTGGAAGCAAGAAAGTCATTTCTAGGGAGTTAAGAAGGATAAAAGTCTTAACCTGGGAACACATTGAGACATATCAGAGGCAGGCATCAAGGCGTGAATTTAAGAATTCCTGTTAATTTTTCTGGTATGTGCCTTTTCTCTCTAGCCTGGTGGCTTCACCATTGAGATTAGTAACAACAACAGCACCATGGTGATGACAGGCATGCGGATCCAGATTGGGACCCAGGCAATTGAGCGAGCCCCATCTTATATTGAAATCTTCGGCAGAACCATGCAGCTCAACCTGAGTCGATCACGCTGGTTTGACTTCCCGTTCACCAGAGAAGAAGCCCTGCAAGCTGACAAGAAGCTGAACCTCTTCAGTGAGTCACCAACCCCTGGTGCACACTCCATCCTTCTCATTGTGACTACTGAATTAGGGTCACTGATCTGTGGTCTCCAGTATTCTGGGATCTGTCTGCTCTACTGATTTGTCTGTGGTCTCTGCCATCAGGAAACTTTTGAGCTTCATTTGAAAAATAAAAAAGGCAAAGGAACAGGAAAGAGAGTGGGAAGAGTAACAGGGTAAAGTTCCGTTAAGTGTTCACGTCTGGGTGTTGGGTCAGCCTCACTGATGGGGCTGCTTCCATCCTTAGGCAGAGAAGATGCCAGATTGGCTGTGACATCACAAGGCTTTCTTAAAGCACAGATGAAAATCTCAGGCTACACTTTGCTAAGAGGTGTTTAGCAGTGCTTTGCTGTGCCCTTGGATACTTGAAATCCCGAGTACAAATCCAGGAGCCTTTCTTGAGACTGGCTGCTTTTCTTTCATATACTGGCCACTTGTCTGATGCTCTTTCTCCTAGAATTGCCATTGTTGTGAATGATGATGATCTGTTCTTTGAACAGAGGAAGTGCTCAGCAGTTGACCCCATGGCGTGAGGGGGGGCAGATGCAATATCCTAAGAGCACAAAGGGCTCCTTACAGTGATGTTTTGGGTCTTTTCCAAGTGGAGCTTTATAGGCTCAATTCGTGAACTGGTTTACATGCACTCGGCATCTGTACACAATTAAAGAGCTGCTGATGTCTCTGGAGATGAAATCCCTCTGTCTCTGTAAAATTGATGTGATCTGCTCCTTTGCCTAGAATGGTCTGGTCTGGTCTTTGGAGGTGTGGTATTAGCCCTTTAGACAATGGGCTTCCTAAAGGCTTCTCTTACTTATTGCAGTCGGGGCCTCGGTGGATCCAGCAGGTGTCACCATGATAGATGCTGTAAAAATTTATGGCAAGACTAAGGAGCAGTTTGGTTGGCCTGATGAGCCCCCTGAAGAATTCCCTTCTGCCTCTGTCAGCAACATCTGCCCTTCAAACCTGAACCAGAGTAATGGCACTGGAGACAGCGACTCAGCTGCCCCTACTACGACCAGTGGAACTGTCCTGGAGAGGTACCAGTGCTGGTGGGGGCTGGCTTCAGTTTTCATTTTCCACTCTCACTCCAGACCTTCCCGTGGCTTGAAACAGTCCACTTCTAATAACCATCCCAAGTTAGCCTATGACTTCTAAAATTTCATGTAACTCCCTGACATTCACTGTCTCCTTAGTGTGCAGATAAAACCTGAAAAATGTGCTCAGAGCCATCTGATGCCAGAGTCTGCCTGAGCAGAAGTTCTGACCCTTGTCTTAATGCTCAGGCACCCTTTGCAGTAGGCAGAGGCTGCAGACCAGAAGGTGCGTAAGCTGCTCTACGATACTGGGATCCAGCCTTGCTGAGGTCATAGGGAAACAGCCTCCCTTCCATCCTGATGGCATCATCTTCTCATCTTCTCCACAATAGCCACCTCCATGGCAGTAACCTTGCCAGCAGGAGAGGCTGCTGCTGCATCTCAGAGCAGAGTTCCAGGTCACCTTCAGGCTCCCTCCAGTGGCACTCTTAAGCATTGTGCTTGGCTTCTTTGTCTTAGGGAGCTGCTGGTTTGCCATGGTAGGCAAAATAATTCATGATGTAAGACTGAGTTTCTTACATTGTAAGTCATAAGAATAGCTTTGCTTGGAGTCACTGCTTCCCACCAGCAGCCTCCTCCACCCTGTCTTTCTCTTTCTTTTCCCCCACCCTGTTCATATATGGTTTGCTGAGGATGTGTTTCCAGGTTTCTCTGAGCTTCACATTTTTTTCCTTTTTTTTTCTTTGCTTCTCCCCCAAGTTCTGAAACTGAGTCCTTAACCAAGCTGGACCGGTTAGTATGCCCTCTTTCTTTTCTCTGCACGAGTGAGTGTGTGTCAGAGAGCAGTGTGCCCAATGATGTGGCTTTGCATTGATTCTGCTTCTGTTAAGAGTCCTCCTGCTTCTTTCTGTCCTGGTCATTGCATGGCTGCAAAGCTCTCCATGTGTAACAGTGGAGCATACGGAGGACTGTGAGTGCACACTTGGTGTTGGCCGTGTCAGACTCTCTCAGCTCTCTGTTCCTTACCCCAGTCCTATCTGCTTCTTCTCGGTAGTGGATGAGAAGTTGGGTGGGGGCAGAGGGGCAAACAAAGAAGTCTTGCCATCGGATGAGCCACTAGAGCGCTCGTTCTGTCCCTGTTTGTTTTCTACCTCAGTTACCTCTTCCCTTGTTCTTTATTCCCTTTCTGTAACCTTGAACCCTTTCCTCTCCAGCTTTCTCCGTACTTTCTCTGTCCAGAGCTTCAGCTGTTAGGATGTTGATCTTTTTAGTATCCCACATTACATTCAAAGGAATAAGCCCTGGGGAGCATGTTCCTTGGTACCTCTGAATAGATGGGTTTCCTGCTCCTTCTCTAAGGGGGGAGTTGTTCAGTTTTCTAAGGATGCTTTGTATTGCCCCTCAAATGCTGGTAGTTGGTACGCACCTAAACATACAGTTTGTTCTCCCTATTTGGAGACTCATGGGAAATGCCTTTGTGCATTTTCTTGGAGGTTTAAGTAAAATAAAACCTTAACCATGCCGGTATAAGAAGACAGCTTTAACCTTTCCCTTTGTGGATCCCTTTGCCCACTGATCTCTGGGCACCTGAGCTTTGGGTCCCATTGCATCAAGACTGTTAAACCCATCTCAGTGATCCCTGCCACAGGCAGCAGAAGGAAGCACATTTATCCTCTTTGAGGAAGAAAAGCCCTGTCTTTGAGTTATGGATTATGAACATGGCCTCAGGTTGATCTTCGAGCTCCTGGCCTGTAACACAGGAAACGATATGCATGGTGCCTATGGCAGGTCTTATTGTGCTTTGATTTTGTATTTGGCATTCATTAGCTGTCCCCAAGGTCCTCACGGCTATAGTTTGCCTAGGCTAACGCACAAGGCGGAGAAAACGGTGGTTGTACTCAAGCCAGGTTTTCTGTCTCCCCAGGCTGGTTGTGAGTTCTTTAGAAGCCCTGGAAAGCTGCTTTGCTGTTGGTCCAATCATCGAGAAGGCAAGTTACTTCTTCAAAGCACATGGGAGCTTTCTGAAGAACTGGGAAGTCAGTGGAGTTGTTTGAGGCCCCAAGCCCTTGCAGCTATAAAAAAAAAAAAATAGCATTTATAGCATAATCTTGATTTGCAAAGAAGCTCCAGAGCAGGCTTTAGCTTAAGGCCTTGCGTCCTACTTTTGGTGGCCTGTGGTGACAGCAGGTGGAAGAATAGGATGAGTCTTGGTACAAGAGTGCTTTCTTGGGAGTCATGAGCTTGGGGTCTGCTGCTTCTCCTGTTTGGAAGGATTCTAATTTCTGAAATCTTTTCCTTGCAGTCCGTGGAGTATAACAAACTCCTGGGGCCCCTTGAAGGATGGAAAGGGGAGGGTGGAGTGTAGACAGTTTATTCTGCATTGGGTTGATAGGATTAGTGATAACCCTGCCATCTTTTGCATCAGGAGAGAAACAAGAATGCGGCTCAGGAGCTGGCAACTTTGCTTCTGTCCCTGCCAGCACCTGCCAGTGTCCAGCAGCAGTCCAAGAGCCTCCTGGCCAGCCTGCACACCAGCCGCTCGGCCTATCACAGCCACAAGGTAATCGTTCCCTCTCGGGATGCCTTTTGTAAGAATGGAATTGTCGGTCCTGCAGGGAAACAAGGCAGTTGGTTCTTTGTGTGTAAAGCAAAGACATAGTGAAATGGAGGAAGGATTGATAGCGTTGAGATCAGACCCACAGAGCCTCAGGTGTGCCCTGAGAACTTAATGAATGCCACCCAAAACTGAAGACGAGTCAGCTCATGGGTCTCTGGTAAATCGGGGCTGATCAGCAAGACTTAAGAAACAGAAGAAGGGGTAATGAGCATGGAGAGCCTCCCTCTGGAAAAGAGTGAGGGGAGGTGGATTGCTGAGATGTTTCCACTGCCCTCACTGTGGGATGATGTGACAGGTGTGCTTGTTGGTGAAAGTTGTTGAGTTGTTGGAGAGCCTCTTGGAGAAAATCTGGGCAGAGAGAGTCTCTCCTAAGAGAGTAGGGAGCTGCCAAAGGAAGAAAGTTGGGCGAGTTTCTGTGGAGAGAAGAGGACAGACAGTTCAGACCCACAAGGAAGAAAGGCCCTGGGAGAAGCAACCAGCCCAGAAGCCCTGGTTAGCCTTTGTGTCTCCAACCAGATAATGGAGAAATGTGCATTTAACTGCTGAGCCTCTCATAGAAATGCAGTTTTGGAAACACAAACAATTCTACTGCTGTAGGAAAGAAGTCTGAGGTGCTGCAGTTCTGAAGAATTGCACGGGTTCCAATTTTCCTATCATTCTTTCATAATGACCTCATGGCTTTTGGGTTTTTGATGACTTTAATGGTTTAGATATGATGAAGTTTAACATTGTTGAGCAACTATGAAGCTTAGTCTAAGTGGTAGTGATAATTAGCCTGTTCTCTTGACAGCATGTCCCTGCCAGCTTTCCTCAGCTCTTAGCGTGAGTGCCCAGTGGTGCCCAGCCCTTGCTTGTGTTTGATCCTCAGTGACCCTGTCGTTCCCTAGGATCAGGCCTTGCTGAGCAAAGCCGTGCAGTGTCTCAACACATCCACCAAAGAAGGCAAAGATTTGGACCCCGAGGTGTTCCAGAGGCTGGTGATCACAGCTCGTTCCATTGCCATCATGCGCCCTAACAACCTTGTCCATTTTACGGAGTCAAAGCTGCCTCAGATGGAAACAGGTGAACTTGGCCTATGTGGCCGTGGTCCTGAAATCAGTTTAGTCTGCTTTCTTTCTCATAGTCTCGCTGTGCTCACTGGCCTTGACTGACTTCGTGCTCTCAGATGGGGATTTTACTCCCAGTCTTTAAACCTGGCTGGGCTTTTGACATTGGGGTGGTTCCATGTTAATAAATTCCTCTTCCAGTGCTACCTCTCTGATGATCCTCAAGTTTATTTAGTGTTGTTGACATCAGAAGTTACAGCTACTTAGGATCTTCAGGGTGAAGCTAAGATTGGTTGGCCCCTGCTTGCTTTAAAGTCATAGAGTCGTATCTTACGCTTTAATGCTGTTCTTTTGCCATTATTTTACATGTACACAGTGGCCTTTCTTAGTGTTCCATTTTGTTGCCTTGTCTCTTCTCATGTTGACTGGAGCCCAAACCTGTTCTTCCATTGTCAGATACTTTACTGATGCCTTTACGACTCTGTTACTTGCTTCTGTATGTGGTCATTGTCCCATTCTTCTAATATTACAATCCCGAAATGATTCTAGAGAAATCTCAGATGTTCCCTTACGGTTTAAAAGTTGAACAGTTGGAACCGACATCTTTGAATCTGCTTGTAAAGATCCTGAATGCTTCCCCTTCTACTTCTTTCTAACATACGCTGTTTTCTGTGATATTCCTTTCCCAGACTGTTTTTTTCCTAGATGTGCCTGCTGGAGTCTAGGGATAGTTGGCATATTGACTGGGGCCCCACTTGAAACTCCCTCCCCAGGCAAGCTTCCTTGACCTGAGTTAACCTTAAAACAAATTAAATTTCATCTCCATCTTACCATTCTTAACAATTGTCTTTCTCCTGCTTAGAAGGAGCGGATGAGGGGAAAGAACCGCAGAAGCAGCTGGAAGGAGATTGCTGTAGTTTCATCACTCAGCTTGTGAACCACTTCTGGAAGCTGCATGCATCCAAACCCAAGAATGCCTTCTTGGCACCTGCCTGCCTTCCAGGTATCAGTGTTAAAAGGAAGGATACTTGGCTCTTGATACAAAGTAAAACTTGGTATGAGTAGTCTTTGAGCAGCTGAGACCTTTACCCCATGGCCCTCTTCGTCCAGAATTAATAATTGAGATACTAAAGTCTGTTAGATGTGTGCATCGTTCTCACTGCAAGGATTTAGCAGTGTCAGAGAGTAGGGTTGTCTTGTATTGCATCTGTTCACACGAAGGGTGTGTGTGTGTCTCCTTCGTGGTGTTTATAGTTTTGTTTTGTTTTGTTTTTTGACAGGCAGAGTTAGACAGTGAGAGAGAGACAGAGACAGAGAGAAAGGTCTTCCTTTTTTCCGTTGGTTCACCCCCCCCCAAAATGGCCGCCATGGCAGGTGCACTGCACCGATGTGAAGCCAGGAGCCAGGTGCTTCCTCCTGGTCTCCTATGCGGGTGCAGGGCCCAAGTACTTGGGCCATCCTCCACTGCCTTCCCGGGCCACAGCAGAGAGCTGGACTGGAAGAGGAGCAACTGGGACAGAATCCGGTGCCCCAACCAGGACTAGAACCCAGGGTGCTGCCGCCACGGCGCCAGTCTATAATTGTTTTAAAAAATTCTATAAAACCATGATTCAAAGCCAGTTCAAAAATTAAAAGCTAAGTATTGGCCTTTCTGGTTTTGTTTCTTTTTAAAATTATATACTTTTTTAAAAAAAAGATTTCTTTATTTGAAAGGTAGAGTTACAGAGAGGTAGACAGAAGAGAGGTGCTCCATCTGCTGGTTCACTGCCCAGATGGCCACACGGCTGGATCTGGGCCGATCTGAAGGCAGGAGCCAGGAGCTTCTTCAGGGTCTTCCTGAATAGAAGATGGCTTGGACCATCTTCTATTGCTTTTCCAGACCATAGCAGAGAGCTGGATCGGAAGTGGAGCAGCTGGGACTCGAACTAGCACCCATATGGGAGGCCGGCTTCATAGACAGCAGCTTTACCTGCTATGTACAGTGCTGTCCCCAGCATTGGCCTTTCAATGATTCTATTTTCAGGCTACTACTTCCTTTGATACCTAACTTCTCAATACCAAAAAGTTCAGGTGGAGGAATAAGGATCTGAATAGCAATATAAAAAGTAGAATGACCCATCCTTTTTGTTTGGAGGTTACTTGCATAGTAATAAAGGTAAGCTAAGTTCCTGTTTTGTCATCACCTGAGGTTGAGGGGTAGTTAGGAGACATTTAATATCTGCCTGCTTTGTCGCATTTCTCTCACTTTCTGTTGACACTTGTAGAGAATAGACAGCTACTTATTCTTTGACGCAGGATAATCTGGGAAGCCTTTTCCTTTTTTTTTTTTTTAAGATTTATTTATTGGAGCCAGTGTCATGGAATAGTGGGTTAAGCTGGTGCCTATGAAGCCGGCATCCCATTTTGGCACTTGTTCTAGTCCCAGCTGCTTCACTTCCAATCCAGCTTCTAGCTAATGCACCTGGGAAAGCAGCAAAAGATGGCCCAACATGGGAGAACTATAAGTTCCTGGCTTGTGGCTTCAGCCTGGCCCAGCCTTGGTCATTGCAGCCATTTGGAGAGTGAACCAGTGGATGGAAGATTCATTCTGTCTCTCTCTCTCTCTCTCTCTCCCTCTCCCTCTCCCTCTCCCTCTCCCTCTCTCTCCCTCCCTCCCTCCCTCTCCCTCCCCCTCCCCCCCTTCACCCCCGCCTTTCAAATAAATAAATTAAAAATATTTATCTGAAGGAGTTACAGAGATAGAAGGAGAGAGACATAAAGACAGAAAGTGAGAGTGAGATCTTCCATCTGCTGGGTCACTCCCCAAATGGCCACAATGGCCAGTACTGGGCCAGACCGAAGCCAGGAGCCTAGAATTCCATCTGGGTCTCCCACATGGGTGACAGGGGCCCAAGCACTTGGACTATCTATTGCTGCTTTCCCAGGTGTGTTAACAAGGAGCTGGATTGGGAATCGCTCTAGTAGCTCAAGTAGCTAGAGGTTTTTCCATCAGGTTTTCAGATAATGTTTTTCTTCCTTTTAGGCCTAACTCACATAGAAGCTACTGTCAATGCACTGGTAGACATTATCCATGGCTACTGTACTTGTGAGCTGGACTGTATTAACACAGCATCCAAGATCTACATGCAGATGCTATTGTGTCCTGTACGTATTGTTACAGCTCCCCATATCTCCCACAGCCCAGGATTATCTGGATGACCTTTAAAGTCATTTACTAACCTAATGAAATAGACTTAAAGAAGATGATTGGAATTAAGAGTTTCAAATATCAGTAAAAGCTTTCAGATCTTACTCTATGAAAAAGGAAGACTTAGAAGGGGGATGTACTTGGTTTTTCTTGTCCAGTGCTAAATCCTGAGGGACTAATCTGGTTATCGCTACATAGTTAGTGATAAGTAAACTTAAATGAACATGGAGTGAGCACATCAAGGTTTCTATTTCCAGTGATGTTGTCACAGAAGGAAAGTGTTTGATAAACTTGTTATAGCATGGAGCTAGGGTGAGCAGTACTGAGTTGGTCGTCTGATGAGTCCATTCGTAGAAAGCCAGAGTGGCTTCAGAAGCACACGGTCTGCAAGCCTGTTACCAGCAGCTGAAGGACAAGAAGGTGCTCGGTGGGGCCTCAGGCCAGGGCAGGAAATGTGGATGAACTTAACCTGCTAAGCTGTCTACTTAGTAGGTGAGAGTAGATAGGTCTTCCACATGCAAGTAATGATTGACCAAGAAAAACAAGTGTTTTAGATATTGTTTCATGAATAATATAAAACCTAAGCTTGACAGTTCACTTTTAAACCTCAGGATCCTGCTGTGAGCTTCTCTTGTAAACAAGCTTTAATTCGAGTCCTAAGGCCCAGGAACAAACGGAGACATGTGACATTGCCCTCCTCCCCTCGAAGCAACACGCCAATGGGTAATGTGAGGTCTGGGTTTGGACATCAGGTGTGGGTGGGAGGGAAGGAAGCAGGCGCGGCATTACGGTATGTTCCTGTTCACCACAGTCTTGGAGATCTGTATTTATTCATTTTTACCCTTTCCATCTTCCATAAGAAATTTAAAATTATATATAAAAATATTATAACTAGGACAAAAAATAAAATCAAGGCTGTAGGAAAACAAAGGTTCTATAGTAAAATCAAATTAAATATGCGGACAGTCTGCTTGACAGGATCCTGCATGGTTAAGTGACTATCTTGTCTTTGGCTGGAAACTTTGCAGTAACCATAGTAAAAATAAAATAAGGATAATTAGAAAAATCACAAAGGCCAAAGAGAGAAGATTTTTCAGGAAAAGTATACTTTACCTGGAACAAAAGTTCTTCATTGAAGGTAATGTTTTGTTGCCTGAAGGGGAGATTCCTCAATGAAGTTACCTACAGTAAGTTTGGTGGCAGGTTCACAGACATCTCCCGCACTATAGACATGGACACAGTCAAGGGGGTAACATTTTAGTAAAAACAGCTTTACGAGATGCTGGCATTCTTTTATAAAATGCTGTCTTGCTTTTATTTAGAAGTAAATTTCAAATGAAAGTCATGTATCTAATTTAAAATATTCTTGTAGCATGGTATAAAGAGTAAAAGGAAGTGAATTAATTTACTAACAATTTACTGTATCAAAACTATTGTTCCAACATTGTAGTCAATGTAAGAATTTATTAGTGAAATAATTAGTTTTTTTTGGTGCTTTGAAAGCCAATGTGTATTTCATGCAATAAAATGCACATCTTCATTTGTAGTAGCCACATTTTTTTTTATTTTTTATTTTTTTATTTTTATTTATTTATTTATTTATTTTTGACAGGCAGAGTGGACAGTGAGAGAGAGAGACAGAGAGAAAGGTCTTCCTTTGCCGTTGGTTCACCCTCCAATGGCTGCCGCGGCCAGCGCGCTGCGGCCGGCGCACCGCGCTGATCCGATGGCAGGAACCAGGAGCCAGGTGCTTTTCCTGATCTCCCATGGGGTGCAGGGCCCAAGCACCTGGGCCATCCTCCACTGCACTCCCGGGCCACAGCAGAGAGCTGGCCTGGCAGAGGGGCAACCGCGGCGCCGGCCTGTAGTAGCCACATTTTAAGTGCTCAGTTCCTACTTGTGCCTAGTGGCTACTCTGGGATGGTGCAGATCTAGAGGAATGTATACGATGCTGTCACATTCAGACACTCTTCCTTCAATATCACTTATCTAAGTGGTTTTTTTTTTTTTATTTAAGATTTTTTTTTTTAAAGAGACAGACATTCCATTCACTGATAAACTCCCCAGGTGCCTGAAATAGCTGGGACTGGGCCAGAAACTCAGTCTGGGTCTCCCACCTGGGAGTCAGGGAACTATGCTGACTCCCAGGGTCTGTGTTAGCAGGAAGCTAGAATCAGTAGCAGAGCTGGGATTCGGACTCAGGAACACGGATATGGAATGTATGCATCCCAAGTGGGCATCAGGCATCATAACCATTCTGCCAAACACATGCCCCTTATTTAAGCTTTGGAAGAGTTCAGTAGCAGTTTGTAGCTGTTTTATCTGAGAAGAAGCTAGAGCGCGGATAGTCTATGTTTTTGTTGAAGTAATGCTTTCATCACCCACTGAATGGCAGATGAGGTCTCCACCCTTCTGACAGTCAGGAGTCTCCCCTAGACTTTTTCCTGTGTAGCAGGCCTCCCCTGCCTTCCTGCAGAAGCAGACCCTAGTGAGACCTATCATGGTGTTCTTTTTTTCCCTTTGATGCTTTTACATTTCAATTCTGGTTCTTCTATGTAATAGTTATATAGTAGAATAACAATCTCATTGACATAGTTGTTTTGGAGAAAAACCTAGTGAAATAAACTCAAACTGACATGACACATAATGTGAACATATCAGTTCTTTTATTTTTCTGGCCTTATCCAAGGTCTCCTGTGGGTCCTGCGGGTCTCCGATATCTCTGCTTTGTGGAAATCCAGGATCCTAGGTCCCGCTAGGTCAAGAAGCAAGAGAACAAGGCCAGGCATAGCACCCCGGAGCTTTCCTCTAAAGCACAGATGCCAGCTGGTAGCTTGTCTTGGGTTTTTGTTGCCCATGGCTTATCACACCCTTAGGTGACTGGGATTTCTCTGACTCAGGAGACAAGGATGATGATGATGATGATGATGCAGATGAGAAAATGCAGTCATCAGGGATCCCGAATGGTGGTCACATCCGTCAGGAAAGCCAGGAGCAGAGTGAGGTGGACCATGGAGATTTCGAGATGGTGGTGAGTCTCTGGCAGCAGGAGAAGGGGGAGGAGCTGCATACTCTCTCTGTGCTCTTATTCAGTGGACTTCCTAAAGTTTCCATTTCCACTAATAAAACTTTCTGTCTGCAGTCTGAGTCGATGGTCCTGGAAACAGCTGAAAATGTCAACAATGGCAACCCGTCTCCCCTGGAGGCCCTACTGGCAGGTGCAGAGGGCTTCCCCCCCATGCTGGACATCCCGCCCGATGCCGATGATGAGACCATGGTGGAGCTTGCCATCGCCCTGAGCCTGCAGCAGGACCAGCAAGGTAGAAGGCAGCTCCAGGAGCGAAGCCGCCCCTGGCCTCGCACAGGAAGGAGCGCTGGGCAGTTACTGATATCTAGCTGACGTAGCTCGACCCCAGATTTGGGGAAAGGTTGATCTGGGTGAGAGCTGTTCAGAGATACAGGTGGAGAGTGAGAGGGATTGTGGTGGGCATTTCTGTCTGGAAGCCAGTCTCATAGTTTCTTCTTGTTGGGCCTTTTGGATTATTTCTCCCTGCATCTGTTGGGTTCCTCCAGCCTATGTCTCGCTGAAGGAAGCATTCCATGGAAGCATTCCTTTGTCATTGACCTTGGTGGGCGGACAGCAGTGGCTCTTGATTAACTTCCTCTAGGCCAAAGGGAGACTCCAGAGGGCAGCAGTTGGCCAAAGCTGTGCTGTGGATGGGGCTTGGAGGGGACGTTGTGTTCACTCTCCACTTGTTTCTCAGGCAGCAGCAGCAGTGCCCTGGGCCTGCAGAGCCTGGGACTGTCCGGCCAGGCACCCAGCTCTTCCTCTCTGGACGCAGGAACCCTCTCTGACACCACAGCATCAGGTAACTGTCCACAGCGAGGAGCACGGCTCAGGGCCCTAGGACCCTCTGGCCTTGTTTCCGGTGCTGTGAGAGTGTAATGGGCAGCTGCTTTGACAGGCCATTCTGGACTTCCTGCTTCTGCCTTGGCTTTAGAAATCTGGGTGTAGATGGCATAGTGATGCAGCTTGGCAGTGATGCTCATGGCTCCGCCTCCTTACACTTTGCATGCCCGTTGTGTCGTCCCCCTGCCCCCGCTTCAGCTAATTCCCCAAGGAAAGGCTGAGAGAGCAGCTGGTAGGCTGATGAGTTTTAGGGCTTAAGTTACTGTCAGAGTTCTAACATTTTAGACAATATTAAAAGGGAGACCAGGAATTGAGTTCATAGTTTTTATGTCTGCAAATAAAAGTAAAGTTGCAAGTAGCTAAGTTATGCTTCAAAGCTTTCAGTCAAAGTAGCTTAAACCATCAAGGATCCGTGAGCTTGAGAGTGAGTGTTTTAATTTTTCCCAATCTGATAGGAACAAAAAATATTTTCTGAATAGAGACTGGGACCAAATAGAGGATGAAAAATCCACTGGAAAATCAACCTTTGAGTGATTTAGGGTTGATTTATAATTTTTCATACCGATGCATCTCTGTGTTTTTCTTTCTTTTTGGAGGGAGGGGTCTGAGGGGAGTGTTACCCTAGATAGACAGGAAAGGGAGAAACTGGCTGTCCCTACCTGCTGCCGTGGCTTGTTGCTTTCCTCAGGTCTCTTCAGTTGCTGTCATTCAGCTGTGCAGTCACCGTTACTGTTCCTCCTGTGCTCTGTGGTGTCTCGGCCCTCCTCCCATGTGCAGCATTGTCCTCCTGTCTCAGCTCAGCCCTGGCCCTGTGCTCTGTGGTGTCTCGGCTCTCCTCCCATGTGTCTCCTGCAGCATTGTCCTCCTGTCTCAGCTCAGCCCTGGCCCTGTGCTCTGTGGTGTCTCAGCTCTCCTCCCATGTGTCTCCTGCAGCATTGTCCTCCTGTCTCAGCTCAGCCCTGGCCCTGGATGCTGTGGCTGTCTCTGGGGAGTTCCCTTGCTTCATTATTAGCATTTGGTGACGATGATTAGGAAGTGTGAATTTCCCAGTGAGCTCCCTTCTGGGCCACTTGATTAAAAATAAAAACCAAACAGGGTCGATTCAAGAGCTCAGGATAAGTGATTTCCTAACAGAAGCACAAATTAAATACAAAACAAATCTCATTTCAATTTAGACTTCTGTGCTTTGAATGGCAATGGCCAGTGTAAGGTCTCTCAGCAGGTGTCAGTAACACCTAGTCCGTGGTGACCATGAAGCGTTGAGCTAGAAACTTGTGTCCATGTCACAGGTTCTGCGCTGTAATGTAGCAGCGAGGAAATGCCCAGTGACCTGGGTTTTCACTCTGTCTGAGTACTGTTTGCAGTGCACCATGTGTAGTGTTTGTTCTGTTAGTGATTAACCGGCACAGCAAATCTTTCCCTTTCTCCTCTGGTGACAGGACGTGTAAACTTCACTTTGAGGTTTGGTGCTTTCACCCCAAGGAGGGGTTTTTCCCTGTAACAGCTCTTGTTACTCTCTCAGCTCCAGCCTCAGACGACGAGGGCAGCACAGCAGCAACGGATGGCTCTACCCTTCGGACCTCTCCTGCCGACCATGGTGGCAGTGTGGGCTCGGAGAGCGGCGGAAGTGCGGTGGACTCAGTGGCTGGCGAGCACAGTGGTAATGTGCCTGGGGGTCCTGATCTCCTTGGGCAGAGGGTGGGAAGAGAGCAGGGATCCCTGCCTGGAGCCTTGACTTGCTGTTTTGCATAGCGATGTTGTAGAGATTCATTGAAATCTTGTGAAATTAATTTGAACTCAATCCTGGAATTTAAAAATGTTCAGTGATAGTAGCCCAGTGGGGTTCATGTTGAAATATTATATAAGTGGCTTTTATTTCTGTCAGCAGGAGAAAAGCAATGTGGCTGCATAGTACCCAATTGTAGTTAGCCTGAGACAGTTACGGTGTGACCTTGAGACCCATTACCCTCTGGGATTTTTCCTCTCTACCTGTTAGGGGAGGATATTTTTAGGCAATCCTGTTAGTGATCTGATGTGATAACATAGCAAGCCAGCCTCCGAGCATACCAGTTGATGAGTTGGGACTCTAGAATGAGGGAGCATGACAAAGGCGCTGTGCTTTGACCTTATAAATCAGTCTGTGGTTAACAATTGGAAATGAAAACTTTTTATGGAGGAGATTGAGTAGCTGATAATTTCCTGTACAGTTTATATTTCCTCTGCAGTATGAGATAGAAATTGATCAGCTGTTGAGATTAAGCTGGTTTTTGTAGGTGGAGTTTATGGACAGTGGAGGCATCAGTGGCTGCTGTGCGAGTGGTTTAGCACAGCGCTACAGGGCCAAGGTCATGAATTCAGTGCTTATTTAACTGCACATGCAAGGAAAAGTGTCTAGATCTACCAGTTATCTTCTAACCATTGCTGATTTCGGAGTGCTCCATACTTTGGGAATTGATGTATGCCTTTTTTTTTTTAACCATTTCTCTGTAGTGTCTGGCCGGAGCAGTGCTTATGGTGATGCCACGGCTGAGGGTCATCCAGCTGGACCAGGAAGTGTCAGCTCAAGCACTGGCGCCATCAGCACCACCACTGGGCACCAGGAGGGAGATGGCTCTGAGGGAGAAGGAGAAGGGGAAACTGAAGGAGACGTCCACACCAGCAATCGGTGAGGGCCCAGCCCTTCCAATGAGGAGGCTTGCCTGCCCAAGAAGGGCTCAGGAAGACAGGGCTGCTTGGCTGCAGGAGGTAGAATGGTGATAACAGTATCTTTCTTTTGAAATATAGCAGTAATAAACTCATGAAACAGTTAAAAATCGTAGGAAGTATTCTAGATCTGACTTGGTTCACTTAGAATATCAAACAGTTTCAGAGAGGTAGGCATTTAGCCTAGTGGTTAAGACCACCCATGTCCTACACGGGGGTGCCAGGGTTCAGTACCCAGCTCCAACTACTGACTTCAGCTTCCTGCTAATGCAGACTCTAAGAGACAGCAGGTTCTGGCTCAGTTCCTACCACCCACATGAGAAAATTGGATTGAGTTCCCTGTTCACGACTTTGGCCTAGCCCAGCCTCAGCTGTTGTGAGCATTTGGGGAGAGAATCCTAATGGATGAGAATTGTCTCTGTCTCTGTCTCTCTGCCTTTCAAATACATTTCTAAAATTAAATTAATTACAGAGAGAAAGTAGTCTTTTTCTTAAGGCTCTCTTAGTAACTGTAATGCCATGAAACCATGTATTTTCCTTACTCAAATCTTTTTTGATTCATTGTCTAATATAATCTTTATAAATGACACTGTTCTAGACTCAACAGTGATAATACAGTAATAATGCCAAAAACAGCCCCTTGTTCAGCACTTTGCTAAGATAAAGGAGGGTAGGTGTTTGGCTGCCTGTGATGCTGCAGCCATATCAGAGTGCCTGGATTTGCATCCCCCTGCTCGCTCCTCCAGCTCCCCGCCAGTGCACCCCTGGGGGACAGCAGGTGATTGCTCAGTTGAGTCCCTGCTGCCTGTGTGGGAGACCTGGCTCCTGGCTTTGGCCTGGTCCAGCCCTGGCTGTTGTGGGCATTTGGGGAGTGAAACAAGTAGATGGGCTCTCTCCCACACTCTGCCTTTCAAACAAATTAATAAATTTTTTAAAAGTAAAGGAGGGAGGCTGGCACTGTGGCACAGTGGGTTAAGCCACCATCTACAGCACCAGCAGGACAAATAGGCACTGGTTCTAGTTCAGAGAATGGTGCAAGTGCTTGGGCTCCTGCACCCACATGGGAGATCGGGAAAAAGCTCCTGGCTCTTGGCTTCAGACCAGCCCAGCTCTGACCATAGTGGCCATTTGGGGAGTGAACCAGTGGACAGAATATCTCTCTCTCTCTCTCTAACTCCACCTTTTAAATAAGTAAATAAAGCTTAAAAAAAAAAAAGAGAGAATTCTTTCACTATACCAATCCAGTGTCAACTCCCACCATTTTTCTTGAGAGACAGAATAGGTTTTATACATTACTTTCAAGTTCATAATGTTCTAACACTGATATTTCTAGACATAAAGATCTATTTGCTATTGCTTTTTTCTCCTTTACTATATTTCAAGATTTATTTATTTATTTGAAAGGGAGAGTTAGAGAGAGAGAGACAGCGATCTTCCATCCACTGGTTCACTCCCCAATGGCTGCAACAACCAGGGATGGGCCATACAGAAGACAGGAGCCAGGAGCTTCATTTAGGTCTCCCACGTGGATGCAGGGGCCTAAGTACTTGAGACATCTTCTGCTTCCCAGGCACAGTAGCAGGGAGCTGAATTAGAAGTGGAACAGCTAGGACTTGAACTGGCACCCATATGGGGTGTTGGCGTAGCAGGCAGCAGCTTTACCTACTACGCCACAATGTCTTCTTAAACAGATGATGACTAGAGAAAGAGAAGAGGAGGAAGAAAAGCCTAAGGATAACAGTATTTGTTGAATTTCTTGAGGCCAGCAGTTACCACATTAGTGCAAAAATTGTGACAGCATGTTAAAAGGAATGATTTCTTAGAGGAAAATTTAGGCATCACAACTTTACCTTTTTTTTTTTTTTTTTCCATATGAACGGCAGAGTCACAGAGAGGGAGAGAGGTCTTCCATCTGCTAGTTCACTCCCTGAGTGGCCACAGCAGGCGGGTTGGGCTATGCTGAATCCAGGAACTTCACCCAGTACTTGGGACACCTTCCGCTGCCTTCTCAGGCACAGAAGCAGGAGCTGGACTGGAAGTGGAGCAGTCGGTGCTCATGTGGGATACTGGAATTGCGGGTGGAGCTTAACCAGTGTGCCACAGTAACAACACCTAGTCCATTACTTTTACCCTTAATGTCTTCTTCTTGACTTATGGTATTGGCTGAAATCTCCGTGCAATGTTTTTGCTTTTTAAGATTTATTTTATTTATTTGAAAGGCAATAGTTACAGAGAGAGGTAGAGCTGGAGAAAGAGAGAGGTCTTCCATCTGCTGGTTCACTGCCCAAATGACTGCAGCGGCCAGAGCTGAGCTGATCTGAAGCCAGGAGCCAGGAGCTTCTTCCAGGTCTCCCACGCGGGTGCAGGGGCCCCAGGACTTGGGCCTTCTTCTACTGCATTCCCAGGCCACAGCAGAGAGCTGGATCAGAAGTGGAGCAGCCAGGACTCGAACTGGCGCCCATATGGGATGCTGGCGCTACAGGCAGGGACTTTAACCTGCTGTGCCACAGCACCAGCCCCTCCATACAGTGTTGACAGTAGCAGTGATGGGTGAATACCCTTATCTCATTCACAGATAGGACAGAAAAGTTTTGATGTTTTACTGTTAAGTATGGTGTTAGCATGAGGGCTTTTTATGGATTATCTTATTCTGTTCTTCTTTACCTAGGTACTTTTATTTTGAATAGATTTTTGATACTTTCTCAAGTTAATTTTATTGTATTTGTTACATTGGTGTTATTTTTTCCCTTTATTCCATGTAGTGTCAGTTACATTAATTGAATTTTTATTTCTCTGTTGCTAAGCCAACCTTGTGGAGGTTTTGGTCAAGATATGTTAACCTTTATAGCACTTCATTTAATTTGCTGATAGATGGTTTAGGCTTATAATTTTCATTTGAAATATTTTCTTTTTTTTTTTTTTTTGAAAGATTTATTTATTTGAAAGCGTTACAGAGAGAGGTAGAGGTAGAGGTAGAGGTGGAGAGAGAGAGAGAGAGAGAGAGGGAGGGAGGGAGGGAGGGAGGGAGGGAAGTCTTCCAATCCACTGGTTCACGCCCCGGATGGGCACAATGGCTGGAGCTGCACCTATCCAAAGCCAGGAGCCAGGAGCTTCTTCCAGGTCTCCCACGCGGGTGCAGGGGCCCAAGGATTTGGGCCATCTTCTACTGCTTTTCCAGGCCATAGCAGAGAGCTGGATCAGAAGAGGAGCAGCCGGGACTAGAACTGGCACCATATGGGATGCCAGCGCGTCAGGCCAGGGCTTTAAACCTGCTGTGCCACAGCGCTGGCCCCCTGAAATGTTTTCCTTAGAGATTGTTATTCATGTTATTCTAACCTCATAAAATAAGTCAGGACATGATCCTCCTTTCTCTTTTCTGTGGAAGAGTTTTAGTAAGGTTGGTATTATTCCATAGTTCTTAGAAAATTTATCAGATAGGGGCCTGCACTGTGGTGCAGCGAGTTAAAGCCCTGGCCTGAAGCACCAGCATCCCATATGAGTGCCAGTTCTAATCCCGGCTGCTCCTCTTCCAATCCAGCTCTCTGCTATGGCCTGGGAAATCAGTAGAAGATGGCCCAAGTATTTGAGCCCCTGCACTTGCGTGGGAGACCTGGAAGAAGATCTTGGCTCCTGGCTCCTGGCTCCTGGCTGCTGTTGCGGCCATCTGGGGAGTGAACCAGTAGATGGAAGACCTCTCTCTGTCTTTACCTCTCTTTGTAACTCTGTCTTTCAAATAAAAAAAAAGAAAGAAACAAAGAAAATTTATCAAGTAAATCTTCTGGCTGTAGACTTCAATGGAAACTTTTAAATTATAGCTCCATTCTTTAAATGTTAGTTATTTCTGTTTCTTCATGTATGCATTTTTGCATGTTGGTTTCCATGAGAAATTTGTTTATTTTAGTTAAATTGTCAGTTTTATTGGCATGAAATTGTTGATTTTTTTAAGGATTTATTTATTTATTTGAAAGACAAAATTACAGAGAGGCAGAGACAGAGAGAGAGAGAGAGAGAGAGAGGTCTTCTATCTACTGGTTCACTCCCCACATGGCCACAACGGCTGGACCTGGATCATGGTCAAACCAGGAGCCAGGAGCTTCTTCAAGGTTTCCTACATGGGTGCAGGGGCCCAAGGACTTGGGCCATCTTCCGCTGCTTTTCCTGAAAATTAGCAGGGAGCTGGATTGGAAGTGCAGAAGCCAGGACTCAAACTGGCACCCATGTGGGATGCTCGTGCTGCAGGCTGGGGCTTTAATCCAGTGCACCACAGCCACAGCCCCGATTTTTTTTTTCCTTTTGTAAAAGCTTTCACTTTTTATTTGGAGTAAAAATAATGTCATATTTAATATTTCTTTCACAAATTAGAAAGAATCCACTGTATTTCAAAGCGTTAAGTATTTTTACTGATTATGCTCTGTTTTCCATAAAAACTACCACAGGTAACCAACTAACTGATGAAAGAGAATTTCTCTTTACACACTATTCCAGCTAATAGATGGAGAAAGAATTAAAGAAGTAGTATATCTCCTTTTTGTAGCCCCTGTTGGGAATAAAGGTATATAAGGATACTTCAAAAAGTTTGTGGATTGTGTTGGCATTTAGCCTAGTGGTTAACATGCCCATGTCCCATGTGAGAATGCTTGGGATCCCATCCCTGCCATGCTCTGGATTCCAGCTTCCTGCTAAGGAAGACCCTAGGAGGCAGCAAGCGATATCCCAAGTGGTTGTGTACCTGCCTCCTGTGTGGGAAACCTGGACTGTAAGACGGTTGCAGAAGTTATTCTGTTCTCAGAATTACTTGAGCTGATAGCAGTTTTACAAAACTGCAAGTAATTTTTCAGAAGTCTTTTTGCCTCTTAAAGAACCAAAATGATAATTAATTTAGTGAGGCCTTAGATTGAGCCAAGCTACAAAGTGTTTTCTAAGCTTCAGAAGAGCACAGTAGTTCTTAGAAGTTAGTGTGTGATTTCCACTTTCATAAACCAAATCCTAGCAATTTAGTAAACTTGGGCCAGCAAAAGTCACTAAGCTTTGTATCAGTAGTGTTTCTCTTAGTACCTGAGACTGGCTACAGATAGGTCAAGGTCGCCATCCACAGTGAACTGCATTATTTTACCCTGGTAGCAGAATAGTAGTCTAATAGAGTAACTACACTCAGGAGCAGGTGTCGGGGTGCAGTGGATCAAGCCTCTGCTTGGGATTCCCACATCCCACGTCAGAGTGCTGGTTTGAGTGTTGAATACTCTGCGAATGATGTAGCTGCTGATTGTGTCCTGTGAGACAGCAAGTGTTCATGCCATACATGTAGAAGATCCCGATGGAGTTCACGTTCCTGACTTTGGCCTGGCCCAGCCTTGGCTTTTTTAAAAAAATCTATTTTTTATTTTGATTGAAAGAGCTAGGCAGAGAGAAGGAGAGACAGGGAGAAAGGAGCTTCCCATCCTCTGATTCACTCTCCAAATGGCCGCAACGGCTGGAGCTGGGTCAGGCCAAAGCCAGGAGCCAGGAGCTTCTTCCGGGTCTCCCACATTGGTGCAGGGAGCCAAGCACTTGGGCCGTCTTCTACTGCTTTCCCAGGCACATTAGATGGGAGGTGGATTGGAAATAGAGCAGCTGGGACTCGAATCGGCACCCATATGGAATGTTGGCATTGCAGGCGATGGCTTAACCCACTATGCCACAACACTGGTCTCAGCCCTGACTGTTTTAGGGATTTTGGGAGTGAATCAGTGGGTAGAAGTTCTCTCTGTCTCTCTCTCTCTCTCTTGTTCTGCCTTTTAAGCAAATGAAAGTAAATAAAAATTTAAAAATTTAAGAAGGTGAAAGGCTTTAAATAAAACTCTAAACTGAGGAGATACTAAAACTTTAAGAAATATAAAAATATTTAAATATAAATAAGGTATAATTTATATAAGATAGGAAAAAAGTTCTCACAAAAAAATAAAGGAAGAGAAATTGCAGAGTAATGAGAAATGGAAGTCTCACAATATGCTAAAAAGTACTTCTTTTATTTGCAACTTGTATTTATGTATTTTTTAATATGTCCATAATTTTTTTTGACCTTTACCATTGGGATATGTAATGTTGTTCCTGTTTTCATTTTAGTTATTGGCAACTTAACATTACTGTTTTTTTTCCAGTTAGTCTTGGTAGGGCTTATCAACTTTATTTTTAAGAAACTGATGTTTAGGGCCAGCGCCGCGGCTCACTAGGCTAATCCTCTGCCTTGTGGCGCCTGCACACCGGGTTCTAGTCCCGGTTGGGACGCCGGATTCTGTCCCGGTTGCCCCTCTTCCAGGCCAGCTCTCTGCTGTGGCCAGGGAGTACAGTGGAGGATGGCCCAAGTGCTTGGGCCCTGCACCCCATGGGAGACCAGGATAGGTACCTGGCTCCTGCCTTCGGATCAGCGCAGTGCGCCGGCTGCGGCAGCCATTGGAGGATGAACCAACGGTAAAGGAAGACCTTTCTCTCTGTCTGTCTCTCTCACTGTCCACTCTGCCTGTCCAAAAAACAAACAAACAAACAAACAAACCTGATGTTTGGCTTTGATTTTTTTTTTAAGATGTATTTTTATTTGAAAGGCAGAATTACAGAGTGACAGATCTTCTATCTGAAGAAAAATTAACTCTTTCCTTTAAGTTCTGTTTAGAATATCAGTTATTTATTCATGTAGGACTCTGTACTTCCATCATCATACTTATTTTGAAATATGCTAGATAGATGACTGCTAGGATATGTAATGCATGAAAAAGAGCGCACCTTGGAAAAAAAATATATATAGGCATATGGTTTCTTAGAAATAATCCCTATGAGGATGGCCCAAGTGTTTGGGCCCCTGCACCCGCATGGGAGACCAGGCGGAAGCACCTGGCTCCTGGCTTCGGATTGGCATAGTTCCAGCCATAGCAGCCAATGGAAGAAAGACCCTTGTCTCTGTCTCTTTCTAACTCTGTCTAAAAAATAAATAAACAAAATAATGCAAAAGAAATAATCCCTATGGTAAATTAAGGCATGTACAGTTTATTAATTATGAAATTGAGCCCATTAATTTGCTTAAGAGTTGTACTTTAGTTTGTGTGAGAGTGTGTGTTCGGTGGGATTGCCATCACGCTGTCAACAGAACCTTACCTAATCAGTTCACAGTGGGCCTCCTGCGTCAGCGTGTTGGTCGGAAGTCCAGAAGAGCACACACTCAGTACAGAAGGTCAGCTGTGTATGTCCAGAAGAAGGCTAGGCAGCAGTTGACTGAGCCATCAGAAAGTTCATTAGTGCAGTAGGAAAGTTTTATACTGGGAAATGATGGATGAGGTGGGAACGTGAGCAAGTGAAAGTGTGATTGACCTTCCTAAGGACTCAAGAAACATGAAAAAGAAAGGTTTGGGTCACCATGCCACTGGGTAATATAAAATTGATCTATCGAAAAATTCCATAGAATAACGCTTGAAGGCTGGATGGGGCTTTGTGTTGGGAAGAGCCCCAAAGCCTGCACTTCTCATTACAGGCTTTCTTTCAGTGCCATCATTGTGCTTTGGAATAGTTGCAGTTTCTTTTCACAGAGCCAGGTGTTTTCATGTACTGCTTGTGTCTCAAATAAGCATTTCTTAGCATTTTTTTCTTTGTCAGAATCATTCCCAGTATTAGACTTGCTGAGTACTGTGGCGGCAGCCGGAAAGAACTGCCAGTGCAGTGCGCTTGGTCAGATCGTGTTTGTGTCCTGCCCCATGTTTCATGTCTTCCTCTTGACCTTTTAGGCTGCACATGGTCCGTCTGATGCTGTTGGAGAGATTGCTGCAGACTTTGCCCCAGCTGCGAGGTGTGGGAGGTGTCCGGGCCATCCCCTACATGCAGGTACCCTGGTTCACGGGCTTCTCACATGCCAGGCGAGCCGTCCTTGAGCATGCGCATGTCTGCCAGCGGACCTGCAAGCCTTGGTTTGGTGTTACAAGGTCACAGAAATGGCCGGCGCCGCGGCTCACTAGGCTAATCCTCCGCCTTGCGGCACCGGCACACGGGTTCTAGTCCCGGTCGGGGCGCCGGATTCTGTCCCGGTTGCCCCTCTTCCAGGCCAGCTCTCTGCTGTGGCCCGGGAGTGCAGTGGAGGATGGCCCAAGTGCTTGGGCCCTGCACCCCATGGGAGACCAGGAAAAGTACCTGGCTCCTGGCTCCTGCCATCTGATCAGCGCGGTGCGCCGGCCATAGCGCACAGGCCGCGGCGGCCATTGGAGGGTGAACCAACGGCAAAGGAAGACCTTTCTCTCTGTCTCTCTTTCTCACTGTCCACTCTGCCTGTCAAAAAAAAAAACAAGGTCACAGAAAGATGGAATAAGATACAAGCCACAGCCCTTTGTTTTATAAATGAAAAGGCTAAGGGTCAGAGAATTTTTAAAAAAATGCTCAAGGTCATTTTTTTTTAAAGATTATTTATTTGAAAGGCAGATTTAACATAGGCAGGGGCAGAAGAAAAGAGAGAGAGAGGTCTTCCATCCACTAGTTCACTCCCCAAATGGCTGCAAGTGCCAGAGCTGGGCTGATCCAAAGCCAGGAGCTTCTTCTGGATCTCCCACATGGGTGCAGGGTCCCAAGGACTTGGGTCACCTTCCACTGCTTTCCCAGGCACATTAGCGTGGGCCTGGATGGGACGTGGAGCAGCGGGGACTCGAACCGGCGCCCATATGGGATGCTGGCACTGCAGGTGGCAGCTTCACCTGCTATGCCGCCACACCGGCCCCTCAAAGTCATTATTTACAGAGTCAAGAGTAAAAGACTACTTCGGGAGTTCTTAGTCCAGAATATCCCTTTGGAGACACAATTGTTCATTTTTCTCTGTCTTTTTTTAAAGATTTATTTACTTATTTGAAGGAGTTACAGAGATAGAGGGAGAGAAAGAGAGATTGTCTGCCTTCTGTTTCACTCTCCAAAACGCCACAACAACCAGGGCTGGGCCAGGCTAAACTAAGAGCCAGGAGCTTCTTGTGGGTCTCCTGTGTGGGTGGGAGGCACCCAAACACTTGGGTCATCTTCTGCTGCTTTCTCAGGTGCATGAGCAGGGAGCTGGATTAGAAGTGGAGCAGCTGGGACAAGAATCAGCACTCATATGGGATGCTGGCATAGCCAGTGGAGGCTTAATCTACTATGCTGTGACTCCAGCTCCACAAAAAAAAATTTTTTTTTTTCATTTGACAGAGTTATAGACAGAAAGAGAGAGGTCTTCCCTCCGTTGGTTCACTCCCCAAATGGCTGCCACGGCTGGCACTGTGTCGATCCGAAGCCAGGAGCCAGGTGCTTTTCCTGGTCACCCATGCGGGTGCAGGGGCCCAAGCAGTTGGGCCATCCTCCACTGCCCTTGCAGGCCACAGCAGAGAGCTGGACTGGAAGAGGAGCAACCAGGACTAGAACCGGTGCTCATATGGGATGCAGGCAGAGGATTAACCAAGTGAGCCACGGCACCGGCCCCCGCAAAATTTTTCTTTAACTATTAGCTCAGTGCCCTATCTCAAGCTCATTTGGGTGGGTATATAATGTAGGTTAGTTCTCTAGGTTTACAGATTTTTTGCAGACCATTTTCTGTGATACCAAGCATGGCATGTATCAGGATTTGGCTTGTCTGACCCTGGACACTTCAGGTTTGTGTAACCTGGCATTGCAATCCTTAGTTACAGCACAGTTGGCAGGGAAGTCATGAAGGCTGGGATTTCTTCAGATACACCCTGTGTTTAGAGTGGATTTTCTTCAGGAAAGTGACTTTCATTGTTTTTCTTTGACTTCCAGGTCATTCTGATGCTCACTACAGATCTGGATGGAGAAGATGAGAAAGACAAGGGAGCCCTGGACAACCTGCTGTCTCAACTTATTGCAGAACTAGGCATGGATAAAAAGGTAGAACAGTTTTAAAAGGTCATACTGTATGAGAAGCAGTGCTTGTCAGAGATCCCACCTCGAGTTCTCTTTGCCCTCTTGAAGGAACTTCACTGAGTTTTGAGGAGTCTTAGTCTGCTTCAACAGTAATGTGTTCAGGGGCTAGTTTGGATCCTGGGTATAAATGAGGAACAAGACAGTATCCTGGCCCTCATGGATCTTTGTAGCTCCTTGGATGAAAGCATTAAATTAGGTGTTTGTATCTTAATCTGGCCTCCCACGTGTCCTGGTCATTAGTTATCCTGGGTGTAGTTATCCTGGGTGTAGTTATCCTGGGTGTAGTTATCCTGGGTGTAGGCCTTGATACATTTGGAGCTGCTGTTCTCTGATTCAGTCTGAGCAACATCAGGACTTACAGGGTTGAGGAAATCTTATTCAAAAGATGCCTCAGCCTGGGAAAGCAGTGGAAGATAGCCCAAGTCCCTTGGGCCCCTGCACCCTTGTGGGAGACCTGGAGAAAGCTCCTGGCTTTGGACCAGCTTGGCTCTGGCTGTTGCAACCATTTGGGGAATGAACATTGGATGCGAGATCTCTCTCTGTCTCTCTCTTTGTGACTCTGCCTTTCAAATAAATAAATAAATCTTTAAAAAAAGAAAAATACTTCAAGTGTAAAGTAAGCGTAGGCTTCTGGGCCTCTGCTTCTACCTGCAGGATGTGTCCAAGAAGAATGAGCGCAGTGCCCTGAATGAAGTCCATCTGGTGGTAATGAGACTCCTGAGTGTCTTCATGTCCCGCACAAAATCTGGGTCCAAGTCTTCTGTCTGTGAGGTATTTTTGCTTTGAGAATGTGGGTTTGGGGAAAGGTAACAGGACTGTCTTGTTGGGCTAGGGCCGAGGGCAGAGGTGATAGTTCCCTGTTGAAATAGACTGTTTGTACCTAAGGGGAGGAGGCGTCTAAGCTGTCACCTCTTCAAGAGCAGAACCTCTACCTTTGGCAGAATCCTTTCCAAGCCCTGGTCTTTGCCAACAATCCCTCCATTGGAGGGGTTAAAGGGTTTGGAAGTTCCATTATTGAAAAGCAAGGGCCTGTTCTGCAAGGCACAGAGTGCCTAAGAGGATTCTCTGAGTGTCTGTTGCTATAAGGTATGGTAATAAAGCAGAGAGAAAGCAATGTGTGTGTGGTGAAAGGAGATTAGCACAAAGCAGAGAAGGTAGAAATTGAGGCTGAACTGCATCCAATCTTAATGAGCTTATGAGCTGTGGGGTTTGCTGGGATTTGCAAGGCTCTCCTAATGGTCTTATTTACAGTAGCTTTACTCCTACTTTTCTATGCATGTGATCTCTCACCCCCATCTCCTTTGGAAGCTGGTGTTGTGGAAGAGCTCCTGCAGGAGGGTGGGGGTGATGAAGTACCTATAGGAGAAAGTTTTCTCTCTCGTTGACAAGAGCTTCCTTCTAGTTGCCCAAGGGGAAGGAGAAAACCCAGCCCCTCCAGGGGAAGAGGTTCTCTAATCCTTGTTTCCCTGTACCCCTGGCACTTACGTGTTAAGAGTGGAGCATGGTATTTCTTAGTTTTCTCTTACCATGCAGCTGTTCAAAAGAGTTGAGCAAATGTTTGAGCTAGTTGGTAAAGTTTACCAACACAAGAGGCTGATTAACTCACTTTCGTAACAGCTAATCCTAAGACTGTTGTGACTGTTCCCTACTCCTTAACACCAACTTGGCCTCCAGTTTTTACAAGGCATGCTTACCCTCTCTGTGTATTTGTTTTCCCTTCCAGTCGTCTTCCCTCCTCTCCAGTGCCACAGCAGCAGCCCTGCTAAGCTCTGGGGCTGTTGACTACTGCCTGCATGTGCTTAAAGCCCTGTTGGAGCATTGGAAGAGCCAGCAGAGTGATGAGGAACCTGTAGCTGCCAGCCAGCTACTGAAGCCACACGCCACGTCGTCCCCACCTGACATGAGCCCCTTCTTTCTCCGCCAGTACGTGAAGGTGAGGTCTTTTCTCTGGCAAAGAAACGCTCTTGTCCCCCGTGCAGAACGCTGCTCTTTGCTCTCAGTGAACAAAGCTGGAGGAGCTAAGAGGAGGAGCCGCAGGAAGGGTTGGGTTCCTTGGTGGGTTTTAATCTCCGTGTGATTTAATAAGTAACCGCTTCTCCCAGCCTTTTCTACTGGGATTCTGATTTCTGCTGCTTTGTAAACCTGAGGAATTGAATGCAATTGGGTGTCTCATTTCACGTTAAGCTCCTTAGAAAAAGATGAGAATGTAAAAGCTGTGGGTTGTGTGCTCCTGTGTGTGTCAGATATTCCCCCTGTCGTAAGAGGCTCTTTTACCAGCTAGTTGAGAGGAGGGCTTTTTGATCAGATGAATTCATGAACACATCTCACCCAGTGAGCTTACTTACTAGCCAGGAAGTAGGGAGAAATTCTATGTAGCCTCAATAAGCCTGTTTCTACACTTGAGAAACAAGGTTACAAACAGTGTCTGCCTCATAGAATTGTTATGAGCACGGAATTAGGTGATGTTTATAAAAGACTCAGCACAGGGGCCAGCGCTGTGGTGTAGCAGGTGAAGCTGCCACCTGAAGTACTGGCATCCCAGGTGGGCACCGGTTTGAGTCCCGGCTGCCCCACTTGCGATCTAGCTCTCTGCTATAGCCTGGGGAAACAGTAGAAGATGGCCCAAATCCTTGGGCTCCTGCACCCACATGGGATGCCTGGAGGAAGCTCCTGACTCCTGGTTTTGGATCTGCCCAGCTCCATCCATTGTGGCCATTTGAGCGGTGAACCAGTGGATGGAGGACCTGTCCCCTCTCTCTGCAAAAGAAGGACTCAGCATAGTGCCCAGCGCACACCAGTGCTCCATAAACGTTCATCATTGTTACAGCTTCTACTCCCTCTGAATCTAAGGAGTGGAGCTGAATGGGTTGAATCAGCTGTGCCTCCTACTGCCTTCTCAGAATGGCTTGAATAGGTAGAGATGGAGTAGGCATAAGATGTGAACTTGATCTGTCCCTCTTGTTTTTCATAACCCCTTTGTAGATTTCTGTAACTTCTAAGCCAAAAATTTGAGGATCCAGCTACCTACTTAACCCACCTGCCTTATCACCTCCAACTCCTCCGTATGCGGTCCTGCCAGTCTGTGTATTTCTCCATGTACACTAGATTGTGTTTGTATTTACTGTTTCCTTGGAAATCCTTTCCTCTCCGTCTGTACCCCTTTCTTCCTCTCTGTAATTGCTAGTCCTTCAAGACCCAGCTCAAGCATTAGCATCTTTGGGAAACCTCCCCTAACACACCTTCCCTACTGTCAAGTCTGATCGAGAGAGCCTTTCCCCTCACCACCATGTTTATAGTAGCCCTGTTCACAATAGCCAAAATACGCAACCAGCCATGGTGTCCATCATCAGATGAGTGGATAAAGAAAATGTGGTAAATATATACAATAGAATATTATTCAGCTATATAAAAAGAATAAATTATGTCATTGCATCAAAATGACTGGAACTAGAGGACATGATGTTGAGTGAAATAAGCCAGACACAGAAAGAAATACTGCATGTTCTCTCTCAAATGTGCACTAAAATTTAAAAGAAAGAAAAAAGGTAGAAATGCCTATATCAGTTTTGCTGCAAATAATGTTTTGTCAAACTTTGTTTTAAATCTTTGTCAAATTGTTTAAAATTATATACTGTAGTTTTAATGATTTGGGGACTATTTAAAATTTACTTCATTTGAATGAAATTGAATATCTCTTCGTTTGACTATTGTTCATAGCCCTTGCCTATTTTCCTGCTTAACTGTGGTCTTTTTACTTTTTGTTTGTTGAACTCTGTAGTTAGTGGAGCATTAAATCTTTGATTGTAATATAAATTCAAACTATGTTATCTCAAAAAAATAATCTAGGGAGAAAAAAAGAGAGAGCCCTTCCCTGCCCCCCAGAGCACCCTGCTGCTTCTCGTCCAGACTGTCAGCAGAGGCTGTCTCAGTTATGCTTCAGTCACAGGAGAGAAGCAGAGCTGCAGCTCAGTGCTCCTCAGCTTTGCACAGTCTTCTGTTGATCACACAGCTTACGTCCCCAACCTTTGAGTGCCCCTGCCTGTTGGTGTGATGTGAACCCAGGATCCTGGCTGAGTTATTGTTGCTGGCACACATGGTTTATTTCAAGTATTTCTTGTGGGAAGTTTTGGTTTCTAGGAAATGGAATGCATTTCTTATGGAAAATGAGAAATCCCACTACTCTGTTTTTATTTCTTTGCCATTCTAGCTGTTCTAGCTCTAGTTTTTCTAGAAGCAGAGAATAATCAATCCCATGTTAAAAACCACAAAGTGAAATGTTAGAACGTTTAAGAGCAGTGAAGACTGTTTCCACTGTAAACTCTGCTTAAGTTAAATTGCCCCAAAGGGCCTGGGGCCTTATGGATTTGTAAAGTGAATTTTCAGTCAGGGATGGCCCCAGCTTTGAAAGGCGCCTTTCTCAACTCCAACATTTAGTATGCCCGGTGAGCAGGAAGCCAGCCTGCTTTCCAGTTGTCATTATAGAAAACTGGCAATCACAGGTTCTCATACAAATGTTCTTCTCCTAGGGTCATGCTGCTGATGTGTTTGAGGCCTATACTCAGCTTCTGACAGAAATGGTTCTGAGGCTTCCATACCAAATCAAAAAGATCGCGGACACCAACTCTCGAATCCCACCTCCTGTCTTTGACCACTCATGGTTTTACTTCCTCTCAGAGGTAAGTGCACGTGCCATGCGGTGTGTCTCTCAGGGAAGGGACACACCTGCATCTGGCTGCGTGGCCTCAGCTCCCTGATCCTCATTGGGCATTTCCCCCTGCAGAGTGCTTCCTACTCTTCCAGGTCCTGGTCTTGCCCCTCCAGGACTTGCTCTGTAGTGAAACTTTGGCAGATGCATGTCAAAGCAAGCCATCTGCTGTAGTTTCTGATTCTGTGTTTGGCTTCCTCCACATGGATATAGGTGCAAGCCAATAATTCAGATGCCGCCAGGAGAACGGTCAACTAGCTGTCTTACCAGAGATTACAGTGTGGGGGGTTGGTTAAACAGCTGTTTGAGAGCCAGAAAAATAAAGTGAACATTAAAGTAACAGATACCTCCCAGTAGCCGTGAGTGTGAAGAAACAAGGAGCAGTGGATCTGGGACATAGCTCTCTGCAGAAGGGCACTGCTGCTGGACCCTCAGGAGCTCTGAGTGGAGAAGCTGGTGATGAGAACTGACTGCTGGGGAAAGGCTGCTGTTGGCGCAGCCAGCAAATGGGAAGGAGCGAGCCCTTTCTTCCTCCTGCCTCCCGCTTCCTGCTCATGCCCCTTGGGCAGAAACTGAGAGCCTGCTGGCCGAGAAGCATTGCAGTAAACCCATTCTGGACTGGGTATCGTAGCACAGTTTGAGAGCCCAGAGCCACGAGCTCAATCAGCACAGCAAGCTGGAAAGAATCATCTGTTGGCAAACCTCAGATGACTTTGGAGTTGGTGTGCACTAGATCAGTTCTGCCCCTTCCCTGGCTCTTTGACCTGAACAGTGATTCAAAACGCTTTGCAGTCTAGTTTCACTCTGGGTGGGCTGGAACAGAGGGCAGCTTCCCTCTAGATCCCTAGGAACTTGAAGAAGAGGAGCATGAAGGGTCCTACTTTCTCTTTGGCTTTTTTCTGTCTCTTCTTTTCCCCTGGTCCCTTTAAGGAATACTTAACTTCACCAGAATCTGATTTGGCTGGGAGGAGATAGTTTGTTTTGGGTTTCTTACTTGTTTTTAGTAAAATTCACTAAAAACCAGGGTGCTAGAGTCACTGTTGGTACAGATACAGGCCACAAGTCACTCTTCGTTTTGCTTGTTCTCCCAAGTACCTGATGATCCAGCAGACACCATTTGTGCGTCGTCAAGTCCGCAAACTTTTGCTGTTCATCTGTGGATCGAAGGAGAAGTACCGCCAGCTCCGGGATTTGCACACCCTGGACTCCCACGTGCGTGGGATCAAGAAGCTGCTGGAGGAACAGGGAATATTCCTCAGGGCCAGTGTGGTGACAGCCAGCTCAGGCTCTGCTTTGCAGTACGACACACTCATCAGCCTGGTAAGAGGGCTGGGAAATGGGAGGGCAGGCGCACGGCGTGTGGTGAGGCTCAGCCAAGCCGGAAATAGGATGGAACAGGGCTGTTACAGAGTTAGAGAATGTGGGCCCTAGAGTTGAGATCTACGTAAATCTGTAACAGCCAAGTGAGTGCTGCATCAGTTGGCTTCAGGGTCTGGGATGTCTCTCTCACCACTCCTGTTCCCACCCCAAGAGTATTTCTTCCATTATGAGGTGGGATCACCAGTGTGATTTGCACATATCATGGAGAAGACCAACTTGAAATTTGTGCAACTTTGGTTTCTGTCCTTGAATAATTAAGAAACTGGGGGGTGTCATGTGAAAGTATATTTCTACCTAAAGGAAAACTGGATATTGGGAGTAAATTGTATATTTTTCATATGAACATCTGGTAAGAACTTCTTCAATATTAATGACTCCTGGGCTGCTTGTCTGGTGTTCTTGGCTGTTGTGTTTGTAGTAACAACAACAACAACAACAGCAAAAGCAAGCTGGAATGCAGTTTCTTGGTTTTTGGCTTACCTTTGTTGCTGCCTTATTGATGGTCTGTAGGTTCCTGAAAACAAAAGGCATTAGTGATAGAATAGAGCAGAGGCAGGCCTGTAAGAGCTGCCTTGGGCCCAGGGTCAGCAGACAGCCCTGAGAAGAGTGCCTTGCAGGACTGGGACCACTCCAGGCAGCAAGTGTGGTGCTCTGTGGTCTGCCTGCTGGAGGCACTCATTTCCTGTGGCCGCTTCCATTGCAGATGGAGCACCTGAAAGCCTGTGCGGAGATTGCTGCCCAGAGAACCATCAACTGGCAGAAATTCTGCATCAAAGATGACTGTAAGCACGCTGCTCATGTGTTTCTTCCAGAGCTGTATGTTGAGGTCTGTGTGTGCTGGACATACAGCCATGAACGAGATAGGTAGAACTCTGCCAAGTAAAGATGAATGAAGAGTGATAAGGGCTGGTAGTCAAAATTCAGGGTGTTCTAGGGGCACCTAGTAGGAGACTCTAACTCCTAGTTGTGGCAGTAAAGCTGAAGGGGAGCAGAGGGGTCTATAGAATCCCTTTCAGGCCAGGGTGGGAGCAGAGGGGTCTCGGCTTTGTGGCAGCTGATCCTGTTCACGTAAGTAGTGGTGGTCATCTCAGAGCTGACCCTTGTTCTGCTTTCAGCCGTCCTGTATTTCCTTCTCCAAGTGAGTTTCCTGGTGGACGAGGGGGTGTCCCCTGTGCTGCTGCAGCTGCTGTCCTGTGCTTTGTGTGGCAGCAAAGTGCTCGCTGCCCTGGCAGCCTCTGCAGGGTCCTCCAGCACAGCTTCCGCCTCAGCCCCTGCGGCCTCCAGTTCCGGACAGGCCACAGCACAGTCCAAGTCTTCTACTAAAAAGAGTAAGAAGGAAGACAAGGAAAAGGAGAAGGACGGTAAGAACACCCTCTTGTCTTAGTGACCAAGGCGATGGTATAAATTTTCTTTTGGAGCACAGGATTTGTTCTGTTCTTCTGGAAGGTGGGGGACCTAAAATACAGAAGCAGTTTAGAGTCTGCTCTGGTCTCGTGTTGTGCTGAAGGTGACCCCCAAACAGTGTGACTTCCCATACCAAGTGAAAGTCGTAGGAGGATCAAAGTACATGGAACATTTTTAGCAGGCCAAGTTTCTTTTTCCTGGGAACACTTGCTCTGTGGCGTGGTTGTCCAAGTGAAGTGAAGTGATGCCTAGTGGACGGCTCATTGCTTGGTGAATTAAGTTCCTTTTGCACACCCTCATCAGTTTCACTGCTTTCCATAGTCTTGCAGCCCTGAGACATGATCAGGACATGGGAGCAACAGCGAGGACCATCATCCCCGCAGTACTCAGATGTCTCTGTGTGGGCGTGGGTTAGTGTCAGCTCTTTGCTAGCACACTTCTGAATGGAAATTCTTCCAGTGTAACTCTATTTGGGCAGTGCCAGGCATGTAGGCAAAATAACCTGTGCCTTTTTGGGAGGCTTTATTATTATGTTTCATTTGAGGCTGACTTATTTGTCCCCCAGTAGGCAAGTGAGAATTGTTTGGGAATTAGAACCATGTAACAGAAACTTTCAGGAAGGGACAGAGTGTTCTCTCTCTTCACCTGACAGCACAAGCCTTGGAACCTCGAGTGGTACTGTCCTGTTCCTCAGCCCTCAATCTTGCCCTGATCTTGCAGGTGAGAGCTCAGGCAGCCAGGAGGACCAGCTATGCACTGCTTTGGTGAACCAACTGAATAAGTTTGCCGATAAGGAAACCCTGATCCAGTTTCTGCGTTGCTTCCTGTTAGAGTCCAATTCTTCCTCAGTGCGCTGGCAGGCCCACTGCCTGACGCTCCATATCTATAGGTAAGGCCAGGCCTTGGTTTGGCAGATCTGCCCTGGTCCAGAACCGAGGAGCACAGCATGTTTCTGTCCAGTTGTATGTCATGTACTCAGTCCATAATTGTCACTGTTTAGACCAGCCTGAATCCTCCTTCATTAACCTGTCTTTTTCTAGCTGTTGAACAGATGTAGGCAAGAGTTTGGTTTTCCACTTAGAAGGCTATGTTTAAGAGTTTGTAAAATGACCAGGCTTGACTCTTTGGGCTAAAATAGTTGAGTTTCTGCTCTGAAGTAATGTTGGATGGTGGGAATGGACCACTTACTGAAGATAGTCAGTGACGATGCTGTGTCTTCTGAGCTTGACCACCCACAGAACAACAGAACCACTTGAGCTTACCTCTGCATTGTGGGCATTGTGGGGAAATCGATACATCTACAAACATACCTGGGCCTTGTGGTAAATAAAGGTGCCTCACGGCTTTCTGCTGCTTGTTAATATGAGCTGTTGTTTACCTACAGAAACTCCAACAAGTCCCAACAGGAGCTCCTGCTAGATCTGATGTGGTCCATATGGCCAGAACTCCCTGCCTATGGTCGGAAGGCGGCCCAGTTTGTAGACCTTCTAGGATATTTCTCCTTGAAAACACCACAGACTGAGAAGAAGGTAATAGTTGCTTATGGTCAGAGAGGCTAGTTTAATTTTGTGTCTCATATTAACTGTTCCCAGGATGTATACATCATGTAGATAATACATAAATGCAGTATGAATTTAACTTAGTCGGAAGTAGTAGGTCAAGTAGGGGAAGAAATGCAGCTCACTGAAGTTGTTTGGGAGGCAGAGTGCCCTTGGTTTTGGTGGTAGCCTCGATGCATACCAGAAAACATCCCTACAATTACACAAGCATTTCATGGCTTTTCCATAAAAATAGAAAATGTCTTCTTCCACAAAGTGACAAAATGACCTATCAATAAGATTGGGGAACTTCTACTAGAGATAGAATCTGTTAATGATTGGGAATCAGGCTCAGTTTTGTGTGATTTTCTGAATGGGATCTGAGACACCTGGTACTTGTAGGGCAGTGTTCACCTCAAAAGCCAGATACCAAAGTCTGTCTCCACTGATTCTCTCTCTCTGTTGAATTCTGTTTCAGCTGAAGGAGTATTCTCAGAAGGCAGTGGAGATACTGCGCACTCAGAACCATATTCTTACCAACCATCCCAACTCCAACATTTATAAGTGAGCTTTGTTTTGCTTTCTGCCTGTTTGATGCTCAGTTGACATGATGAGTAGGTCTTTGCTATTGTGTGTTGATAGGCTCTTACATATGAATTGATAAGCTCCTTGTGCAACAGGAGGCCTATCTGGGTGATCTTGGAATCCCTTCCACGTAGCCCAGATTTTGCACATAGAAGGTGCTCAAAATGTAATTGCTGATTTGAGGGTTTGGTGAACAGTGATACTCATAAGAAGAATCCTAATTTCAGGAGTTTAAGTCTAAATAATATAAAACAAGTTTATAGAAAACATCTTCCTTTCTTTAAAAAAAATTTTTTTTGGAAATATTTATTATTTGAAAGATGGAGAGACAGATACCTTCCATCTACTGTTTCCCTCCCCAGAAGGCATCAACAGCTAGGATTGGGCCAGGCCAAAGCCAGGAGCCAGAAGCTTCTTCCTGGTCTCCCACATGGGTGCAGGGTCCCAAGCATTTGGGCCACTTCACCGCTTTCCCAGGTGCATTAGCAGGGAGCCAGATTGGAAATGGAGCAGTTGGACTCGGACTGGTGTCCACCTGGGACGCTGGTGTCACAGACTGTAACGCTTTATCCCAGTCCCTGTTTTTTAAAAAACTTCTTTTTTTTCTTTATTTTTTAACAGGCAGAGTGAACAGTGAGAGATACAGAGAAAGGTCTTCCTTTTTTTTCCATTGGTTCACCCTCCAATGGCCGCTATGGTCGGCGCGCTATGGTCAGCACACTGCGCTGATCCGAAGCCAGGAGCCAGGTACTTTTCCTGGTCTCCCATGCGGTGCAGGGCCCAAGCACTTGGGCCATCCTCCACTGCACTCCCGGGCCACAGCAGAGAGCTGGACAGGAAAAGGAGCAACTGGGATAGAATCTGGCACTCTGACCGGGACTAGAACCCAGTGTGCCGGCGCCGCAGGCGGAGGATTGAGCCGCGACCTAAAAAACTTTATAAAGAGGACATTGGTTAAATTGAGAATTTATTATTTCCTTGGCTTATTTATTTATTTTTTAATGCTTTTCTGGGAATTTTTTTTAAAGATTTATTTATTTGAAAGAGTTATACAGAGGAGAGAGAGAGAGAGAGAGAGAATATGAGAGAGAGAGAATGGCCGGAGCTGCACCAATCAGGAGCCAGGAGCTTCTTCCAGGCCTCCCCTGTGGATGTAGGGGCCCAAGGACTTGGGCCATCTTCCAGTGCTTTCCCAGGCCACAGCAGAGAGCTGGATTGGAAGTAGAGCAGCTGGGTCTTGAACCAGCGCCCATATGGGATGCTGGCACGGCAGGCAGTGGCCATATACACTATGCCACAGCGCCAGCTCCTCCTTGGTTTATTAGTAACTTTGTTTTTGTTAAACCTTTATTGAGGTATAATTTCCATATCACAAGATGACCAATTATAAATGTACAGTTCAGTGATTTTTTTAAAAAATTTATTTATAATTCCTTTTTTTTTTTAAAGAAAGCTTTTATTTAATGAATACAAATTTCATTAGTATAGCTTTAGGAATATAGTGGTCCTTCCCCCCATACCCCAACCTCCCCCCACCCACTCCCGTCCCATCTCCTACTCCCTCTCCCATTCCATTCTTCATTAAGATTCGTTTTTAATTATTTTTATATACAGAAATCCAACTCTATACTAGGTGAAGATTTCAACAGTTTGCACCCACACAGACACACAAAGTATAAAGTACTGTTTGAAGACAAGTTTTACCATTAATTCTCATAGTACAACTCATTAAGAAGAGAGATCCTACATGGGGAATAAGTGCACAGTGACTCTTGTTGTTGATTTAACAATTGACACTCTTATTTATGATATCAGTGATCACCCACGGCTCTTGTCATGAGCTGCCAAGGCCACAAACTCCGACAGTATGTAGTCAGGGCCATAAGCAAAGTGCAAGTTCTCTCCTCTCTTCAGATAAAGGTAGCTCCTTCTTTGATGGATGTGCTGGATGAGCCTAGTGCTTCTTCCAGGTCTCCCATGTGGGTGCAGGGGCCCAAGGACTTGAGCCTTTTTCTACTGCTTTCCCCTGCCAAAGCAGAGATCTGGATTGGAAGTGAAGCAACTGGGACTTGAACCAGTGCCACATGGGATGCTGGCACTGCAGACAGCAGCTTTATATGCTGCGCTACAGTGCTGGCCTTTCCTATGACTTCTAATCCCCACTGGAATTTCTCACATTTCCTTGTGTCTTCACTGGAGTGGGGCTAACGTGGGGGATGTTGCCATGGGTTTTTCATGGCTTCCGTGCTTCCGAAAATGAAACTTTCCTCATGCTGAGCCTGGTTTCTTCCTTAGTACTTTGTCCGGCTTAGTGGAATTTGATGGCTACTACCTGGAGAGTGACCCCTGCTTGGTGTGTAATAATCCAGAAGTGCCATTTTGTGTAAGTAGCATCTTTCACATGACAGTCTTGAGGCCCGCGGGTATTTGGTTTCTCATTTCCAGAAATTGGTTGTTGCCATTTGGATATTCCCTTGTGATGTTTGGGCACTGACAGTATGGATGCTTACCCGACACACTTGTGACCTTAAATAGAAGCTTCATCTGTGGATGAAGATGGGTTGTACTGATGAATTCTGAAGAAGGCAGGAGGAGCTGTTCACCTGGAATTAAAACCAGGTTTTTGTGTACTCTTGCATTTAGTATATCAAGCTGTCTTCCATTAAAGTGGACACACGCTACACCACCACCCAGCAAGTTGTGAAGCTCATTGGCAGTCATACCATCAGCAAAGTGACAGTAAAAATTGGGGACCTGAAACGGACCAAGATGGTGCGGACTATCAACCTCTATTACAACAACCGAACTGTGCAGGCCATCGTGGAACTGAAAAACAAGTATGGGCTTTTCAGATTTGGCAGGGTGGCAGGTTTATAAGGTTCAACACCAGGTGCTGGCTTTGAGTCCAAGAAAGGGGCAAAACAAGTGTATCCTCTTAGCCACCTCATTTGTGTCTGAGGTGCAATAGTAAAATACCATTTCCTAAGGTTATTGACCAAAAATTATTTTAAAATCAGTCCACTGGAGTGCCAGGGTCTATGGAAGTTTCTCAGTAGCCTGCCTGGAAGAGGGGAACACAGCACGGGACCCTCCAGGCCCACTCATAGCCGTCCTAACTAGGTCAGGTATAAAACCTTCCATATTAGAAAGTAGTCACTTGTCTTGATTGATAGCTAGGCTCTTGCTTGTGGAACAGGAAGTATTTCTCTGGAAGCTCCTCTGGCACTTGTTCCTCCATTTCTGTCCAGTGCTCCTTTTCTTTCTGCCCATGTTGGGTCTTCTAGCCCCTGAATCCCCGTGTCTAAATCAGGGCATGTCATATAGGTCATGACAGGCATTAGTGTGCACTGCTATATTTACTGTCACAGAGATGGAGATGGATCTCTTTGAAGTCTCAGGCGTTGCTGCTGGACAGAGAATATAAGAGATGCTGCTCACATAGTAAGCCTTGCAGTGCTGTTCTCCACATAGAGTGAAAGTACTGCTATTATTCCAAGAGGCAAAATAAGGCTGGTATATACCACATCAACAAATGGCCAGGAGCTCTGCCTAAAGGAAATTTTCCTTTGAAAAGCAAGGTTGACATTGACAACCTGTAAGTAGAAGCTGCCTGTTAGGAGAACCAGTCCATCTTCTGGTGTACTCCTCAAATGTCCATATAGCCTGGAGTTGAGGTGGGGAGATCAGAGGGAGGTGGGGGCTCAAAGCCAGGAACGAGGTACTCAGTCCAGGTCTTCCATGTGGTGGCAGGAATCCAACCCCTTGAGCCATCACTGTTGTGCCTCCCAGGGTCTGCCTTAGCAAGAAGCTGAAATCAGGAACCAGGCATTGAATCCAGGTACTCTGAAGTAGAAAATAGGTGTTCTAACCAGTGTCTTAACCGTGAGACCAAATAAATGCCCACCCCCTGATTTTCTGTTCTTCTAAGTCAGGACAGCTACTGATAAATGTGTAGGTTCAGATTCTAGCTCTACCCCTCACTGTGTGACCAGGGGGAACTTCACTCTGGTTTCTTGAATGTAAGCTGGAGATAACCATTCCACTTCCAGGATCTTACATTCCTTAATTAAGTGAATAAATACATATAAAATCTGACAGCAAGGCTTAGCACGTGGTAAGTACGTTGTCTAGTTGTGTTAGTATGATCACCCCTGAATTACATGCCCTTTATCTTTATGACTTTACTTCGGACTTGCTCCAGACCCTGGTTATGTCCCTCTGGCTCTCTGAAGCAGCTGAGCTCTATCCTTGAACATGGTTGTCAGAATGGGAACTTGGTTGCCATCATTACCACTGCAACTCTTGGGGTTGTAGGCTTCAGTGTGGCATACTTTTGAAATGATGTCTTCTCTTGTTAGTGTGCTTCTGTTTTTCTGGACTCTCAAAAATGATTGTATATAACAGCTGAAAACACTTGTATTTTTTATCCCTTTTTTACTGAGAAAAAAATTCTTAAATTATATTATAAATTAAATTATAAAATTTATAGAAATTATAAATTAAATTATAAAAAATATTTACTGAGAAAAAAATAATTTTTTTTAAAGTTAGCTTACTGTTTGCCAGATTCCTTTCCTTGAAAGTAACTACTGATTGCCTTATAAAAACACATAGAAGTCTCTCTCTTCATTCATCAGACTGCCATCACTGAGAGTTAATGAGAGGCTCTCTGAACCTCTGTTACTCCACCTGACCCCCTCTCTCCTAGGCCGGCTCGTTGGCACAAAGCCAAGAAGGTCCAGCTGACCCCTGGGCAGACAGAGGTGAAGATCGACCTGCCATTGCCCATTGTGGCCTCCAATCTGATGATTGAGTTTGCAGACTTCTATGAAAACTACCAGGCCTCCACAGAGACCCTGCAGTGCCCACGCTGCAGTGCCTCAGTCCCTGCCAACCCAGGGGTCTGTGGCAATTGTGGAGAAAATGTTTATCAGTGTCATAAATGCAGGTAAGCCAGGACTTGTTTCCCAGGCTAGGGCTATTGAGATTCCTTGCATGTTTCTCCTTCTTTCTTTCTTTTTTTTTTCTTCTTTATTTGAAAGGCAGATGGCTGAAATGACCAGCGGGTACTGGGCCAGGCCAAAGCCAGGAACCTGGAAATCTGGGTCTCCCACATGGGTGTAGGGACCCAAATGCTTGGCCCATGTATCATTGATTTCCCAGGGAGCAGGCTTGGAAGTGGAGCAGCCAGGACTCAAGCTGGCGCCCATATTAGAACCAGTGTCATAGGCAGCTGTTTAAACTGCTGCACCACAATGCTAGCCCCACCTTGTGTTTTTCTGTAGCTCTCTTTGTGGGCAATTAGAGAATACTTAGAGGATTATTGTAATGTACAGTAGGTCTGTGGATCTCGGGAGGAGGGAGGAAGATGGAAGAGTGGTGTGCGTGCATATGTGTTTGCTCTCCCCATCCCAAGGTGGGCCTGTGGGGCCAGGAGGGAGGCCCATAAGTTTAGTTCTGGATCTTCCTTTCTTACTTGGTTACTTAAGTCATTCTCTGTCCCTGCAGTAGTTTCCAGAACATAGATGTGGTATGATGTGTCTCCCTAGAGTCATCTCACCCCACCAAGCATCTGCTGTCCTACTCACTCCAAATGCTTTGGTTTTCAGGTCCATCAACTATGATGAAAAAGATCCCTTCCTCTGCAATGCCTGTGGCTTCTGTAAATATGCTCGCTTTGACTTCATGCTCTATGCCAAGCCTTGCTGTGCAGTGGATCCCATTGAGAATGAAGAAGACCGGAAGAAGGTGAGGCCACGTCTGGCCTAGAGTAAGGGCAGTGGCCTTGATCTGAGCTCACAGTGAAGTATGGTTTCCTTCTAGCCCGAGTCTTCTTCCACGCAGCAGTTTCAGGCCCAGCTTCTGGGTGGGAGCAGATAGTGGCGTAAGGTGTATTAGAACATGGTTTGCCTGGGATTTGGGGGAAATGTTGGTTAGTGATGAAACTTGAGTATTTCAAGTATTTGGAAAAGCCAAAAGTAGTTGGATGATTTGCCTTGCACTTGTTCATAGACTGCTTTTTATTGGGGCTATTGGCCTTTTCTTGGTTTTGGGTTTTCCCTGGGTTAGTTCCCAGTCAGCATCGTGTGGTGGCAGGTGGGGAAGAGGGTATCTGGAGATTTAAAGGACAGTGAAAGCTTTGGGACCCACTGGGACAAAAGAACATTTAGCTTTAGAGTCAGAAAAACCAAAGTTCCCATTCCAACTCTGCTTTTTAATTCTTGTTTGACCTGGCATAAATTACTTATTTCCATATTGTGTTTTATTATGTGTCATGTGTATAGTATATATTCTTTTTATTAAAAATTATCTTCATCCACTTAAAAGGCAGAGCAACCTTCCATACACTGGTTCATTCTCCAGATGCACTCAATATTCAGGACTGGGTCAGGCCAAACCCAGAAGCCAGGAGTCTGAGTCTCCCATGTGGGTAGCATCATCCACTGCCTCCCAGTATGCATTGGCAGGAAGCTGTATTGGAAATAGAGTAACTGGGACTTGAACCAGCACTCTATTATGGGGTGCAGATGTCCCAAGCAATGGCTAAACCCACCACACCACAGTAACTGCCCCAGTTGTGTATAATTAAAAAACATACCCAACTTGCAGGATTGTCATGAAGAGTAGGGAGAATGTGTGAAACACAGTGCCTGACTTACAGGAAATGTTTCAGTAATGGATGACAATTAGGATTATTCCTAATTAGGAAAATCAGGGAAAGTCGTTATGCTGAAAAGCCTCCACACAGGTCTTTTCCTGTCTAGGCTGTCTCCAACATCAATACGCTTCTGGACAAAGCAGACCGCGTGTATCATCAGCTGATGGGACATCGGCCGCAACTGGAGAACCTGCTTTGCAAAGTGAATGAGGCAGCCCCAGAAAAGCCCCAGGTGATCCCATGCTAAAGAAGGGGCGTGTAGAAAGGACATGGGTTGTGATGAGAAGACTGCCCCTCGGTGAGGTCATCCTAGGGCTCAAGTCTGACATTTCACCCTTGGGGTTGCAGGATGACTCAGGAACAGCAGGAGGCATCAGCTCTACTTCAGCCAGTGTGAATCGCTACATCTTGCAGTTGGCTCAGGAATACTGCGGAGACTGCAAGAATTCTTTTGACGAACTCTCCAAAATCATCCAGGTAGAGATGGGAGCAGCTTTCGGTGTGTTTTGTTGGGGTGTGATCAGTGTTTCCAGAGCAGTTCAGTTGCCGGTGCTGTGCTTGCCCTGTCGAGCTGAACAACAGAGCAGCCACAGCGAGCAGCATCTTCCCCACTGTGAGTTCTGGTGCTTATCAAAGAGCTGAGTTTGCTCTAGGAAACAGAATAATGGCGATGGGAAGGTTGCATAGATCAGTTTTTCTTGGCCATTCACAACTCATCTTTTAGTAGAGGGGTTACTGGTTTTCAAAAATGGAAAACCAAGATTTCCATTCTTTTTTGTTTCCTGGTGTGCGCTGTTTACAGGCTTGATGGGTGAGGACACTCCAGCTGCAGTCACCCTGAGTAGTTCAGTCATTAACTGGCACGTTACAGCCCTGCTCTCTGTGGGAGGGGAGGCTGGCCACTGACAGTGGCACCTCATATAAGGAGAGCAGCCAGTTTACCTGCCCCTCAAATTGCGGGGATGCCATTTTTCTACTTGTGTATACAATTCTGACATTTAGGTTCTGTAAGAGACAGTTTGACATGGGAGTTGGGAGCCTGACTGTGGTCAGAGTTCACTTCTGCCTCTGCCCCTTATTTCGTCAACCAGCTTCTCTAAGCTTCAGTGTCTTCCTTAGTAAAATGGAGATAAAATATCTAATTGGTAGAGAGTATTGAGAATGTTCAGTTATATAATGCACTTAAAGTTTATTTTCAAAAGCAAAGCTAGTTCCTCTTTTTCTTTATTTAATTGCTATTTTCTTTTTGTCTTTTATTCTTAGAAAGTCTTTGCTTCGCGCAAAGAGTTGTTGGAATATGACCTGCAGCAGAGGGAAGCAGCCACCAAATCGTCCCGGACCTCTGTGCAGCCCACATTCACTGCCAGCCAGTACCGCGCCTTATCTGTCCTGGGCTGCGGCCACACCTCCTCCACCAAGTGCTATGGCTGTGCCTCAGCTGTCACAGAACATTGTATCACACTGTTGCGAGCCCTGGCCACCAATCCAGCCCTGAGGCACATCCTTGTCTCCCAGGGACTTATTCGGGAACTGTTTGATTATAATCTTCGCCGGGGGGCTGCGGCCATGAGGGAGGAGGTCCGCCAGCTTATGTGCCTCCTAACTCGGTGAGAGCCTGTACCATGTTATTGGCACTGGGGTCAGTGGCAGCAGCGAAGTTGGGAGCACTAAAAACTGCCAAGAATTGTGCGTCTGCTGGCCAAATGGACTAGATAGTAGAAAAAGAGGAAAACAGGAAGATATCCAGGGTATAATGAGTGATCCTAGGGAGCACTGACTCTCAGATTTCCTTGTAAATGGTTTATTTGGCTTGCATTTGTGTTGTGTCCTGGTGAGGGAGGAGAAGGGAATGACTGGACACTTGGACTGTAGAAACTCTTACAGAAAGAAGGTGGTGGAGCACTGGGGCTTAGGGAGCAAGAGCTTGGAGTTGGGACCAGAGAGACCCAGCTCAGCATCTGCTTTGTCTGTGCCATGGACAAATTACTTCATTTCTCCGAGCCACTATTTTCCTCATCAGAAAAGTGCTAATGGTAGTGAACGCACAAAAGACTTGTGGTGAGGATGGATGAAGTAGTTCCTAATTATTAACTCACATTTGTTGAGTATTCAGTACTGAGTAAGCATGTGTACCAGAGACTGCCCCAGAGTTTTGTGTGGTTTATTTACTAAGTATATGTCATAAATTCTGGGACAGGTTAGATGTTTGATAAATGTTATTTACTAAATTATTTATTCACTCATTTAACAAGTTTGTACTGAGCATGTGCTGGCCCCAGGCACTGTTCTAGACCCTGGAGATTAAGTTCTTGCCCCCATGTGGCCTGCATTCCAGCCTGAGAGAACTACAGGGAAACCATTACATAGTGTGATCTTAGGAAGTACGATGGTGAAGAAAAATACAGCAGAAGTGGTGACCCTGATTTTGCAGGGGGCCTTGCTATTTTGCCTAAGACCATTGAAGAGGACTTCCTGGAGGGGGTGACTACCTGAGCAAAGTGCTGCATGACAGTGGGCACAAGCTGTGCCAAGATCTCCGGCAGAGGGCTGCATGCAAAGGAAGCAGCCAGTGGAGCCGAGGCTACAGGGCAGCATGTGCAGGAGCGTCAGGACCAGATCCTGTGGGGTCTTGCCGTCCATGTGATGACTTTGAATTTTATTCAGAGTGTGTTGGGAAGCAATATGCATACAATATGATACAGTTTATGCCTTTTCTACTCATAGTGGAGACATTATTGCAAAGGGCCACAGTGGGAAATGTAGATGCCTTGTGGGAAAGGACATGGAGGTACATGGAGAAGAGGAGGAAAGAGCTGTGACAAGACTAAGTGGCCTTCTGGGTTTTGGAGAATGATGCACCAGGCAGCAGCTGTGGGCTCTGCAGCCTGGGTTATAGATCCTGTAAGCTGGTGCTGCTCTTCATTCAGTTGGCATCTGTTTCCAGGAAAGGTGGCCGCGATGGGCCCTTTTCATTACAGACCAGGGTTTTGTGAGGGTTGGGAGGAGGAGGAGGAGGTAGAAAATTTCAGGGCAGGTGGTCCTAGCCATTGGTGTGTTTTCCCTTGGCTTCTTTGGGCAGAATGATGGGTCACAAGCAATCAACAATAGCACAACTCTGTTTCTTTGCCTTTCTCCACCCAGAGATAATCCGGAAGCCACACAGCAAATGAATGACCTGATCATTGGCAAAGTCTCCACTGCCCTCAAAGGCCACTGGGCCAACCCTGATCTGGTGAGCAGACACCAGGACAGCCGCCCTCTAGGTCTCGCCCCTCATGTTCCTTATATCTCCCTCAACCTCCCCTCCAGTCCCTTTGTGGTGACTGACAAAGGCACCAGCAGCAGAGCTGCTCATCCCAGACGAACGTTCCCGGGGAAAGCGTGCACACAGGGTCTCCACCCGAGATCCTTTGTCTCTCACGGGGACACCCGTGAGTGAGCAGGCATTTTAGTTTTGAGGCTCTGGATCAGAACTTGGACCTAACGCCAGTCCTTGAACTAACTCTTCAGACTTGTCTCCACTCACGTCTCTCCCTTTTGGCCTCCTAGGCGAGTAGCCTTCAGTATGAAATGCTGCTGCTGACGGATTCCATCTCAAAGGAGGACAGTTGCTGGGAGCTCCGGTTACGCTGTGGTGAGTTTGGGGACATCTAGTTAGAAGCAAAGAGAGGCTTCACTGTGCGGTCCTGACTTTAGAAGGGGAGAGCAGAGGGAAAATGACACTTGGGCAGCCCCGCTAGTGCAGCTGCCCTGTCTGTCGTGATTGTGACTCTGCTTTTCCTGACCATCCCTAGCTCTTAGCCTTTTCCTCATGGCTGTAAACATTAAGACTCCCGTGGTTGTTGAGAACATCACCCTCATGTGCCTGCGGATCTTGCAGAAGCTGATTAAACCACCTGCTCCAACCAGCAAGAAGAACAAGGTACTGGGCCAAGTGGGGGAGACTAAGAGGGATGGGCAGGAAGGGCAGCAGCCCACCTTGTTCCCTGGTCACCTATGTGTCCTGAACTTGAAGATACAAAAGCGTAAGCGAAGTCCTATGAATAATGGCCTCTTTCTGTGGTCATATCTGATGTCTTGAGTTTCTAGAAACCGTACTCCCGTGTCTTAGCCCTTGCAGTATTGATTGGACCTTCTAGATTCTGAAGCAGACTTCTTGAGTTCACATCCCAGCTCTTTTCATTTTCTGGCATTGAGACTTTGAGCAAGCTACTTACATTCCTCATCCGAATGGGCCATCCCTCAGTGGGGATTAGAGCACCAGGGTTTATGCTCGTGGGGGAATCTAGCCTGTTTCTTGTGTCTGGGTCTGCCCAGACAGTCTTCAGGAAAGACAGGGTTGGGCTTCCCTTTGAGGAAAAACTTTGCCCCTCAGAGCTGATTCCGCAGCAGTGAAATTGGTCTTTGAAAAGTAGAACCTCATCCACATGAGGGAAAAGGAGATGTTCGCCTAATTACTTACTCTCTAAGCATGGAAGCCCAGTGTTTGCTTTGTGCTCTGGTTTGACCTGGAGAGAACACCACTTCTCCAGATAGGGTTCTCAGACCCCAGCTGTTCCAAGACTTCCAACCGGGAGTCTGTGAGGACTAAATTCTTTTCCTGATTATCCTAAGACACTGCTTGCCCTTTTCACTCTCTTGATGTTTGAGCTCATGTGCTGAGGCTGAGCAGCAGGTTCACCAGCTGCACTAGCAGTTCTGCACTGTGTGTTGTTTTCATCAAGAACATCCTTGAGGCAGCAGCACAGATTAATTTTATTAGGTCTCCACTCTTGAGTGCTAGTCTTTTTAAGGCCCAGTATAGCAGAAATGAGAAGTATACCAGAAGCACCTCTCCTGCAGCCCAGGGGTGGTGGTTGTCCTGAAGGCCAGCACCGTGTGAGACGTGAGCTGAGCCAGGCGGAGCCCACTTGTGCTTGAAAGAATGGCTAACACAGGCAGGTGTTGGTTGTTCAGACTTGGATATTTGATAGCTGTTTTCTTTCAAACATCAATGAAGTAATAAGTATGTCACTTTAAGAAGAATTGACAAAACTCTACGTGCCAGTATTTTTCCAAATGATCAGTGTATGTTAGAGTATCCTGTGTGAGTAAAAGATAAAGTTTAGTATCCTGGAATACTCACTAAAGTTATTGATGTGTTTTCAGGGTTCACATTAGAGCTGATCTTTTTTTTTTTTTTTTTTAAGATTTATTTATTTTGCTTGAAAGTCAGAGTTGCACACAGAGAGAAGGAGAGACAGAGAGAGAGAGAGGTCTTCCATCCGCTGGTTCACTCCCCAATTGGCCGCAACGGCTGGAGCTGTGCTGATCCAAAGCCAGGGTCAGGAGCTTCCTCTGGGTCTCCACCTGGGTGCAGGGGCCCAAGGACTTGGTCCATCTCCTGCTGCTTTCCCAGGCCACAGCAGAGCTGGATCGGAAGTGGAGCAGCCAGGACTTGAACTGGCACCCACATGGGATGCCAGCACTGCAGGCGGTGGCTTTATGTGCTACGCCACAGCGCCGGACCCTAGAGCTAATCTTTAAGAATATTCAATTTGTTGAATTTTGGTGTTAAGTTCAATTAAATAAACTATTAAAATATTCTTCCCTTTTTGAAAAGTTTATCTGTGGAGGCCAGAATTTTTCATGTCCTTAACTGACACAATGTATCACAACAGTTTAAATTCAGAAGCAGATAGGAGAATCTAACTGCTTTATTCATAAAGCAATCATTAAGCAATTTTCAAAAATATTAAATAGTGTCATTCCTTCCTTTAGATTATTTTTGCATGGGAAAATGTTTAAAATGTTACATAGATTGACAATTCATAAGTATTTTTAAAATCTCTCAGTTTTAATTTTTAATGTAATCCATATCAGTAGATACAACCACAAATGAAAAAAGCTCTTTGGAGCGCTCAGCACCTTTTGAAGAGTATTAGCAAGGTCCTGAGGTCAAAACTTCAGAGCAGCCGCTTACAGTGCCGGCTGGGGCTCATTCTGGTTAGAAATGGCTCCTTGCATTCTGGTGACTGCTCGTGACCCTTGAAGCTTTGTGCTTTGGGAAACTGCAGATCAGTCTGGGGTAGGCATCAGTGTATGCTGTTGTAGGGCTGTGTGTAGGAAGCTAGCTGTGGCTTTCCCACACAGTCAGTGAGCTGAAGTTCAGCACGGAGGTGCTGCTGGATCAGGTGGTTTCATGGGAACAGAAGGTCCGCTCGCTGCCCTTCCTGAGCTGCCTGCCATGCTGTGGGGCCTGGGGCTCAGACGCGCTCTTGACCTCTCCCCTTGCTCCCTCCAGGATGTCCCCGTTGAGGCACTCACCACAGTGAAGCCTTATTGCAACGAGATCCATGCCCAGGCTCAGCTGTGGCTCAAGAGAGATCCAAAGGCATCCTATGAAGCCTGGAAGAAGTGTCTTCCTATCAGAGGTGCGTCTGTCTCTCCCAGACCTGGGGAACAGGACACTCCTGCCTCGGCCTTTTTTTTTTTTTTTTTTTTTAAAGATTTATTTTATTTATTTGAAAATTTGAGTTATAGAGAGAAAGTGAAAGACAGAGATCTTTCCATCTGCTGGTACACTCCCCAGATGATTGCAGCGGCCAGGGCTGGGCCAGGCTGAAGCCAGGAGCCAGGAGCTTCATCAGGGGCTCCCATATGGGTAGTAGGGCCCAAACACGGGCTATCTGCTGCTGCTTTTCCCAGGCTGTTAGCAGGGAGCTGGATCAGAAATGAGCATCTGGGACATGAACCAGCACTGAAATGGGAGGCTGGCGTCACAGGCAGTGGCTGTACCTACCATGGCAGTACATTGGCCCCCTCCTGTCTCAGTCTTGACAAGTCCCTGTCTGCCACTCTCTTGCACTTACCCATCCCTCCCACCATTGGCTTCTCAGGGATAGATGGCAATGGGAAAGCCCCCAGCAAATCAGAGCTCCGCCATCTCTATTTGACTGAGAAGTACGTGTGGAGGTGGAAGCAGTTCCTGAGTCGTCGGGGGAAGAGGACCTCCCCATTAGATCTCAAACTGGGGCATAACAACTGGCTGCGGCAGGTGAGTGGCCGTCTCCTGGGTCCCTCAGCCCCGAGCCTCGCCCTGGACGCCACGCAGTGTGTGTCTGCCCCTTGTCATGTCATGTGTCTGCTCTGCTCTACCGTCTGCTTGCTCTTCCAACATCCTTCCAAGCAGTAGGGAGGTAGAGTCTCTTGGGTGGCAGCCACTAGCATGGGGGACTGGCCAGACAGAATCTGCTTCTGCCTTTCCCATCAAGCTTGTGCGCTTGTCTCCTCCCTGCCCTCTTCACAGAATGGACCTCAGTGTCTGTGCTGCCCGCTTTTGCTTCTGTTACCAAAGACTTTGCTAAGGGACAGTCCCTGCTTGCTTTTTCCCTCCTTCGTCTTCTGAGGGTGTGTTCACCAGTTTAGCTGATGTAGAGAAGTGCCCTTCCCAGCAGTTGGATCTTGATTTAGCTGGGGAGTTGTACCTTTGACTTTTTCCTAGAGAGGGTCGCAGAGAACTTCCCAGGGGTGGGTGGCAGGTGACTGCCCACTGAGGTCTAGGGAGACAGGGCATCCTCTGACCTGGGCTCTGCCTCACTTGTCCTGCAGGTGCTCTTCACTCCAGCCACACAGGCTGCACGGCAGGCCGCCTGCACCATCGTGGAAGCTCTGGCCACCATCCCCAGCCGCAAGCAACAGGTCCTCGACCTCCTCACCAGGTACCCCTGGGGTCTGGGACAGGGAAGGTGGCGAGACTTCCCCTAGAACCTTTGCCTGTTTCCTGAGGAGTCCATGGGTCAGGGTTTGGGAGGCACATCTGTGGTCTCTGACTGATTCATCCCATTTGGAAGACCACAGAAACAATGACGTGTTAGAAAGCTGGACTGCAGTGTGCAGTAGTAGCAGCAGGAGCCAACTCTTAGGAGTGCATGTTTTGGTATGCATTATCTTGTGTAACACTCACAGCAAAAAGGATAAAAATAAGAGTGCTTGAAGAGTGCGGCATTCATTCCTTGTTTTGTGCTATGAGTTATTCCCAAGGGATGGGTTTGGGATTTTTCTCAGATGCCCTCCCGCCACCACCTAGACCCTGGAGGGAAGAGGTGGGCAGCAGGAGATAGGAAAAAGAGGAGCATTGGTACTTTGGGCTTCTCTGATGGGCCCTGTCTCTCTGGTGGCAGTTACCTGGATGAACTGAGCGTAGCTGGGGAGTGTGCGGCCGAGTACTTGGCTCTCTACCAGAAGCTCACCACTTCAGCTCACTGGAAAGTCTACCTGGCCGCTCGGGGAGTCCTGCCCTATGTGGGCAACCTCATCACCAAGGTATCCCATCTCACTTCCAAGAAAACCCCCTTTTCCCTTGCTTTCCATTCATTGTACTGATACAAACTTTATGGTTTCCTTTTTGCTGAGAAAAAGAAATGCTGAAAATACATTTTGTGGCTTTATTGTTTGGCTACAGCAGTCTTTGGGGGGTATGTAGAGTCTTCCCAGTTTTTACGCAGTCTCTTAGCACTGCAAGAGAGTCATAGAAAGGAATTCTGCAAGAGCGTCCTTGGGGACTGCGATCTCCCGCAATGGTGGTGGTGACCAGGACCGTGGACAGTGCTGTCGTACATTAACTGTGCTTGTCCCTTTTAGGAAATAGCTCGCTTGTTGGCCCTGGAGGAGGCCACTCTGAGCACTGATCTGCAGCAAGGCTATGCCCTCAAAAGCCTCACAGGTAGAGTTCCCTGGCCTTCCATTAGGGCATCTGGGTTTGTGTGAAGCACGGAGCCTTAGTTGCGTGGGTGATGGAGAGTTAAGCTCTGTTTCCCTCCTCGTTGATGGGTTTATATATTTGCATTTCTGTTTGGTATTGGTCAGTTCCCTTCACTGAGCACCTGCTCTGGGCTTCCCCTGTCTTTTTGTTTACAATCTTTTAAAGACACGGAGCTTCCTTGCTCCTTTTTTATGTCCCCACAGGCCTTCTCTCCTCTTTTGTTGAGGTGGAATCAATCAAAAGGCACTTTAAAAGTCGCTTGGTGGGCACAGTGCTGAATGGATACCTATGCCTGCGGAAGCTGGTGGTGCAGAGAACCAAACTGATTGATGAGACGCAGGACATGCTGCTGGAGATGCTGGAGGACATGACCACAGGTAGCACTGCTGAGCTCCCCGGAGCCTGGGGCGGTGTCCCCTCGTCCCACAGAGCCGGAGGAGGAGTGGCAGACGTCTCTCTCTGAAACCCAGCTCTCAAGAGAGTGTTGGCTCTTGGATTATTGATGCCAAGCTAGGCTCAGTCAGTTTGGACATTTTAGGTTAAGCTTAGAGATCAAGGGTTTTCAGAGGATATCACTTACCAGTCTGGAAAATTCTCAGCCATTGTTTCTTCATTGCCTCTGCTGTAGTTTCTCTCCCTTTTCCTTGTGGAACTCCATTCTCACTCTTGGCTACGTCTCTGCTTTTTAAAATATTTATTTATTTACTTATTTATTTCAAAGAGTTACATAGAGGGAGAGACAGAGGGATCCTCCATCTACTGGTTCACTCTGCAATGACCAGGCTGAAGCCAGGAATCTGGAACTCCATCTGGGTCTCCCATGTAGGTGGCAGGGGCTCAAGCACTTGAGCCATCTTCCACTGCTTTCCCAAGCCATAGCAGAGAGCTGGATCTAAGAGGAGTAGCGGGACTTGAACTGGCGCCCATATCAGATGCCAGCGCTGCAGGCTGGGGCTTTAACCTGCGTCACCACAGAACTGGCCCTCCCCACCCCCCCAGCCCAGTGCTGTATTTTAAGGAAAGACAATTTCCCTTTGGCTGTATAGTTGGAGGAAATGGGAGCATTGTTTCCAGCTGACCCTTACACCAAAGATTTATGCATGAGAGTGTATGTAGTTCTGTTGAACTCATAGCCTCCACAGATTTGGGGCTTTTTTTTTTTTTTTTTTTTTTTTTTACAGGCAGAGTTAGACAGTGAGAGTGAGAGAGAGAGACAAAGAGAAAGGTCTTCCTTCCGTTGGTTCATGTTAAAATAACGACAGGGCGCCCGGCTGATCCGAAGCCAGGAGCCAGATATTTCCTCCTGGTCTCCCACACGGGTGCAGGGCCCAAGCACTTGGGCCATCCTCCACTGCCTTCCTGGGCCACAGCAGAGAGCTGTACTGGAAGAGGAGCAACTGGGACAGAATCCGGCGCCCAACTGGGACTAGAACTTGGAGTGCCGGCGCCGTTGGCGGAAGATTAGGCCAGTGAGCCACGGCACCAGCCAGATTTGGGGCTTTTTATCCAATTCTCAAATCCTGGCAGGTTGTGGAGATCAAGGTTCAAAGTAAAACTGGCATCATTGTTTTGCTTATTTCCTTGGTTTTTTTTTTTTTTTTTTGACAGGCAGAGTTAGACAGTGAGAGAGACAGAGAAAAGTCTTCCTTCCGTTGGTTCACCCCTCAAATGGCTGTTACAGCCGGCGCGCTTATCCAAAGCCAGGAGCCAGGTGCTTCCTCCTGGTCTCCCATGCGAGTGCAGGGCCCAGGGACTTGGGCCATCCTCCACTGCCTTCCCAAGCCACAGGGATTAGCCAAGTGAGCCATGGTGCCGGCCTTTGCTAATGTGGCACTTCATTACTACCTTTTAATTCAAATTTTTTAAAAGACTTGTTTATTTATTTGAAGGCAAAGTAACAGGGAGAGAGAGAGAGAGATCTTCCATCCCCTCATTCATTCCAAGGGACTTGGGCTATCTTCCACTTCTTTCCCAGGCACACCAATAGGCGGCTGGATCGGAAGTGCAGCCGCCAGGACTCAAACTGGTACCCGTATGGGATGCCAGCCTTGCAGATCGGGGCTTAACGTGCTGTGCCACAGTGCCAGCGCTTACTTCAACATGTTAAATTGTTTTTACCTGGTGGGGAGTGGGTTGTAGGTCAGGGAACCTCATCTGCCATTTTGCCCACAATGGACACTTTTTTTTGTTTTTTATTTATTTGAAAGGCAGAGAGATAAGGGGAGACAGATCTTCCATCCACTGGGTCACTCCCCAAATTGCCGCAACAACCGGCCAAAGTCAAAGAGCCTGGAGTTTTTTCTGGGTCTCCCACATGGGTGCAAGGGCTCAAGCACTTGGGCCATCTTCCACTGCTTTCCCAGGCACATTAGCAGGGAGCTGGATTGAAAGCAGAGCAGCCAGATCTTGAACCAGCTCCCATATGGGATGCCAGCGTTGCAAGTGGAGGCTTAATCTGCTAGACCATGATGCTGGCTGGTGGGACTCTTAAAAACACCTTACTTCCGGCGCCGGCACACCGGGTTCTAGTCCCGGTCGGGGCGCCGGATTCTGTCCCGGTTGCCCCTCTTCCAGGCCAGCCCTCTGCTGTGGCCAGGGAGTGCAGTGGAGGATGGCCCAGGTGCTTGGGCCCTGCACCCCATGGGAGACCAGGAAAAGCACCTGGCTCCTGGCTCCTGCCATCGGATCAGCGCGGTGCGCCGGCCGCAGCGCGCCGGCCGCGGCGGCCATTGGAGGGTGAACCAACGGCAAAGGAAGACCTTTCTCTCTGTCTCTCTCTCTCACTGTCCACTCTGCCTGTCAAAAAAAAAAAACAAAAAACAAAAAACAAACAAACAAAAAAACACCTTACTTCCTCCCTTTTAAAAAAAAAGATTTATTTATTTATTTGAAAGTCAGAGTTACACAGAGAGACGAAAGACAGAGGGGTCTGCTGGTTCACTCCCCAGTTGGCCCCAATGGCCTGAGCTGTGCTGATCCGAAGCCAGGAGCCAGGAGCTTCCTCAGGGTGTTGCACGTGAGTGCAGGGGCCTGAGGCCCTGGGCCGTGTTCTACTGAGATGATGAGATCGATCAGAAGTGGATCAGCCGGGATTCAAACCAGCACCCATATGGGATGCTGGCACTGCAGGCGGTGGCTTTACCCACTATGTCACAGCGCTGGCCCCTCCTCCCTTTTTTATAACGCAAAGTTATCTCTTTGATTCATAGAGGGCAATTTACCTAATCTTTAGAATGGAGCTTAAAAGTATAACTTCCCAGGGCCTGCAGTAAAAGATGGCCCAAGTCCTTGGGCCCCTGCACCCACATGGGAGACCTGGAAGAAGCTCCTGGCTTCGGATTGGCGCAGCTCCGGCCATTGCAATCTGGGGAGTGAACCAGCAGATGGAAGATCTCTCTCTCTGTCTCTACCTCTCTCTGTAACTCTGTCTTTCAAATAAATAAGTCTTTAAAAAAGCAAACAAAAACTATAACTTCCCTTTGATTGAACTAGAGTACAATTAAGATTATTATTTGGCATTTTTTGAGTACTTGTTTTGGACAAGGGGATGCTAAGTTGAATAAGACATTGTGCCTTTCCTTAAGGAGTAATATACTCAGGGCAATACATGTTGACCTGGCATTAGGTTATTGAATCGAATGTAGTCTGGGTATAAAGCAATTAGTCTCGAGTTTCCAGTTGAACTGTTGGTGCTGCCGTGTAGGGCATTTATAGAGTTACTGGGCTTCAGGAATCTGTCAGTGATGGTATTGTCATTTAAAGTCTCATCTGTTTACACAAGTGAGCTGTTTCCTGACTGACTTGGCCACTTTGGTTTTTTGGCAGGTACAGAGTCGGAAACCAAGGCTTTCATGGCTGTGTGCATTGAGACAGCCAAGCGCTACCACCTGGATGACTACCGAACTCCTGTGTTCATCTTTGAGAGGCTCTGTAGCATCATCTATCCTGTAAGCAGGGTGCTCCTTCCTTAGGGTGCCCACATGTGAGCATGAGACATTTGTCCCTGAAGCCTCTTGGTGATTGATCGTAGATATGGGGAATCTCACTGTGAGCACTTGGGGGCCAGTCAGCATTTCAGGAAGATCCACTGACATGAAACACAAACAGAAGCAACCTCAAAAATCTTCCTGTTCCTGGTGAGAAATCAAGACCTCCCTTGGTCTTATTTCCTAAATTCAAGGTCAAGATTAACTTTTTTTTTTTTAACTAGAGCTAATCTTCCACTGGGAAAATCCCATTGCTTAATCAGCCCACCGTGTTGTGGAAGAGGTTTTTTGTTTGTTTTAAAGATTTATTTATTTATTTGAAACGGAGATATTTTTAAAAAAGATTTATTTATTTAGTTAGTTTAAAGATTTATTTTATTTATTTGAAAGAGTTACAGAGAGGCGTAGAGACAGAGAAAGAAGTCTTCCAATCCGCTGGTTCACTCCCTTAGATGGCCACAACGGCCGGAGCTGTGCCGATCTGAAGGCAGGAGCCAGGAGCTTCTTCCAGGTCTCCCACGCGGGTGCAGGGGCCCAAGGACTTGGGCCTTCTACTGCTTTCCCAGGCCATAGCAGAGAGCTGGATTGGAAGAGGAACAGCCGGACCTAGAACCGGCACCCATCTGGGATGCCAATGCTTCAGGCCAGGGCTTTAACCTGCTGCGCCACAGCGCCAGCCCCAAGATTTATTTATTTATTTGAAAGAGATACACAGAGAGATGAGAGAAAGAGAGAGAGAGATCTTGCATTCGTTGGTTCATTCCCCAATTGGCTGCAACAGCTGGAGCTGTGCTGATCCAGGAGCTTCTTCCAGGTCTGCCATGTGGGTGCAGGGGCCCAAGGACCTGGGCCATCTTCTACTGATTTCCCAGGCCATAGCAGAGAGCTAGACTGGAAGTGGAGCAGCCGGGACTCGAACCGGTGCCTGTATGGGATGCCAGTGCTTTAGGCCAGGGCATTAACCTGCTGCACCACAACACTAGCCCCTGAAACAGATCTTTCCTCTGCTGATTGACTCCCCAAATGACCATAACTGAAGCCAGTGGCCAGGAACTCTGTCCAGGTCTTCCACATGGGTGGCAGGGACCCAAGTACTTGGGCCATCATCTGCTAGTTTCCCAGGTGTATTAACAGGGAGCTGGATCAGGAGCTGAGCAGCCAGGAGTCAAATCAGCACTCTGATATGGGATGCTGGAGTTGCAAGTGGCAGCTTAACCCAGTACCATAACAGTTTTGAGCTAGAATTTAAAAACATTTTTTTTTTCCTAAAATTTTTTTATTTGTTTGAAAGGCAAAGAGAGAGAGAGAGAGAGAGAGAGAGAGAGAGAGGTCTGTCTGCTGGTTTATTCCCCAAATGCCCACATCAGCTAGAGCTGGACAGATACGAAGCCAGGAGCTTCATCTGGGTCTCCCATGTGGGTGCAGGGGCCCAAGCACTTGGGCCATCCCCTACTGCTTTCCCAGGTGCATTAGCAGGAAACTGGATCAGACCAGTGACTGTATGGGATGCCGGTGCCATGGGTGGAGGCTTAGCCTGCTGCGGCACGGTGCCAGCCCTGTAAAGACGTTTTCATGCTCTTCCTTCTTTCTTACCCTTGTTTTGTGCATGCCTGTAGCGTGTTTGTGTTTCCCCTGTCCTGAACTATGTGGAAGCGTGGTGTGATCAGAGACCCCTGCTACAGTAGAGGAAGGATGCACTGATTGTGTCATCAGTTCACAATGAGATTGTCGAATGTTGTGTCCTACAGAGAAGCCCTCTGCATGAACCTCAGGGTCAGCAGTGACAAGTTGTTCAGCCCCTGTGTGGATAGCTTCGCAGGAGGCATGCCTGCCACTTCTCATCTGCTTATTTTGTTAGACTCTCTCCTCATCCTCCTATGAGTTTCAGAGCAGATGCTTAGTGTTTCTGGCTTCGGGAATCGTGTCTGGGTGTTTTGGAGTTGCCTCCGAGCTTCCTGTCTTCATGTACGAGAGGCTGTCAGGTGTCTTCCTCAGAGTGTCCATAGAGAAAGGTAGCCTGGTGTGACTCTGCATCTGCTGTCCCTTGATGCGCCCTTCACTCTGTCCTGTAGGAGGAGAATGAAGTCACTGAGTTCTTTGTGACCCTGGAAAAGGACCCCCAGCAAGAAGACTTCTTACAGGGCAGGATGCCCGGGAACCCATATAGCAGCAACGAGCCAGGCATCGGGCCGCTCATGAGGGACATAAAGAACAAGATTTGCCAGGACTGCGACCTGGTGGCTCTCCTGGAGGATGACAGTGGGATGGAGGTAACACACCTAGAACCTTATTGCCCTTGATTAGAAGTAGGTTAAGGATTCGGACCCAGGTGCTTCCCTGAGTAACCACTTGACGTTGGGCAAGTTCTTTTATTTTTATTTTTTTATTTTTTATTTTTGACAGGCAAAGTGGACAGTGAGAGAGAGAGAGAGAGAGAAAGGTCTTCCTTTACTGTTGGTTCACCCTCCAATGGCCGCTGCGGCCGGTGCACCACACTGATCTGAAGCCAGGAGCCAGGTGCTTCTCCTGGTCTCCTGCGCGGGTGCAGGGCCCAAGCACTTGGGCCATCCTCCACTGCACTCCCTGGCCACAGCAGAGAGCTGGACTGGAAGAGGGGCAACTGGGACAGAATTCGGCTCCCCGACCGGGACTAGAACCCGGTGTGCTGCACCGCAGGCGGAAGATTAGCCTATTGAGCCCCAGCGCCAGCCTGGGCAAGTTCTTGATTCCAGTTTCTCACCCATAAATTGGGGTTAATGATTCCCACCTTCCCTAGTGTTAAGGTTCACTACCTGTGAAGGGCTCTGCCTGGTGCTCGGCATGGAATAAGCAAGTGGTTAGTGCCTAGTGGTGATGGTGGTACATTTTTACTGTTGTTGTCACTGCTGACAGAGGCATCTCAGTGATTCCAAGTTAATTGAGCTCCCTGAATACTGGCATTATAAGCCCTTTGCAAGTGTGTGGCCTGTATCTGACACCTTCCAACAGAAAACCTTTAGGATTGGGCATTATTGTATACACGAGATGGACAAAGGACAGGAGAACGTCCTTAGCAGGGTTTCTAAGTGGGAGACCTTGGTTGAGTTACGGATTTTTGCGACCCCTGGAACTCTGCACACATGTGCATTTGGTTAGAGCAGGAGCGTCTGTTGAGAGGTCCCTGAGCCCTGAACCACTGGTAGAAGGTGCCCTGTGATCTTGGGATGTATTTGCCTTGCAGTTGTTTGGGTTAACAGCCTTATCTGCTTCTCTGTTCAGCTTCTGGTGAACAATAAAATCATCAGTTTGGACCTTCCTGTGGCCGAGGTTTACAAGAAAGTCTGGTGTACCACAAATGAGGTATGTGTACCTGTGTTCTTCTTGCAAGTGTGCTTTTCCTTTTCTGACTTGGGCCGACTTGAACCAGGAGAAGCCATTGTGAATCATTTCTCATCCAGCTTGCTGCAGGACTTGGAGCTTCCCTTCTGCTGTGTGTGGGCAAGTGGAGGAAACCAGTGATCTTGTCATCCTCTGGAGGTTTCTGACTCGTGAGGGTCGAAGGGCCTCAGGAGAGCCTGAGCCTTTCCTGCTTGTGCACAGCCCAGAGCCTTCAGGCCAGCTGGCTCCTGAGGGCACACTGTGATGGGGAGGGCCTGATGCCTGCACCCTTCTCTTTTCATTTGAATGCCTCTCAGCTAGATTAATTCTCAACTTTTATGGGCTTGTTCACTTTTCAGAACATTTTCCCAATAGTTGGGTCAAAGGTCTCGTCTATGGTTTCGTGTTTTTTTTGTTTGTTTGTTTTTGTTTTTTTTTAAAGAATTATATTATTTCTTTGAAAGAGTTATATAGAGAGAGGTCTTCCATCCATTGGTTCACTCCCCAAATGACTCCAACGGCCAGAGCTGAGCTGATCCAAAGCCAGGAGCCAGGAGCTTCTTCCTGGTCTCCCACGCGGGTGCAGAGACCCAAAGACTTGGGCCATTTTCTGCTGCTTTCCCAGGCCATAGCAGAGAGCTGATGGAAAGTGGAGCAACCAGGACTCGAACCAGTACCCATATGGGATGCTGGCACTGCAGGTGGCAGCTTCACCTACTATGCCACAATGCCAGCCCCTCCGCCTTTTTTTCTTTTTTTTTTGGGGGGGGGGGGTGTCTTTATTCCTTTTCTTTCTTCCTGTGACGTTTCCATCTCCGTTTGTCTTTTAAATGAATAAAATATATAACTTAATTCCAGCAAGCTACTGTGCCAGTGAAACACAGCAGACTTTTTGTTTTTAGACTTATTTATTTGAAAGGCAGAGTTACAGAGAGGCAGAGGCAGAGAGAGATAGATCTTCTGTCTACTGATTCACTCCCCAAATGGCCACAGTGGCTGGAGCTGAGCCAATCTGAAACCAGAATCTTGGTGCTTCTTCTGGGTCTCCCACGCAGGTACAGGGGTCCAATCACTTGGGCCATCTTCCACTGCTTTCCAAGGTACATTAGCAGGGAGTTGGATCAGAAGTGGAGCAACCAAGACTCGAACCAGCGTCCATATGGGATACTGGCACTGCAGGCAGCAGCTTTACTCACTATGCCACAGTACCGGCCGGCCCTCTTCTTCTGAAACTAAATTGAACAGCATATTATTTGTACATTTGACCTTTAATCAGTTATACATTTTGGCCTTGCTCATTTCTGTTCTCCTACTTGTGCTGAAGTATCCTTGCAAATAGTGGTAGTGAGCTCAAAGAATACACATGGGCATCTCCCCTTTTGAACCATAACGCAAGTTAGAAGTTGAGAATCTTTCCTCCCTCACATTGGTGTGCACTGTCCACAGAGGAGTCCTCTTGCCAAGTCCAGAGTTTATAGTAGCCTTAAAGATTTATTTATTTATTTGAAAGGCAGAGTTATTTGTAGAGAGGTTGATAGAGATCTTCCATCTGCTGGTTCACTCCTCAAATGGTCACAACAGCTGGTGCCAGGCTAGGCTGAAGCCAGGAGCCAGGAACTCCATCTGGGTCTGTCACATGGATAGCAGGGGCCCAAGCACTTGGGCCATCTGCTGCTGCTTTCCCAGGCGCATTAGTAGGGAACTCGATCAGAAGTGGAGCCCCTGGGACTCGAACCTAAGCTCATGTGGGTTGCCAGCATCATAGGCGGCAGCTTCTGCTGTGCCAGAATGCCAGCCCCCAGCCTGTCTCTCTGGCTACTCGCCACAGCCTGTTTTGTTTTCTGTGTATTGTTGGTGGTGGTTCTGTCTAAGGAGTTCCCATTGGGCTTCCAGGGCTGAAAACCCTTGTGGAACTGGCCTTGCTCTGCAGGTCCCACTTCTGAAGCTGAGTATGAACTTGAGTTAGGGTGGTAACTGCCTCCCACTGAGTGTCCTGTAGTGTGACTGAGCCTGTTTCTCATCTCCAGAGTGAGCATCACGTGTGATAGTGCTGTGCTCAGTGTCTGGCATACAGTGAACTCTCCTGATTTAGTTCAGTAGAAGTGCTATGATCTGATTTGAGGAAGCTTTGTTTCTAGTTATTTCTATCAGGCTATGGATTTTAAATAGAAAAAATATGGATGAACTGCCTCCTTTCTTATGGCCATGTGAAGACCTGAGACTCACCATACGCAAAGATTGATGTCTTCTCTTTTCTTGCTTTTGATTTTTGAGTTTTGAATCAAAGCTCTTTGATATAAAGGAATTCACTTGTCCTGATTCTTTGGGTAGTGGGCTCTGTTGATTGCGGATTATCTACTCCAGGGGGAATGCAGGTTTGGGTTTAGACCTGGGCTTAAGGTGGGTAACTTTGAACAAGCTGTTTGACCTTACTTAAATGGGAGTTATAAAATGCTTAGTTAGCATAGGGCCTAGCACGGAGTAGAACACTCAATAAATAGTCATCGTAGTTATTACATGGTGTTTTGATGAGATTGAATGAGATCATGTTTGTGAAGTATTTCATACAATGTCTAGCCTGAAGTAGACACTGAATAAAATCAACTTCCTTGCACCTCAGTAGGCTTCAGTGTGTTTGGATTCTGAGAGATTTTGTGGTTAAGCGGTTCTCCCACATTGCTGAAGCATTAAGCAAGAGTAGGTGTCGAGTCCTTTGCGTTTTTCTGGTCCTGTTGACAAGTAAGTTTCTGTGTTCAGGGGGAGCCCATGAGGATTGTTTATCGGATGCGGGGGCTGCTGGGTGATGCAACCGAGGAATTCATCGAGTCGCTGGACTCCACCACAGGTAATAGTGGTCCTTCCCCTAGACAGTGTTGCAAAGTGGATTTGAGATTTTGGACTCCTGAGTGGGTCACATCCCAGGACTTGAGTATTCTTAGCAAATACTCTGCAGTACCTCTGCATCAGAATTGTGGAAGGGAAAGCCATCAGCATCTGTGGCCTACTTCAGATACCTGTAGGAGTTGAGAAAAACTTAGCTTTTATAGGGGAAAATGCAGTAAGCAACAGACTTGTTCAGATTTATTTTTAGCTAGTTTTTTCTGCCATTGATGGTAGTAGTACATATTTTCACATTTGAGTAAATAATTTTAATTGAAACCTTAAGCTCATAAGAGTGAGATGCTGTAGTTTACTGTCCAGTTCTGACCCTTTTATTAGCTGTGTCTTTATTGGAGATTAGGAAAAGGCTCTTGGCTCCCATCCTGGAAGGGGGCTGTCCGTCTGGTTTCCACACTCACCTGCCTCTGTTTCTGCTTGGCTTCCTTCTCTGCAGATGAAGAAGAAGATGAAGAAGAAGTGTACAAGATGGCTGGGGTGATGGCCCAGTGTGGGGGCTTGGACTGCATGCTTACCAGACTGGCAGGGATCAGAGATTTCAAGCAGGGGCGTCACCTTCTAACAGTGAGTTGGGGTTAGCAAGGTGGGGGCCAGCCTTCCAGCATTGACAGCAGCCATTGTGCCACTCCACCCTAGAGGGCAGCATGGTGCTGTGGGCCAGGGCAGGCCAGTGAAGGACCTGGCAATTCCCTCATCCTCCCACCCCTACAACCATAGTGACGGGGCTTTCTCTGATACCTCTTTAATCACCCCTAGGGCCCGTGTCTGATTGTCTTTACCCAGAAAACTGCACTTGTGTCAGTCATCGTTATTATTTTATGATTGCTTTTTAAATGGAATTTTGTAATGTAGCTCATTTCCCACATCATAGGATTTTGTTGGGTTTATACCATTGTCTCATTAATAACGATTAGAGGCGTCCATAGGTACCTTTTCACCACTCGGGGTGCCTGAGAACATGTGTCATTGTGCCCGTGGTTTAAATGACGCAGTTCTGAGCTCATGGAAGCCATGAGCTTTGGGATCATTCTGCCTGCTGTTAGTGCTGGGATTTCCCCGAGGCAACAGAACAGCACCTGTCCCATTAGGAACTGGATTCTTGCTGTAGAGAGGAAGGAAGATGTACCCAGCCTGCGGGCACCATCCCTGGAAAACACTGCTGTTCACAAGCTTATCTGAGAGCCCAGCCGTGGCCCCTGGAGGGTCACCGCTCCTCCCTGTGCTCTGCATTTCAGAAAGTGCACTTGGTGATCGTGCCCAGCCCCTCTTGGCATTTCCTTCCTGCTCGTCCCTGCACCCTATACTTGCAGACAGCCACATGGGTTTTGACTGTCTTCTCTTGTCAGGTGCTGCTAAAATTGTTCAGTTATTGTGTGAAGGTTAAAGTCAACCGTCAGCAGCTGGTCAAACTGGAAATGAACACTTTGAACGTCATGCTGGGGACTCTAAACCTGGTAAAGAGTGTGGGCTGTGGGCTGTGGGTGATGAGGAGGGAGCCTTACATGTCCTGGTGGGGGAAGACATCTCAGTTCTGGGCTCAGATAAAGTGGCCTCAAAGCTTCACCTCAAGCCCTTCTGCTGTCTGGCTCTGAGGAGGCCAGGCTTGGGTCACTGAGCTGACCCTTCTCCTGCTGGCTCACTTGTGCAGTTGCCATGGCATCAGAAGGTTCCCTGTCCCTCTCCTGAGTTCAGGTGAGAGATGAGAGAAGGCACTCCCTGCAGTGGTCCAGATTCTATGGTGCACACTCAGTCTGGGAATTAAGACCATGAAGGGCACTCTTGAGCAGATGAGTGGATGTAGGGTTGTTTTGTTTGTTTTAATGACACAGAAAGAAAGACCTTCTGTCTACTGGCTTACCTTCCAGATGCCCACAGTAGGCAGGGTTGGACCAGGCTGAAGCCAGCAGCCTGGAATTCTATTCAGTATTCTCATGTGGTGCCATCCACTCTGCCTCTCAGGATGCATTAGCAGAAAGCTAGATTGGAGGCAGAGTAGCCCGGACTTAAATTAGTACTCTGATATGGCAGCTTTATCTGTGCCACAGTGCCAGTGTTGCCCCCTGTAGCTGCAGTTTGGTTCTGAGAGTGACTGGGTCTCCCTCTCCTACAGGCCCTGGTAGCTGAGCAGGAAAGCAAGGACAGTGGGGGAGCAGCTGTGGCTGAGCAGGTGCTTAGCATCATGGAGATCATTTTAGATGAGTCCAACGCTGAGCCCCTGAGTGAAGACAAGGTGAGTGGGGTCCTCTCCCTGCATCTGCCTGCACTGTCTCATTGCCAGCAGAAGACCTGCTCGCGTCTTGCTGAGTTCCACCGAGGATGACGGTCTGCTCGTATCATTGAATCTCTGGCTGCAGCTCCCACTTCAGTTTCTCTCCACCCCTAACTTCTCCCATCTAATTGGTACTGACTTGGTTAGAGCTGTGAGCGCTCAGTGTCCAGCAGCCTCTCTTAGGCAAAGAGGAGATTGAATGTTTGAATGGATGAGACTGTAAATAGAACCACCTAGAAACTTAGACACTAACTTGAGTAAAACTGAATCCTGTTTCTTATTCCCTAGGAGGTACTGGGACACAGTTCTCCTTGGGCCACTTCTGGTGGCTCTAGATGGAAGTGGGTTGACCTTTGTGGTCAGCTGTTGGCTGCAGCCACAGTCCTGACCTCACCAAGGGCCTTGTCCTCTCTTTGTTGCAGGGAAACCTCCTCCTGACAGGTGACAAGGATCAACTTGTGATGCTCTTGGACCAGATCAACAGTACCTTCGTGCGCTCCAACCCCAGTGTGCTCCAGGGCCTGCTTCGCATTATCCCATACCTTTCCTTTGGAGAGGTGGAGAAAATGCAGATCCTGGTGGAGCGATTCAAACCATACTGCAACTTTGATAAGTATGTAGCTGGGGTTCCTACAGCTAGGTAGGAGTCTACACAAAAGTCCTCAGCTGGTCCTCTGGGACTAAGGACGAATCACCTGAATTTCTCATAGATTATTGTGTACCACGTCTGGCTTTTAAGGGGCTCAGTCTAGTTGGGGAGTCAATAGTTAAAGTATGTTGTGTTAAAGTAGCAACTGGCCAGAAAGAGGTGTTGCTGTTGGTGAAATGGGAAGGGGTCTGACAAATTGGAGAGAGTCAGGTATGAGGGTGTGAAAATGCAAGAGACACTTGTTGAGTGGGGGTGGGGGGGGTGCTAGGAGCCAGGTCCAAGGGTCTTCATGTTGTGTGAAGGGGTTTTGACCAGGTCTGTAGCTGGTTGAAGGTTGTTCACCAAGAGAATGACCTGATGGGCTGTGTTCTGCCTGTCACACCCTCAGACTTGCTCTTCCTGCCTAGGTACGATGAAGACCACAGCGGCGATGACAAAGTCTTCCTGGACTGCTTCTGCAAGATAGCAGCCGGCATCAAGAACAACAGCAATGGGCATCAGCTGAAGGATCTGATCCTGCAGAAGGGAATCACCCAGAATGCCCTTGACTACATGAAAAAGCACATCCCCAGTGCCAAGAAGTAGGAACCCCTGCCTCTGAGGGGCTGCTCCCCTCCCCTGCGCCTCCCCGCAGCCTCTTGGTGCATGAACGCTTCCTGCCTGCTTCCTCCCCCTCCTTGAGGCCTCCTGCTTGCTCTGAAGCTCTCAGAGTGACCACTCAGCCACTGCAGAGTCCTTAGGGGCTGTGGGGAAAGAGCCCATGTTTTGGTTTCTCTTCAGTTACTCACCTCTTGGGGGCTTCACAGCGGAGCTGGGTGGTCTTTGTGATTCTTTATGACACTCTGGGGGTGTTGTGTTTGAACAAGCACTGCAACTTTAGGGAAGCCAGAACTACAACTGGTTTCTGGGTAGTCTTTGCTTCCTGGACCTGCTAACGGGCCTTCCTCTGCTCTGCAGTTTGGATGCTGACATCTGGAAAAAGTTTTTGTCTCGCCCAGCTCTGCCGTTTATCCTGAGGCTTCTCCGGGGGCTGGCCATCCAGCACCCTGCCACCCAGGTGAGCAGCTAATGTGCACGTGTACCTTACTCTGCAGACAGGACGAGCAGGGTGAGAGCCCTGTGCACCTCTCTTCTGTCTGCCTCTGACTGAACAAATACAGCTGCCTGATTCACTAGGGACGTGATTTGCCCTAGCGAATGAGACTGGAGTTGAAGGGACTCGGAGCTCAGCTAGTTCACGTGTGTGCAGGGAGGAAGTCATATTTCTGAATTTCTCATTCAGATCATTCTTAGGTGGGGCTTCACTGTCCCCTGAGTCAGCTGTGTGGCAGTTGAACTATGAGGGTGGTGAGCAGACTGGATTTCTGGCCAGAGTCCCTGAGGCGGCTGAAAGCTTCATTCTGGGGGAGGTCTGCCTGTGTCACTCTGCAGCTCATTTCCTCATCTCTCTCCCACTGCAGTGAACTGATGTCTGTTAGTCCACACGAACTGGCCCTGCAAGAGGGACGAGGGCCAGGTTTGTTTTTTTTCTTTCAGTCACAGGTTTTGAGTTAATTGTAGGTTCATAGAGAAATCATGGCTGGGAAGTAATTCAGAGGGCAGGCTGTGTGGTGCAGCTGCCTGAGCCACTACTGGGGATGCCTGCATCCCTGTCTGAGTGCCAGTTCATCTTCTGCTTACTCGACTTCTGCTTCTGTATCCTGTGATACAGCAAAGGATGACTCTAGTACTTGGGCCACTGCTACACATGTGGGGTGCCAGGTGGAGTTCCCAACTCCTAGCTTCAGCCTGGCCCAGACCCAGCTGTTGTGGGCATTTGGGGAGTGCACCAGTGGATGGAAGATACAATCCATGCCCCCCCTCCCTTTCTCTTTTTCTTTCTCCCTATCAAGCAGATGAAAAAATAACTCTCTCTCTCTCTCTCTATATATATATATACATACACACACACACACATATACACACACACACGCTCCCTATCAAGTAGATGAAAAAAAAAACTAAATACACACACACAGAAAATGTATGGATGATTTACCCAGTATCTTGCAAAACAGCACACATCATGGCCAGAATGTTGATTTTGATACAGTCGAGATACAGGATAGTTTCATCACAGGTACCTTCCTATTGCCCTTTCATAGCCACATCCACCTCACCCTGTGTACCAGTGATGAACACATGACAGCCGCTGACATGGTCTCCACTTCTGTCATTTCGAGAATGTTACACAAGTGGAATCATACAGAGCTGCTTTTTTCACTCTGTAATTTTCTGGACATTCATCTAGGTCGGCACATTCATCGATGACTTATTCCTTTTTACTGCAGAGTATGGATTATCACAGTTGTTTAGCTATTCATTGATTATAGGATATTGGGATTATTTCCAGTTTGGGGCTGTTCTTATAAAGTCATTATGAACATTGATGAGGTTTTGCATAAATATCAGTCTTCATTTTTCTGGGCTAAATGGCCAGTGCAGTTTGCATCAGTGTTGTAAAATGTACTCAACTGATTTCTAGAGTGATTGTATCATTTATAGTTGTTCACAGTCATTAGGTGAGGGATCCAGTTTTTCTGCATCTTTGCCAGTATTTGATGGCTCTTTTTCTTTTTTCTTCAGATCTTTTTATTTATTTGAAAGGCAGAATTGGGAGGGGAGGGTTGTTGCATAGAATGAGGTCTTCCATCTGCTGGTTTACTCTTTCCAAATGGTTGCAATGGCCTGAGCTGGGCCAGGCTGAAGCTGGGAGCCAGGAGCTTCTGGGTCTCCCATCTGGGTGTGGAGGCCCAAGGACATGGACTGTCTTCCACTGATTTCTCAGGTGCATTAGCAGGGAGCTGGATCAGAAGTGGAGCAGCTGGGACTCAAACTGGTGCACATATGGGATGTGTGCTCTGCAGGTGGTGGCCTAATCTGCTATGCCACAGTGCTCAAGTGGCTCTTTTTAATCTATAACCATTCTGGTAGATGTGCAGTGATGTCCATTGTGGGTTTAGCTGTGTGTCTCATGTTGGGTAATGATGTTGAACATCATTCTGTGCTTAATGTCTTCAGTGTCCAGATCTCACCCCTCTTCTCTTCTCTCTCTTCTTTTTTTTAAGATGTATTATTTATTTGAAAGGCAGAGTTACAGAGAGGCAGAGAGAGAGAAAGAGAGAGAGAGGTCTTCCATCCGATGGTTCACTCCCCAGATGGCCACAACAGCCAGAGCTGTGCTGATCTGAAGGCAAGAACCAGGAGCTTCTTCCAGGTCTCCCACATAGGTGCAGTGCGGGAGGCCAGGGACTTGGTCCATCTTCTACTGCTTTCCCAGGCCTTGGCAGAGAGCTGGATAAGAAGTGAAGCAGTGGAGACTCAAACAAGCGCCTATGTGGGATGCCAGTACTGCAGGCGGTAGCTTTATCCACTATGCCACAGTGCCGGTCCTTCACCCATTTTCTAATAGGATGGTTTAACTTTGAGTATCGGGAATCCTTGGGGTTGGATACTTTTCCTGTTTATAGTTTCTTCATTGAATATTGGTCCCCTTCTCATTTAATAGTCTGTTCTGATAATCTATCCAGAAGTTTAGTGACGGGATTTCATGTACCTGGCACAAGTCTCTAATAGTCTAAACTGTTGTTCACCTCAGTGGATATAGTCATAATTAGTACATCTTTGGGTAAATATTTTTCCCATGTTTCCATATCCTATTTTGCATGAGAGTAAATTAGGCAGCAGAGTTATAACTTGGCCAGAGGCAAAATGATGAGCTTAAAATACAAGTCAGCTGATTTCCAGGCTTATTCTTAGTAAAGTGGATTACTTTCTGTAGAAGGTTTTATCTAGTTAGATATTTCGTAGTCACACCCTGACCATTCATTTTTCTTTGGACTGTATTTAGTCTGGAGGGAGCCAGAATGGAACAACAGTGTGAGAGGTAGAGTGTGGAAGGGGTCAAAGGGAAGAGGAGTTCTTTTTCAAAGATTTACTTTATTTAAATGAGTTAGAGAGAGAAGTGTTCTGTCTGCTGGTTCACTTCCCAAGTGGCATAATGGCCAGGGCTGAGCCAGGCTAAAGCTAGGAGCCAAGAGCCACATCCAGGTCTCCCATGTGGGTGGGTGGCAGAGGACTAAGCACTTGGGCTATCTCCCACTGCTTTTCTCAGGCCATTAGCAGGGACCTGGATCAGAAGTGGAGCAGCCGAGACACGAACTGGTGTCCATATGAGATGACTGTTCAGAATCAAAGGCTCTGCCTGCACCTGTTGGTAGGGTTGTCTAATTGGAGGCATGTATATCTCTCTGGTCTTCTGGCAGGTTCTGATCGGAACTGACTCCATCACAAACCTGCATAAACTGGAGCAGGTGTCCAGTGACGAGGGCATTGGGACCCTGGCAGAGAACCTGTTAGAGGCACTGCGGGAACACCCTGATGTAAACAAGAAGATTGACGCGGCCCGCAGAGAGACCCGGGCTGAGAAGAAGCGCATGGCCATGGCGATGCGGCAGAAGGCTCTGGGCACTCTGGGCATGACGGTAGGGCCCCACCTCAGTCCCTACTTGCTTGCCCTCCTAGTTAATGAGGAGGTGGCTGTGGCATGGCCATCTGTGCTTCAGGACAGAATGGGGGCTGAGGATGGGGAAGGTGAGGAGGTGGGAACTAGGTGTGCTGGGCATCCGCAGAGGTGTGACCATTATTGTTCTGCCTCCAGATGAGACGAGTGACGTGAACTGAGCAAGTTCACAGTAATAGTAAAAATGGGGATCGTGACCATGTTTATTGAGGATTTGCTGTATGCTTCAGTTTCTTCCTTGAAACGTTTATATAAATGGTTCTGTGAAGTTGACATTATAGCCATTTTCCAGATGAAACTGAGATGGAGAGGTGAATTCAGTAGGCCTGAGCCTATAACTAAAATGTAGTTGAAAGGATTTTGGGTTTTGGACCTGGGTCTGTTGGACACAAGGACTCTGCCCTTTTCAGTGTCCCACCTGAGAGGAAGCAGTAATCCCAGGAGAGCGTTCTCGCAGCCAGTGGAGTTGTCAGCAGCTTAACACGTGGGAAATGGATCTTGGAATGGCCCTTGGCAGCTGAGACTTGGTGCTGCTGGCACAAAAAGGGGCTTTTTTTTTGTAGCAAATGGCAGCCTTCCAGGGTTCCCACTGGGTGGTTTCCTGTGCTCCAGCAGCTCCTGTCGGAAGGAGAGAACAGCAGAGGAGTCTGGGCTCTCCTCTCCTCGTGCTGCAGCAGTCCGTGCCGTCTGTGTGGAAGGGCACACTGCTGCGTGCGTCTCCTGGCTAGGGTAGGAGGGCATGTGGCAGTCCTCTTCTGACCCAGCTCCTCGGCTCCTCTGCAGACAAACGAAAAGGGCCAGGTCGTGACCAAGACGGCGCTCCTGAAGCAGATGGAGGAGCTGATCGAGGAGCCGGGCCTCACGTGCTGCATCTGCAGGGAGGGCTACAAGTTCCAGGTACAGCTGCTGGGCTCTACCTGGGCCTGATGCGCAGCCCCGCCCTCGTTCCAGGTGGCCTCTCTCCTGCAGAGCGACTTGTGCTTGATGGGAACATTGGTCTTCCTCCTGCTGCTTGCTCACAATAGCCCCTTTAGAGTCTATCTGTAGACAGGGCCTCATGCTCAGAGCTTTATGTAAACTGGATAATTTTATCTTTAGGCCCATGTAAAACGCCCCAGCTTCTGGTTAAGAAAACAGAGTCAGAGCCAGAATTCCAGCCCAGGCTCCTTGGACTCCAAAGCTGAGCTTTCAGAAACATACCATGCTGCTTCCAGTCAGGGCACCTGGGGAGTCCAGACCCTGCCCCTCGAGCTCATTCTGACAGATCATCCCTGAAAGGGGCAGAGCGCCGAGGGGCCTCCTTGCCTCCTGAGGCTGCAGAACGGCCCTTTTGTCTCCAGCACGCATGCAGTACTCGGCACCCGGCACCGTGCAACCTGCTGGTCCGGTGGTAGCACAGGCTCCTCTGCTCCGCCTGGCAGCCTTTGAAGAGCAGGTGACGTGTCAGTCAGCCCTTGTTGTCATTTTCAGACAAGTGAGGCAGCTTAGCTTAGGCTTGCATAGCACCCCCTTCCTCTTTTCTTGAGGCCATGCCTGGCCAAGTGCTTACCCCACGGCTGAGGGGCTGACCTCACCTGCTCTCCAGCACACACACCCTCAGCAGCCAGAGTGCCACGGCGCTGCCGCAGAAGGGGACAGACACTCTGTTCCCTGCTCTGCTTTGCCTCCCGAAGCCTCCCTGGGACGTGTCCTCACCTCGCCTCCTCCTCCTGTTGTCGTCTTTGCAGCCTACCAAGGTGCTGGGCATTTATACCTTCACGAAGCGGGTAGCCTTGGAGGAGATGGAGAACAAGCCCCGGAAGCAGCAGGGCTACAGCACCGTGTCCCACTTCAACATCGTGCACTACGATTGCCACCTTGCTGCTGTCAGGTAGGCCCGGCTCGTGGAGAGCAGGCTTCTGCAGCAGGCGCGAGTGGGCCTCCTCCCCGCGGCCTGGACCTGGAGGCAGTGGCACTGCCAACCTTGAGGGTGCTCTCCTTAAACCATGTAGGTTCCTGAGCTTTCCCTCCGCAGCAGGAGGTGAAAGCAGTCTTGCTTGCCTGAATCAGGGAAGCCGGCATTTGCTGTCGAGATTACAGGTAGTTGTTTCCACAGGGGCAGGAGCGCGGATGGTTCCTCTCCTGTCCCACTCACTCAGTTAATTCCAGCTCTCCTACCTGTCCAGGTTGGCTCGCGGCCGGGAAGAGTGGGAAAGTGCTGCCCTTCAGAATGCCAACACCAAGTGCAATGGGCTCCTTCCTGTCTGGGGTCCCCATGTCCCTGAATCAGCTTTTGCCACTTGCTTGGCAAGGTGAGTATTGCACATTTTTCTAGTAGAAAGGAGGGGATTCCCAGGAGATAGCTATGAGCCCAGCTGCCGATGGCACCATTTCCTGTCTCCTCCACGGGAACCCATGTCTCTCCTGGCTTGTTGTCTGGGGTGCTGTCCAGAGCAGTTGCAGATAGGGGAGGAGGGCTTACTGTGGGGGTGGCTAATGTGGCCCACCCACAGGGTGACAGCAGCCAACACCCTCAGCATTTGAGGCATGGGGTAAAATATCTAGTGAGTCATGCTCTCCTCTCCTTTGTTGATCTTGCGGCCTAAGACCTGGGGCCTCCAACCTCTGACTTGGTCCTTGAGGCCAGGATTTCCCAGAGTTCTTTTGTACAGTGGGTAGGTGGCTCTGATGTTTAAGTAATGAAAGTGGCTCAGTGTCGGAGGGGGATATTGGGCTCCTTGTGAAGCTGCTGTGGTTGTAAAATTCCAGACAAGAGTAGCTAAAGCTTCCCCAGGGGCCTCGTGTCGTATTGATGCCCTGTTGTAAAGCTCAGGATGAAGAGGTCCTCACCGTGAAATGGGCCCCTGGCAGCGGGGACAATAAAAATGAGCGATAGAGTTGAGTGCTTGCTCTGTGTTGTTGTTGTACCCATTCTGCAGATGAAAGAGATTGAGGTGACTTAACGCAGGGTCACCAGTTACCTAAGCAGGGCCCAGATGAATGGGAGTGAGTACTAACTTAGGGAAAGCCTTTGATTCGGAGGTTGAAGAGCTTGTTTTTATGGAGAGAGGACCTTGTGAGCCAGACCAGATAACTTCTGCTGTTTTTCCTACAAAATGTGCTTTCATAGATAGCCTCCCTGTGTCCTGTGAAGTCTGCCAAGGAATGGGCAGCAATGACCATGTCCTGCAGGCCCAGCCCCATCGTGGGCGTCCCCTTGATCTTGTCCATTTATTCACCTTTGAGGCCATCAGGCTAGGGGCACCCAGGGTGGGGCTCTGTTTTCCAGTCTGGGCTTTCACCTGGAATCTCACTTCCAGCATATGTTCCACTTTCTGCAGGCACAATACTTACCTCCAGGAATGCACGGGCCAGCGGGAGCCCACGTACCAGCTCAACATCCACGACATCAAGCTGCTGTTCCTGCGCTTCGCCATGGAGCAGTCGTTCAGTGCGGACACCGGCGGGGGCGGCCGGGAGAGCAACATCCACCTGATCCCATACATCATTCACACTGTGCTTTATGTCCTGAACACGTCAGTATCCCATCCCCTGCAGGCGACTCTGGACTCACCCACCTCACACCCCACACCCCTCTGCCCCAGCATCCTGTCTCCTCCCTGACCAGTTCCAGGGAGCCTTTGTTGAGGTGGGGAGGTTCATCTGTCTTTTGAAGTCACATAGAATAAAGCAGCAAGGGTGACTTCCTTTCCAACAGTGTCCCATCTCCCAGTATGGGCAGCCAGGAGCTGCATCCCTTAAGTGACCTTCAGTCTTGAGGGCAGCCCGGCCATCGAAGTCTCTGGTTTGATGCAGCCACTACTACTACTTAGAAGATTCTTCTTGTGAGTTGAGAGAGGCCAAGGGTTGGGCTCCACTGTGATCTTTAGTCCAGGACATAGGAGTTGTTACAGGGGAGTTTCCCGTCAGGGAGGGGCAGCAGAACTGAGGGCCCGTCTCATCAGTGCAGAGCTGGGTTGGTGGTCCCTGCTTTCTCTCCAGTGCATAATGCTTCTGGCAAGTGCAAGTGCAAGGGGAGAGGGGTTGGTGCAGGTTTATCTGGGAAGGTCAGCCAAGGAGGCAGCCAGCGACCGCAGATGGTATTTTTGTCCAACATTAGGTTGATACCTGAAAGTGTGATTTTAAAGAAACACTTGGAGGGGGTAGGGAATATCCTTTCATTCCACTCAAGAATTTAAAAGTAGACTAAGAGGTTTATTACGCCTTAGCACGTTCATTTCGTTTAAATGGGTTTGTACTTGTAAGCCCCATTTGCTGCAGTCTTACAGGCCTGTTGGGCAGGGCCTGGCACCTATGGCAAAGCTGTGGACTGCCCACCTGTGTGGCCGGCATGCAGTTCAGACAGCAGGACAGCCTGTCTCTTGTTCTTTCTGATCCTCCCTCTTCAACAGTGTTATTTTCTCCTTCCCTCCCCTTTCCTTGTGAGACTGCAGGCCTCATTGTTAAAAACACAAGGCAGGTCTCCATCAGCACATTACATCACCTGCTAAGCCGCAGGGGCTGTCGGAAGAAACACCTGGCTTCACAGACATTCCCACTGTGCAAGCCATGCAGCAGGCCTGAGCAGGGCTGATTGCCAGTACTCCTGGGGCCGCCGCCAGCCCTTGTTTTTTGCAGAGACATGTCTCTTGGCAGCCTTAAGGTGGACTGGACTGTTCCCTTCTGCATGGAGAGAACAGACTCAGCTAGGGAAACAATTTCTACAGACTTCAGGTGTTCCATGTTTCTCACGTGCCAGGCTACTACTGACACGTCTTTTTTTAATAATTTGAAAGAGTTAGGTAGAGTCAGAGAGAAAGAGATCTTCCATATGCTGGTTCACTCCCCAAATGGCTACAACGGCCAGAGCTGAGCTGATCCAAAGCCAAGAGCCAGGAGCTTCCTCCTGGTCTCCCACATGGATGCAGGGACCCAAGCACTTGGGCCATCTTCTACTGCTTTCCCAGGCTATAGCGGAGAGGTGTATTGGAAGTGGAGCAGCCGGGACCCATGTGGGATGCCGGTGCCACAGGCCGGGGCTTTAACCTGCTGCCTCACAGTGCCAGCCCCATGCCAGGCATTTTTAACTCCTGCTTGTGTCCCTTCGTTGGACAGGGAGTTGGCTCTGTCACAGTGGCCTTGGTCAGTCTGGCTGAGCCAGAAGCTTTGTCGAGGGGCACTGTTTTCTCTGCTACAGGCTGTCTCCCTAGCCAGCCACTTGACGTCGGTGTGCTTGGTCTCAGGGCATCTGGGTGCCGATGGTGAAACTTCTGCGTGTGAAGACAAGTGTGTCACACCCTGGCTACCATGAGCCAGAGTGGGGCCTGAGTAGGTCCTGTAGTGGCAGAAGATCACCTGACCTGTGGGTTCAGAGGTGCATCCAGGATACCCCTGCATTGTGTCACGCGCATTCTGCTGGTGCCTCGCACCCTGCCCTCCTTTCCCACAACCCCATCTGGCAGTGCCACATGCAGCCCTGGAGACAGGGATCCTGGTGACTGCTGGGGTCGTGCTTGTCGTCTCCCTGTGGACGTAGGCGAGGGCATCAAGCGTGCCTGGCATGCAAGTACCTTAAGGAGAGTGGAGCCGGAAGCACAGCATCAGGAAGGACCTCAGTGACTTCTTGGTGCCCGCTCCACGAGCTGTTGTCAGACTTCTCCTGAGGAGGGCAGTAGAGCGCCAGCATGGAAGGCTCGGGCCAGGCTGCCTGGGTGCAGCACTGCATCCTGCCCCAGCGTGACTCTGGACACGAGAGCTGCCGGCTCTGTACTAGCTTCCTCCTCTGGAAGGGTGGGGCAGTGCTGGTGCCCGTCTGTTGTTCTGGTGAGGCTCAAACGAGAGGATCCACACGGAGCACGTGGAATGGTGCCTGCGTTGGTTTGTTGTGATCATCATTGCAGCTCTGGTGAGAGTGAGGACAAGAAGCAGCGTTCACCTGGCAGAAACGATTCTCAGGAGCGAGGGGACACAGGCCGTAGGGAAGCTGAGCCCAGTGGGGAGCCTAGGACGGGACCAGACACGTACTTGACGCAAGCCCCTGGGATGTCGAAAGACTGCTGGAGTGCAGGAGAATTGAGGTGGTGAATGCAAGTTAGGGAAGCAGCTTTGCTCTCTCACTCACGAGCCTGGTGACTTTGGGCTTCCCAGTGGTTAGGACAGTCCCATGTGGAGTGTCAGTGTGCCTGCAGCTGACTTTCAGGAGTCACTAGTTGTTTGGAATTGTGTTGGAACCACAGGGGGGTCGGGATAGGTGTCACAGAGGAGGGCCTGGGAGGAAGAAGGTGCTTGGATTGTCCGGGAGGAAGGAGGGAGGCCTCGCGGTTGGGGTCAGAAACTGCAGAGACAGACAGACATCAAGCCTGTCCTGCTCCCCTCCTGGCTGCTGCCGCCTCCCCAGCCCTGCTCCCATACCCCTTTCCTTCCAGGACCCGAGCAACTTCCCGAGAAGAAAAGAACCTCCAAGGCTTCTTGGAGCAGCCCAAGGAGAAGTGGGTGGAAAGCGCCTTCGAGGTGGACGGGCCCCACTACTTCACAGCGCTAGCACTGCACGTCCTGCCCCCTGAGCAGTGGAGAGCCGTTCGCCTGGAGATCCTGCGGAGGCTGCTGGTGACCTCACAGGCCCGGGCAGTGGCTCCAGGGGGTGCCACCAGGTCAGTACTTGCTTCAGAGAGCTGCTGTTTGCCTGGTGTTTCAAGACTTGTGTGCTACGCAGAGGCTTGCTCTTTTGACTCAGCAGTTGGCACTGACTTCTGTCTGTCAGGCCAAGAGGCTAGGCCAGTGGCTGGCAATTGCCTGGTCTCTGGGTTTTTGTTCCTGTTTTTAAACTCCCCAAATGGGCACAACAGCTGAAGCTGTGCCAATCCAGAGCCAGGAGCCAGGATCTTCTGGATCTCCCACGTGAGTGCAGGGGCCCAAGGACTTGGCCATCTTCTGCTGCTTTCCCAGGCACATCATCAGGGAGCTAGATCAGAAGTGGAGCAGCTGGGACTCAAACCGGTGCCCATATGGGATGCCAGCACTGCACAGGCGCAGCGCCAGCCCAGGTCTCGGGGTTTTGTGTCTAGCCACTGGCACGGTGGAGCCAGGCTCACCTGCTATAGGAAATTTCAGAGGATGGCTGCCAGGCACAAGTGATACAGCTAATGAGGAGAAGATGAAGCCATCAGGGGACTAAGACTGGGCCAGATAGATTCTTGTGGTTTGGGCATACGTAGGAATGTTTCAGTGGAGCCACAGTTGGGAGTTTCTGATCAGAAACTCACAGACCCTCACCCCCTGCCCCATTCTGTTCCCATCCCACCTGCACCACCTCCGTGCACCTTTTACCTCTGGACCCACTCTCCTGCTGATGTGCTCATCTCCCAAAGAAGAGGGTGCCTCTCAGCAAGGAAGTGGCCTTGTGTTTGTGACCTGGGCTGTGCTTTCCGTCAGTTGGGAGGTGTCTGCAAACAGCAAGCACCACCATTTCTTTGAGGTGACTCCATTGATGGCTGTGCAGCGTGGACCCATGGGCGCGGCTCTGCTGATACTGCCCGGAACTGTCTGTCTGGGCTAGGGAGCTGCAGAGTGGGGAGTGGGCTCGCAAGTCTCCGTTTCTGGAAAGTCCGTCCCTGTGCTGCTGCTGCTCCCCTGGGATCCTTAAGTCTGTGTCCCAGAGGGTCTTTCCAAGTCTGCAGGTCAACATGGAAGCAGAGAGGGAACTCCTAGGCCCAGGATAATGGCAAACCAAGTGAAATACTGCTGGGAGCTTGTCTGTGGGCACCCCACGTGCACAATAGGAGGGGGCGAATCTTGTTAGAGTCCTGTGTGACTCCGCCCCCCCCCCCCCAGGTGACACATTCCACTGTTTCCCAAGAGCATTGCTAGTTAACCAGCTGCCAGAAATCAACATTCAGCACAGGAGGATGCCAGGGAGCTGATAGGGCAGACCCGGCCTGCATCCATGGCAAATGCTGTGAAATCCGAACCCACCAGAGCCGCTCTGCTTTTAGCAACCGTCCCAGCAGTTAAGCAGCAGCTTGCCCCAGCTTACGTAGGAAAATGCAGTACGAGCTACGCTTGTGAGTTGCCATTCTCTCAGTGGTTGAGTTGGGCTGGATCACTCAGGATGCCTGCTCACCAAAGCAGAACAGTTCCAGAGAAGGACCAAACCTGGCCAGGGGCTAGGGCCGTGAGCCTGGTGCACAGGAAGAGAATCCTGACAGGAGCAGCCGTGGCTGGAAAGGCATTAGGAGGGTGTCTCCTGCTGCTGGCAGTGTCACTGGCAAGCAGGCCTTGTATGTTTGTTGATGGGGTGGGTGCAGTAGCAGACACAAAAATGCAAAGCAAGAGAAGCTGACCTGCATGTTTTACAGTCAGGAAAAAATGGTCCTCCTCTTCCAGGAACTTGCCGGCATTGAAACCTGGGGTTGCATAAGCTTCCCTCACGGCCTCGCCCGTGACCGTCTGGAACTGACTGTCGTCCTCATGCAAGGGCCACTTTCTTTCATTTTCACTTCAGGCTGCAGCATCTGCAGGCGTCATAGGCAGAGCAGAGAGTGAGTGGAGGATGCTGGAGGGGAAGCACAATTCAACACACGAGGACTGTGTCATTACTTTATGTCTTGGGAGTTAATTAAGCAGTGAGTGCAGGTGTGAGTGGCTGTCCCATGCTAGGTGGTTCCTGCACTTGAGGCCAGGTAGTTTTAGTGTCTGAACTAAACACCATCTATACTTGTCCCATTTTCACAGTTCTTCTTTTAAGATTTTTTTATTTGTAAGTCAGAGGTATCTTCTATCCACTAGTTCACTCCCTAGATGGCCTAGATGGCCGCCAATGGGTCTCCCATGTGGGTGCAGGAGCCCAAGGACTTGGGCCAACTTCCACTGCTTTTCTCAAGCCATTAGCAGGGAGCTGGATTTCGGAAGCAGAGCGTCTGGGACTCGAACCAGCATCCAAATGAGATGCTGGTGTTGCAGGTGGCAGCTTTACCCGCTTCGCCACCACACCAGCTCGTCTTCACGATTCTTATACTTGCACATGCATGTTGTTACCAAACATTCTGATACGTGTCCCTTTAGTCGTGGGATATTTTCTAAGATTTAGGGTACTCTGGGACAAGAGTTGGTCTACCCTTGACTTGGGATAGATGTGGTGGCAGTTTGTAAATGAAGTTTCTCATGGAGTGTTAGATGATGGAAACCTAACCCTGACCCTGGTATTTCACTTGCTCTGCCCTGAGAAGTCTGGTCTTTCTCTGTTTCATGGTGGCTCTAGCCGCTCTACTGTTTCCTTAAACCGAGAGTGTCTGCTGAGAAGGCCGTGAACATTGTGCGAGCACCCCTGTGCTCCAAGGCACCGTCTTTAATCCTGAACTGAACCACTCGGTGAAGTAGAGACGGTAACACTGGAAACCAAGGAGTGTGGTGAACAGTTCTGGGATCATCCCAGGGCCCAGAGGTGTCAGGTGGCTGCACATCCCACCCGAGACCCTGCTGTTGTTCAACACCAGTTTCTACTAGCCGGCTGTTTTGTCACAGAACACGCATTTGAAAACCCCCATGTTTGGCTGGTTTGGGTCTTCTGACTGATAATAAATCTTTCCTGATGGGAATGGAACGACTGAAGTACAGAGCCTTGCTTTCTACTTAATCAGTTAGGTCCACTGAGTGCGTGAGCTTGTGTGGGGCTACATAAGGAAACTTGGGGCTCCTTCACATTTACGCCAGGAACCTTTATTTGAAAAAGACATTTATTTATTTGTCTTTATATTTGTTTAAAAGGCAGAGCAACAGAGAAAGAAAGGAAGAGACAGGTCTTCATCTGCTGGTTCATTCTCCAAGTAGCGAGGTCTGGGCCAGGCTGGAGCTAGGAGCCAGGAACCACCCACATGGGTGTCAGGGCCCCTACTACTTGAGCCATCTTCCACTGCCTTCCCAGGAGCATTAGCAGGAAACTGGATCAGAAGCAGAGCAGCTGGGACTCAAACTGGCACTATGATATGGATGCCATTTGTCTCAAGTGGTGGCTTAATATGCTGTGCCCCAACTCCAGCCCCAAGAGGGCTTTTGATTGCCATTGTCCTGTTCTCATTTTCCTCAGATTTGGAAGTTGAGTACTAAGCCAGTCAGATGCATTTCATGGAACCTTCTCTTAATAAATAAGCCGCTGGGTCCCAGGTCTTCAGAATTTCTTGCCTGTAGCTGCTTTTCTCCAAGAGGTTTGGCAAGTAGCTGGGACCACGTGATGTGTCGCTTACAGGGACTCTTGCCTGGCACCCCAGTGCTCTGTTCTGTCCTATGAGTCTCCAGGGGACTTCATGGGATGGGACTTGATTTTCTTTTCCAGGCTGGCAGACAAGGCTGTGAAGGACTATTCCACCTACCGTTCTTCCCTTCTGTTTTGGGCCCTCGTCGATCTCATTTACAACATGTTTAAGGTAAGGACACGGCATCCAGGTGGCTCTCCTCTCGGCCTGGGGGTGCTCTGCTCCTGAGACGCAGTTGGCTCTCCCGTGGAGGGGGGAGGCATTGTTTTCAGCCTTACCGTAAGCCCACTTCTACAGGAAAGTCTACCCTCCCACCTCTGCCTTAGTTGCTCGTGAGCCCCCGTGGCCCCGTGGGACAGACTCACTGCAGACTGTCCAGTAACAGGCCGCTCCCCGTGCCTGGAGAGAGATCCGTTCACCCTCTGAAGGAGGCAGCTCATCCTGGGGGCTGTCGACAGTCCCTTCGGTTTGCACACGCAGACGTGATTGTAGGGAGGAAGGAATGTAGTCGCTCGTTGGAGCTGTAGGTGCAAGAGCCGCGGTGCGAGTAAAGGGTCTGTAAGGAGAGGAATGACACTGCCGCTCCTGAAGGGGTGGCACGCCCCAGGGAGAGCTCGGATGTGTGCGGTTGGCTGGGCTGGGGACTGGCTGCCTGGAGTCATTCGCTTGCCCAGCCCTGTCTCCTGTTGGCTTTTGCAGAAGGTGCCTACCAGTAACACGGAGGGAGGCTGGTCCTGCTCTCTGGCCGAGTACATCCGCCACAACGACATGCCTGTCTACGAGGCTGCCGACAAAGCTCTGGAGACCTTCCAGGAGGAGTTCGTGCCAGTGGAGACTTTCTCAGAGTTCCTTGATGTGGCCGGTCAGTGTCAAGGTGGCCTCCTCCACCCATCCTCTGTGGGGAGGCCCAGGGCTTGGTCTTCATGTAGCAGAGGCAACCACGGGCAGCACAGCCTGTGAGCTGCCACTGGTGGGAGCAGCGGCTCGAACGTGTGCCACCCAGCACTGGGCTGCTTACTGTCCGTGAGCCCAGTTGAGGCCACCCTGGGTAAGGTGGGAACTTCGGTTACCTCCATTTTACAGAGCAGGTAACTGAGGCTTTGAAGGTTAACTTGCTGCCCACAGGATCTTAGCTGGAGAAACTTTTTGGTTCTGGCTGTTAATAACAGTTTACAGGATTAAAATGCAAATAGGAGTGTGCCTTTCTTCCTCTGCCTTTTGGGGACTGAGACCTCCGGGGTCGCAGCTGCCCCCGGGAGATTCTGAAACAGATGATGAATGTCAGAGCAGAGCACTCCTGAGCCTTCCGGGTGACATCCTGTGAGACACAGTGGAGGCCTCACCCCACAGCTAGCGAGATGCAAGGCCATCCTTCTCTCCTGTGTACAGTTTTTGTATGACAGATTGTCACACTAACTACAGACACATGAAAATGTGTTTGGATTCCATAAGAGACATCAGATGACAGCGAGGAGAGGTGACTTGTGCTTGGAAAGTCCACCTAGGATTGAAAGCTCCCTTCCTCTTGGGTTGTGGGCACTTTGACGTAACCCGTCAGTTCAGCCACTCAGCCAAAGCAGAGGGCACCAGATCTGGGTGCTGTCTTCATAGCTTGCGTCGCTGTTTCCTGATGGTCGTTGTAGAAATTTTACACTGTGCAGAAGCAGGCGGGAACTCCCCAAAGAGCCAGTGTCAGGAGGACATCTCTGTTAGCATGTTGTCTGCTTCCCTCCCCGGGAACAAGGCCTGCGGAAGGCCTCGGTACTGCTCAGTGGGTTCATCTTCCCAGCTCAGCGCTGACTGAGCCATCTATCTTGGAAGCACTGGGTGGTATCAGCCATGCATGGCCCTGCCCACCTCTGTGTCTTTGATAATTGCTTGCCCCTCTCTGGTCTCTTTTCAGCCTGAACGTGAGCACACGCCGTGCTTTCTCCCCCGAAAGTTGGCCCTGACTCGGAGCAGATCACCTGCTTAATTTTCTTTGCCCTTGGTGCGGAGCCCTGTGCCTGTCACAGGGGACCCTGCCAGTGTGGCTGTGAACGCCAGGGCTCCGCATCAGCCCTGAGCTAGTGATGGTGGGGAGAGCCATGGCCCCCGCCAGGCAGAAGCCGCTGGCCTGCCCCTCCTCAGTCAGCTTCTTACCCAGTTTCAGCTGTTAGTGTCATTGCCGCAGACACACCCTGCTGCAATGCACAGCACCTTCCAGTGCCAGCTCCAAACACTCCTGCCTCGGTTAATGCAGGGACTTGGGAAGTGACTTTGGTTTGCCTGTGGCCAGGCCAGCAGGGTTAACCACTCCACATCTATGTAACCTGGGGCCCCAGTGTCTCCTGTGCCCTGCCTGGTGAGGAGGGGTGGGCTCTAGGGGCTCTGTAGGGACCTAGCACCTTTGTGCACAATCACACGATTGGTCTCATTTCATGCCCGCCCTGAGGCATCATGATGGCTGCGCACGGTCTCTGTCTGATGATTGACAAGTGGAGCTCCTGCGCTTGGATCGCATGCACAGGAACTCAGGACTGTGGTGGGCTCAGAGCTCAGGAGAACCCAGGCCCCCTGCCTGCTCTGCCCCTCCCCGCCCTCCAGTGCAGTGCATCAGCCTCTCGTTGGTCCCAGAACTTGCTGAGAAGATGGGAGAGGCTGGCACATGCTCCCTTCAGAATATTCGGTTCCTGTCGTTGGCAGCTCCTCTGCCTGAGCCAGGTTCACATCCTCCACTCCAGGCTCGGGCTGGCCTCAGCACTTCCCCTGCAGCAGAACAGGGCGTGTGCCCAGCGACTGCCTCTCCAGGCACTGCTGGTGTCAGCGAGTGGCTGCTCCGAGCTTGTCGGGGCGCAGCGTGCTCTCTGTGTGGGTGCACCAGCCGTGACTCAGTGGGGCTGTGCGCGACGCTCCTAACCAGCCTGGGCCCTGTGTTTTCCAGGTCTCCTCTCAGAAATCACTGACCCGGAGAGCTTCCTGAAGGACCTGTTCAATTCAGTCCCCTGACCGCCACGCGGACACCACTGTTGACGAAGACTGAAGCGAGCTTGCTTCCCGCCCTCTGTCCCTTCCCGCGCGCCGACTCCCCATGGGGTGCTGCATCATTGCCTCCCCCCATCCCTGGTTTTTTCCTGGAGTGGCTTGGAGTTTTAGGCTTCCTGTTTGTCTGTGCGTGTGGTGCACTAGCGCTGAAGTTGTCTGTGACCCCAGCCATAGAAGGACCTGTACATACCTGGGAACCACGGCTTGTCCTGGCCAGCGTAATACTTGAGTGTGCACATCTTGAGAAATAAATGAATGACTGAATACACATAGAAAGCGAAGGTGTTGGCTCTGCCGAACCCGTCCTGGTGGTGCAGGCCACACGCTTTGCTTAACTGCGTCGCCTTTCTAGTGCCTGCCTGGGAGACCGCTGTACCAAGATCACCGGGCCTCCCGTCAGCACCCAGTGGAGCCGGTCCAGTCTCGGCCAGCGAGCTGGGGTGTTCGATGGTTGTGATTTTTTTTCCCCAGCACAGAGCCCTTGGTCTTGCTCTTCATTTTGTGGCTCTGGGAGCTGGAACCCAACATGGAGCACGTTGGCTTTCGCAGTGAAGGCAGGCGCGGTGGAGCAGGCTGTGGTCTTTGTTGGCGACCACAGGCCTGGGGAGCACTTGCCATTCCCATGCTGACGCTCTCCGGGGTTGTCGTGTTAAGGAAAGGCCGGGAGCAGGCGTGGGGTGAGAATGCTGAGGGGCTGCCTCCGCTTGCAGGCACCCAGTGGGCTCTTGTTTCTAGTCTGACAGCCCCGGCAGGAACCAGCCACGCTTGCTGGAAGCCACTGGGCCCTCCGGGAGCCTCTGTGGCACTCTGGTGAGGCTCTAGTGAGGCGGCAAAACCAGAGCAGGCTGACCCGATGTGGCCCCGAGAGGAAGTGCTTGCATACGTCTGTCTCCTTTTGTTCCCTGCGGCCGCTCTGTGTGGCATGAGCCTCCCCCTCTGCCGAGTGGTTCATGCGGCTGACCCCTCAGGCCAGACCATCTGGGACGGGGCTCCTCTGGGAGCAGAGAGATCCACAGCCAAGCTGCCCGCCGCTCCTCAGTGCCCCAACCGTGCAGCCGCGAACAGACAAAGGCGGTTTGTTGCCAGGTCCCGCTGGCAGCCCTGGCAGCCCGGAGCATGTGTGCCCTCGTGCACGACTGCCCTCATGTTCATGTGGGGACGCGGGCTCCTGTGGGAGCAGCTTGGCCCTGGCATGCGGGAGCAGCGTCAGGTTGTGGTCAGGCCTCGCCTGTAAAATGGGGGCGTCGGTCTGCACAGGTCGGGTGTGGCGAGGTCTGCGTGAGGTCAGTGAATGGTAGCTTATTAATAGTGAACTCGCAGTCCAGGTCTCTTGGGCTCTGAAACCCCTTCTCAGGCCCTTGCTGACCTGGTGGGAACTGGTTGTGCTTAATGCTGGGGCGGGAGGAACACAGTAGGGAAGGGGGTTTGGGGAGTGTGGTGCACGGTGCCAGGGAGGCAGCCTTGGGCCTGTGCCGAAAGACGAGGCTGGCCAGAGTGCGTTTCCCGGGACTGCGCCAGCGCTGCTGCACCAGCTCTGACCCCCGTGCTGCCCCCACCAAGACGGGAGGCCGGGGGCTGGGGCCCGGGAGCAGTGGCGAGAGTGAGCTCTACGGGGCTCCCAGCCTGTCTGCATGAGGGCTCTGGGCATGAGTTCAGGAGAGGGTCCTAGAAGCGGGCCCCACCCAGCATAGCCTGCCCTGGCTGTGCCCAGCGCCGCCCTGGGGCACAGGAATCTCATCGCCCTTGCTTTCTCTGGGTGTCAGGATCGACATCCAGCCTGACGCACATGCACATGTGTGTGCGCACGTGTGTGCTCATGCATGTGCACACGCCTCAGCACAAGTCCCGTTGCTCTGTGGTGTCTGTTTCCTGCCTCAGGAGGCTGCTCCCTTCCTCCCCTTCCTTGTCTGTTGCCTCGTCTCAGAGCCTGGCCCATGTCTGGGTGCTGCCGGCTCGTCCCCTTTGGCCTCCTGATGAGCCAGGAGAAGCAGCTGCAGTTTCCCTGTTGCTCAGGGGACTGGGTCCAGCCTGGGAGGGGACGCCGCCCTGGCCCTGGTCAGCCGTTCTCCACATCTCACCCTGGGCCCCTCTGCTCTGACCCAGGACACAGACAGGGAAGGACTGCTCAGGGCCCTGGCTTCAGGCCTGGCAGCTGCCCGGTCACAAAGGGAGAAAAGGCGCCAGGCTCCGAGGTGAGGAGGAAGGAGAGAAAGTGACAGTGAGGAGCACCCCCGGCTCGCTCCTCCATCCACCCTGGGCTCCAGCTGCCCCCACCCCCATCCCATGCAGGTCCTGGGCCACAGTCAACGTCAGCGTCAGAGATCGGCCAGGCCTCCAGGGTGCAGGGAGCTGATTTCCTGGGGCACCCCTGGGTGAGGAAATGGGGCTGGGCAGGAACAGCAGGAGCTGGCTTTCCTGGGGAGCCCGGGTATGGGGGAAACCAGTGAGAGCCTGGTCTCACCCATCGGGGCAGTGTGGGCTCGGGCGTGAGTGTTCTGTAGCAGGAGTGACGGCTTGCTGCTGTGTCTTCCAGGTTCCTGTGACTCTGTCACTCCATCTACCCCAGCCGTCCCCGATCGCCACAAGGGGCCCTTGCCAGACCCCTGCAGGCTGTTGATGGTTTTAGAAACTTGGGGGACCCCCCTCCCAGGACTCCTGCTATGTCACTAATCCTCAGTCCCGTTTTTTGTCTCTCTGTTTTAGATTTATTTATAAGTCAGAATTACAGAGAAAGATCTTCCATCTGCTGGTTCACTCCCCAAATGGCTGCATGGCCAGGGCTGGGCCAGGCCAAAGTCAGGAGCTTCCTCCAGGTCTCACATGGGTGCAGGGGCCCAAGCATTTGGGCCATGCCCTACTGCTTTCCCAGGCACACTAGCAGGGAACTGGATTGGAAGTGAAGCAGCTGGGACTTGAACTGGCACCCATGTGGGATGCTGGCATTATAGACAGTGGCTTAACCTGGTCACAGCAGTGGCCCTGTGTTGGCCCTGATTTAAAGATAGGGAACCATAGGCTCAGAGAGACAAACTCACTTGCCCAAGGCTGTTCAGCCTGTAAGCAGGATGCAGCCCGTCTGCCTGGGCGGCCTGAGCCCTGCTCATTTGCCTGATCTTGCTCTCCCTCTGGTCTGGGTATGGGCTTGGTTAACTCATCCCAGCTCCCAGCAGGAGAGCACAGCTCCGGGAGCCAGGGCTTGGCCAGGGCTTGGCCAGGTCCCAGTGGGTGGGGCAGCCACAGCTATGGGTTAATGGGCTGTTCACAGGGAACTCTGCTTAGGGCTGGAGCGGGTGAGGGGCAAGGCCCTGGGAACCAACTCTGCATTGGGATGGCAGGACAGGCACATGGGCTCCACTTGGCCCTAATGTCAGGGCCACAGGGCGATTACAGGGGGGCTTATGTTGGGGGAGGCTGCAGGTATCCCAGCCCTGGTCCCTCCATGGGGCAGATACCTGCCCATTCATGGGGACGGGGTCCTGGCCCTGCCCAGCAGCCTGCAGACAGCCAGACAATGCCACTCTTGTCTTCTCTCCCGGCTCCCGAAGTGACAAGTGGGGGCTGAGCCTCCCAGCTTAGTTTGCCTTGGGTCACCTACCCTGCCTGCTCCTGCTCCCGTTGCCGAAGGGGACTCGGAGCACCTCCAAAGGGAACCCATGGAGTGTCCCAGGCCGTGGCTAACGGCCCACTGCCCTGCCCATTTTCCTGGCTTTGGCCTCGGCACCCCTACCTCAGCCCCTGCTCATACAGGGGCTGTGTCCAGTGCCTGACCGCACTCTCACCCATGCTTGCTGAGGTAGGCGTGGCTGGTATAAGAATATCCCTTGCGGGGCCGGCGCCATGGCTCACTTGGCTAATCCTCCACCTGCAGCACTAGCATCCCATATGGGCACCGGGTTCTAGTCCCAGCTGCTCCTCTTCCAGTCCAGCTCTCTGCTGTGGCCCAGGAAGATAGTGGAGGATGGCCCAGGTACTTGGGCCCTGCACCTGCATGGGCGACCAGGAGGAAGCGCCTGGCTCCTGACTTTGGATCAGCGTAGCTCCGGCTATAGCATCCATTTGGGGGGTGAACCAACGGAAGGAAGACCTTTCTCTCTGTCTCTCACTGTCTAACTCTACCTGTCAAATTAAAAATATATATATCCCATGCAACAGTTGGGACAGACTTCAGTAACAAACATCCTGGTTATTTCTCTGAAATTCAGACTTGGCATCCTGTATTTTTGTTGTCAAGTTTTGGTGACCCTGGCTCTGTTGCTTGCCAAGCGCACTGATTCCTGACCTGGAGGAAGCCCCTGCTCTTAGCGGCAGAGGTGAGACCAAGACAGAGATCCCACTGGGGCCTCCGCCCGGGAGAGCTGGGGCGCCTGGGGGACTTGCAGCTTCCCAGGCCTGGAGTGTCGGGGGTGGCAGCATGACAGGGCCCCCAGGGGAGCAGGTCCCAGAAACCTTGGCTTTGATCTTTGTGCAGCGGCTTCCCCTACATGGGACTGTGCTGAGACCCCATGCATGGGCCAGCACAGGACCTCCACAGCCCCTCCAGCCTGCTGTGCCCATCACAGCCGCTCAACTCTGATCGGACGACTCAGCAGGGTGGCAGGGGTCAGATTTGGGTTGAGGGCTGGCTGTGTTGCCTGGGACAAAGCCCTTCAGCTCTCCTGGCCTCCGTTCCTTGGTGTGTAAATGGAACAAGCCTCAGGCCCGCCTGGTGCCTACCCAGGGGAGGCCTGGGGGACGGAAGTGCTTCAGGTGTGAATGACTGAGCCCCAGCAGGGCCTGGGTCCCCCGGCTGGCAGCAGGGCTCCTACTGGGCTGTTTAGGGTGAGGGAGACTTCAGTCATTGGAGGTGTCTGTGCCGTGTGTCAGCTTCCCACATTGTCGTCTGACACCAGAGCGTCCCTATAAAATGCCAGGACCAACTCTGTCCTCCTGGGTGACCCCAGGGCAAGCCAGGCACCTGTCTTTTTTTTTTTCTTTTAATTTATTTACTTGAAAGGCACAGTGACAGAGAGCTAAAGATCTTCCAGCCACTGGTTCACTCTCCAAATGGCTGCAGTGGCCAAGGCTGGGCCAGGCCAAAGCCAAGAGCCCCGAACTCCATCTAGGACTCCCATGTGAGTGTGCTTGGGCCATCTTCCACTGCTTTCCCAGGTGCATATGCAGGGAGCTGGACCGGAAGTGGAGCAGGAGCAGGAGTAGGTGGGACTGGAACCAGTGTTCAGACATGGGATGTCGGTGTTGTAAGCGGCGGCTTACCCCACTCACTA